ATTGATTTCCTCTATAGTAACCCCCCACACCCCCAAAAAAAACAGTGAATTCCAACAAAAAAAGTGATAAAGCACAACTTTCTATCTCTTTTGGGTGGTTGCTATAGTCATCCCCAAATCGAAAAGTAAATCCTCCACGAAAATTACCAGGCCAAAGGGCCTGGTCGGCGAGCGAGGCCGAGGCCGAAAGCTTCAGGCCGCAACAACCCTCACGGATCGACTGGTGTTTTTTTTTTTGGGGGGAGTAATCTAAAGTCATTAATAATCTAGGAAAATTATAACATATTATAACGACCGAACCATGTTCTCCCGAGCCCTGGAATCCATGGGTTTTCATGGTTGGGGCATCATCCCAACCCAACATTGCCCAGATATATGGAGGTTTCCATTGATTTATAATGGAAATCCATCCATAAATGGATAGGGTACACCCAAAATGATGGAAGCCCCAAGAATTTTATGTACCAAGGTGCACTTGCAGAATTGGATCCTTGGTGTTCAGTACTTGGTGAAGATGGTGAAGTTACTCAGCAATACTAGTAATATTAGTCAATATTGATCAACATTGATCTAATATTACTAGTATTGGTGATTAATATCAATATTTAATCACCAATCGATATATTGGTGAATCTTGAATATTTTAATATTGAATATTGAATATTTTAATCGATATTGATCTAAATGTTAGTCAATATTAATCACTATTAATCAATTAATCACTATAGAAATCACTTATTATCAAAATTAATATTGATCAATATTCATCATCCAACCATTGGATCCGTAGCCGGAGTAGACCTGACAAGATTGAAGACCCAGCAGCCCGCAATTAGCTACCCTCATCACCATGTTGAATCAGTAAATATAGCAAGATCATCTATATATATATATATTATATATATATATTATATTATATATATTATATCTTATATATAATATTGTCATATTATATTATATTATATTAAATTATATTATATTATATTAAATTAAATTATATTATATATTTATTATATTATATTATATTATATTATATTATATCATATTATATTATATTATATTATATTATTATTTTATTGTTAATATATATATATAATATATATTATATATATATATATATTTTTTAAAAAATATTATATTATATTATATATAGTATATATATTATATTATATTATATTATATATATTATATTATATATATTATATTATATTAGATTATATTATATTATATATATTTTATTATATATATATATATTATATTATATACGTACATTATACTATTATATTATATACATTATTATTGTAATATATATATATATATATGATCATTTTCCATGGCTATATATGCCAACTTCCTGGAGTGTATCTAGATTGATGGTTAGCTTTACAGTCAGTGCCAGAATTATAGAACGGAGCCAGGAGGACAAAAGTACGGTAAAATACCGTACCTTTGTCTTCCTCCGGGTTCCGATTCGGAGCGGAGTCGGGAAATTTAATTATAGAACGGGGAGGAGGACAAAGGTACGGTATTTTACCGTACTTTTGTCCTCCTGGCTCCGTTCTATAATTTCTGGCACTGACATGATATTTACTGCATATTTGTACATATACAATCTATAAAATGAAGATTTAATGAGGATTTAATGAGGATTTGATGAGGAAATGAAGATAAAATGCAGATAAAATGAAGATTTGATGAGGAAACGATGATAAAATGAGGATAAAATGAGGATAAAATGAGGATAAAATGAAGATAAAATGAGGATTTGATGAGGAAATGATGATAAAATAAAGATAAAACGAACATAAAATGAGGATTTAATCAGGATTTAATGAGGATTGGATGAGAAAATGAGGATAAAATGAAGATAAAATGAGGATTTGATGAGGAAATGATAATAAAACGCGGATAAAATGAGGATTTAATGGGGATTTGATGAGGAAATGAGGATAGAATGCAGATTTAATGAGGAAAAAATAATTATAGAACGGGGCCCGGGGAAAATTAAATATAGAACGAAAATGGGAAATGTGAGAAAAATGGGGGAAAACAGAATTATAGAACAACAGCGCTCCGACAAGAATTATAGAACGACGAAAAAAATTAGGAGGAAGATCAGATACATGTTTTTTTCATACCTTCCGAGGAAAACAGAATTATAGAACAACAGGGTACGGTAAATAACCGAACTTTGGTGTTTACAATACAAGTCTTGAGGGGGATGGAAAAAAGGCAGTTTGCTCAGCTCTTTCTGGGACCCCGGAAGAGGTTCTATAATTCTATAATTAATTTTTCCGTTCTATAATTAATTTTTCCGTTCGACGGAAAAATTAATTATAGAACGGGGCCCGGGGAAAATTAATTATAGAACGAAAATGGGAAATGTGAGAAAAATGGGGGAAAACAGAATTATAGAACAACAGCGCTCCGACAAGAATTATAGAACGACGAAAAAAATTAGGAGGAAGATCAGATACATGTTTTTTTCATACCTTCCGAGGAAAACAGAATTATAGAACAACAGGGTACGGTAAATAACCGTACCTTCGTCCTCCTCAACTTCCGTTCTATAATTCCGGCACTGACCATAGATTACTTTTTTTTTTTAAAAAACATTTATATATACCCAATGGATCCAAACACTATCTGAGAAGGTACTTACCCCTCTAAATCATACCCCCCAATATTTCCTAAGAAGGTACTTGGATCCATAGGGATAGAATCAACGGTTTTTTGGAGTGCCAATTTCGACCTATGTCTGTCTTCGCAACTCCACTTGGCCAGGAGTCACGGCTCCACGTGGGCGGAAGCGTCGGAAGGGGCTGCTGCCCATTGGTGTGCTGCCAGTGGCAGGTGCGCCGCAGCGACAGGCATAGTAACTCAGGGGGACCCGAAAACCATAGATCCAAAATCCAAAACCCTTCAAAGACAAACCCTCAAAACTGTGGAAAGATCAAAGACAAAGCCTAAACTCTACAAAGGCCTAAACCCCAAAATCTTATTACCCTTATTCTTGAAACCTAAAAGCTTCTAAACCTAAGAATGATGTTGGGCAAAATGAGGTGGGCCTTTTCACAGGGATACCGGATACTCGTACCTAGTAACCACCCAGTATGGTACCTGTCGAGGACCAGCTCCTCCACCCAAGAGACGACGTCGCCTTCGCGATGACCGAAGCAATGGTAACTTGACGAGACGCGACATGGTGACACGGTCCTGTGGAGGAAATCTGTAAGTTTGGGGATGAGTTTTTTTTTTGGTTGAACAAATTGAGCAACCGAAGAGATCACTGATGATTCTGATGATTGAAAGAATGGAGATCGCTGAGATCACTGGTTAGTAGGGGATGAGTGGTTAGTACGGATGCATATAACCAGTGGAGGAATCCCGTCCATTCACCAAACTCCGCAATATTGTCAATGGCTCATGCGCCCATGGGATCCTTGAATTCCGCCCATGTCTAGGTCCATCCTATCCATCCACACAAAAAGTGTGTCACTGAGCAATGGAAAACACAACTGGAATTTGTGAGGATCCTTTGAGAAAACACAACTGCAGCACTCATTTTCTCGTGGCACCGTGCTGCTGTTGCTGAGGCACAGCACTTGCAAATCATCAGCGATCAGAGGCGGTTTCCTGGATTTGCTGCTGTTCCACTTTGGAGTCTTTGTTTGATCCTTTTGTATCCTTTCACATCATGGGGGAAAAATCACCATGTTTGACAGTCTGGTTGATTTGATTTCCCGCATTACCCGTCAAGTCCCCATCTTTCTTGGGCAATTCCCAACAGTTTAAGTTCAAATCCATATGCAATATAGATGAAATCATGATAAGATCATGATAAATCATATCCTAGATGCTCCATGTATGGAATATTTATCTACATTTGGTTTGGGGTAAATGTAGGGATTCATATTCCATACATGGAGCATATGGGTATCATTTACAGCAAATTTCAGGCCTTGGCCCGGCGCCGCAGCCCGGCGCGGGCACCGATTGCGCTGCGCCCCGTGCGGCGGGTGCCTGTGGCGCAGCGCCGCGCTGCGGTCATTGCGGCAGGGCCCAACAAAAGTGTGGGCTGGGGCCCCCTGAGCTCAGTTGGACTGGACCATGGTTGACCCCTGTTTTGTTGGGAGTATAGGATTAATATGGATTAATAAACCCCGGATTGATTAATAAACCATGGTCGGTTTATTTTTACATATTTTTACTAGGGGGATACTCCTCCAATAATCATCATCTGATACTTCAATGGTACCCTCCCAATTAAACAGCCTAGGGGTTTATTAATCCAGGGTTGACAGTATTTTGAATGGGAGTTTGTGATAGTTTGTTGCTGAATGATTGAAGAAGACATGGTGATGTAAATGGTTCGTGGTTAACGATTAGTTTTGGGGTCAAACTATACATTATATTGCTTTTTGTATGATTTATAACATATATATATATATACACATATTTGCTATATTGCTATATTGCTATATGAATGAACGACCCCGGATGTAAAGACGAATAGGTTGATCATCCCCTTTTTTCGGTAGTTTCGGCTTCAGCTCATGAGTGGTTGCAGATTGTGCAACTGCCCCTTTCCTGGAGTGGACGGAGTCTGCGCTTTGTGCCGGTGTGTCTCCCGGCTGGTGGGGGAGTTCAGAGCACTTCAGCCTGTACTGCGATCCTGGGGGGTCAGCCAGGCCAGGCAGTGGACTTCCCTGCTCCAAGAAGAGCAAGCTCAACAGCGGGCCAGGGACAGGCTTTGTGCTCCTGTGGGCCCTCCTACTACGGGAGGGTTACCAGTGCCTCCCCCACCTCCTCCTCGTACGGAGGGCATTGCGGTGAAGAGGGAGGCGGCGGCGAGCGCACCAAGCGCCCCAGCCGAGGTTGCTGAGGCACCTTCCTCGAGCGCCCGGGGAGCTAGAGAGGAGGCTGAGAGATCCAGATCGCTTCAAAAGCCCAAGAAAGAAAAGAAGAAGGAGAAAGCTGAGGGAAAGAGGAGTAAAGCCCGAGATAGTAAGACAGAGAGAGGAGAAAGCCCAGGAAGAAAAGAAAGGAAAGAACGTCCGGGAAGCAAAGATAGGTCAGGAGAAGAGTCTGCACGTGGAAGCAGAGAAGCTTTCATTGACAAGAGGCCCGTCAGCAGGGCAAGGAGTCCGAGACTGGAAGATAGAGACAGGGGCAGAGGCAGACCCCGAGAACCAGAGCATCCTCCTAGAAGGTGGGAGGGTCCTATCTTGACGGTGAGGCGTCCGATCGGAGAAGCGGAGCCCAGGGCCGATCCACAGCGTAAGAGGGCGCTCAACAAAGGCAGAAAGAAGCGAGAGAGGCAGCGGGCTTGGCGAGAGGACCGAGCTCAAGGTTAATGGCATTGAGGAGGCCAGCGGCGGCAGGGCCAGCTGGTAGACGGGCTCCTAGGGTGGGAGCAGCTCTGCGTAGACCGGCGGGTCGAGGCGCAGGTGAGCAGAGTCAGAAGGGCGAAGCAGAAGAAAAGTTTGTGAACGGAGAAGAGGTGGAAGCCAATTTGGCTCCTTTGGGAAGATTGGTGCAAGGTACTCCTGTCGTCGTCGTTGGGGAGTACCGACAAGAAGGATGTCGTCTTTGCGGCACAGTGCAGGGCCTCCAAGTGCGCCACGTGGGCGATGTAGAGTTGCAACTGACAGGGGAGGGGACGGAAAGCGAGTCCCTCCTGAAGTGGATCACCGGGCACCCCACGGTGCCAGTGCGGGTCCATCTGTGCGGCTCAACTTGCCCCAACAAGGTGGACGCAGAAGGTCTAGTACACGCCACAAAAATCCGACAGAAACAGAGGAGCGACGAGGGAGGCTGGTCAGAGAACCTGCGAGAAGGAAGAGACGAGAATGCAGAGCTGAGGAGAGAAGCAATGGCATTGCAAGAGAAGGAAGCGAAGGGGAAAGAGAGAGCAGACCAGAAAAGAGACGACAAGAAAACAAAGAAAAAGAAAAAGGAGAAGAAGAAAAGATCCTCAAGCACCGGAGGATCCAGCCGAAAGAAGGTGAGATCGAGCAGAAAGAGGGTCAACTCACGAAAGGAGCCGAAGGATGTCTTCGGGTCAACTGGCCTGGACCCCGATTACAAAGTGAGGAGGAAACTGGTGAAAGCATTGAAGAAGAAGTTGAAGAGGAAGAAGGAGGAGAGCACCAGCGGCGATTCAAGCTCCATCGATGGGAGCGGGGAGAGCAGCGACCAGGGCAGCTCCGAGGACGAGGGGATCTTCGGGGACACCCACAAAGTGCGGGTGGTGGCCCGCCGAGCTCCAGGAGTTACTATCAGGGAGATGCAGAGTCAACTCCTGACGGCAGCAGGCACAGTTTGGGACCAGGAGAAAGGGGAGGTGCCTGCGGTGGCGCTGCAATATTACCGCAACCATCTGGCCCCCCTCCTTTCAGGGGGGGCCAGCCGAGAAGCTCTGACCTTGTGCTGGAGCTTAGACCTGGCGCTTCAGGGGAAAGTTGCCAACACGGTCGACTGCTTGGCGCAGAGGCTGAAGAGTTTGCAGCTGACAGCCAATGGAGGGAGTTGGCAAGTCAGTCAGAGGGTCGAAGTGGTCCCGCCAGAACGGGGACAACTGACAAGCCGCGCAGAAACACAGGCTGCGGCCAAGGAAGACAAGGAGGAGCAGAAGACGAGAGCGTTAGCAAAAGGAAAAGAAAAGGGAAAGAGCGAGAGTTCAGGGGCAGGGGCCCCGTGGCGATACGGGCAAAAGGGCGAGACAAAAGGGCGCGACAAAGGGAAAGGCAAGAGGAGCGAAAAAGAGGAAGGAAAGAAGAGCTCCTAGATTTGGGAGCTGAGGCTGAAGACACATATGAGGGCCCCCTCCTAGGTTTGGGAGGAGAGCCACAAAGAAGCTATGAAGAGGTGCGAGGAGCCCCCTGTGGCCTTAGTTTAAACCAGGGGAAGACTGCCCACGGCCGGGACACTGTCCTTGGACAGGACCGGGCCAGGTGCAGTACGGGAGTGCGCGAAAATCGCCCTCCTGACAGCCCTGAATGTGGACCCTGGGTGCGTGGACACGGTTCTGTGTGGAAACCGCCTATAGGTCTTATGGGGCATGGCGCCGGAGAGAGGTCAGATGGCGCAGGCGTTTTTCCACAGTTTCATGTTTCACCTAGTGGCGAAGCTCCGGACAGCCAGTTCGCTGGTAGCCCCTCGGTGTCATCCAACCGATGCTTAGGTGACTTTGCAGATAGTCCCTTGGACGATGCCCCGCAGACCTTCGATCGCAGTGGTGAGAAAAAGAAGATGAAGGATCCGAGTGCAGTCAAGAAGTGTGGTCGAGTTGAGAAACTTGTTGGTTTACCCTGGGGTTCCTGTTTGCCCTTAGTTCAGTCACTGCTGATTAAATCTTCTTCAAACTTGAAAAAGAAGCACAGCGAGGCCAAGCCCACGGGTGACGTATTCCCGTTACCCACCAGCACTGACATTTTAAGGGGGCAGGAACGTCTGGCCAGGGTTGATGTGGTTATGCTGCGGTCTCTTTGCTTGGGTCTCAATAGTTACGCGGGAGTTGACTTAGAGTCAGGGGCCAGAGTGACTCCTTTTCAGCTTGAGTTCCTGGAAGGGCTGTGCGGAGATTTAGCAGAGGTTTCAACATGGGAAGAGACGTTTAGCTTGTCTACTTGGGAATCCTTTTTTAGTAGTCGCAGTGTAGACTATGTTGGTGATGAAGTGTCGGTGGCAAAAACTACTTCTTGGTCCAACCTTAGTCCAGCTATACCTGCAGAAGTAGGAGGGGTGGAGCTGTCTTCGGTATTGGAAGGGGGTTGCAGACACTACGTCACACATTTCGAGGACTACCTAGTCCCTCCTGAATCCATGGAATACACCAAGCCTCCGAGGGTCATGGTAGCTGATGACCAATGGGAGGGCGTCTGTCGAGGTCTCCTGTCATCGGGTATCTGTGGCCTTCTCCCGGAGAGCGAGTTGTTCCATGTGAAGGGGAGGCCTCTCCTAAATGGCCTCTTCGGAGTGCCCAAGGGAGACAGAGCAGGAGGGATAGAGTTGCATAGGCTAATCATGATTTTGATTCCTCTGAACAACATTTGCCGGCCAATCCAAGGAGACGTATCAACGTTGCCAGCTTGGTCCTCAGCTGGGCCGTTAATGTTGATGCCCACTCAACAGTTGCTCATTGGGTCAGATGTGAGGTGTTTCTTCTACATTTTTAAAGTTCCCGCTGCATGGCAAAAGTTTCTCGGTTTCAACAAGGCTGTACCGACCCATCTGCATCTGGGGCAGACCGAGCGCCATTTTTTGGTGTCTCGAGTCTTGCCCATGGGGTTCAGGAATTCAGTCAGTCTGGCACAGGCAGTCCACCGTTCCGTGGTGAGAAGAGCCAAGGGGAGGACGAGCAATCGCCTCCTGGATTGCCAAGAGCTGAGGAAGGATCGTCCTTTCCCCAACACTGATCTGATGCATCGAATATATTTGGACAACTTTGATGAGTTGGAACGCATGGACGGGAGTTTGGCAGCGCTCCTGAAAGGTTCTCCAAGCCCCTCTATTCTAGCCCTTAGAGCTGAGTATGAGGCTTGGGGTATTCCTAGGCATCCCAAAAAGGCCGTGCAACGTTCCTTGAGGGCCGAGGTACAAGGGGCTATGGTGGATGGTGACAAGGGGTGTGCATACCCCAAACCTGACAAGATCCTAAAGTATACCCAACTGGCGCTACTCATGCTACAGTGGAGACTGTAGACCAAGGGAAGTGTAGTCAAAAACAGATGCAGGTAGTGGCTGGGGGCCTCGTGTACATTGCTACTTTCCGTAGGGCCCTAATGGGTGGCCTGAATCACATCTGGGCGCTTATCGAAGAATTTAACAAATACCCACCGGTGATACGCCTGGAGATCCCCTACTTGGTGGAACTGGAGATCAGTCGGTTTATCGCACTGCTGCCGTTGGCATGTATCAACTTCCGAGCGCTACCCAACCCCCAAGTGACTGCAAGTGATGCCTCCACGACTGGGGGAGGTGTCACTGTCAGCAGGGGACTGACAAATCTGGGTCGGATAGCCACCTTGTGCCCCTCGAGGGGAGACGTCCCTGAACTTGGTGAGATGACCCAAGTACTCACTATAGGTCTCTTTGACGGGATCGGGGCTCATCACGTGGGAGTTGCAGACAGGGGAGGGTGTGACCATCGAGATCCCTCCTGATGACAAATGGGAGTCCATGGGAAAGGTGAAGCTGGAAGGTAAGGTGGAATCTGACAAGTACCTAGTGGCAGGTTGGAGAAGGCTAGGTGAGCAACCTCTCCCCACGTTTACCACCTCACGGCCACGACAGCATCCAGGGAGAAGGCCGGCGGGGCTGGACATGTTGACGGCGGCAGAAAAAAAAACACAGTGGGAGGAGGACAAGTTCAGGTTCCCTCCTTACCAATACCAGACCTGCCATCAGGTCGGGAGAGAGGATGTGCACCGCTTGGTCAATGCCGAAGAGCGCGAGGTGATTCTTCGCTTTCCCAGGCATTACACAGTCAACTGCCTGCCTAAGTCCAAGCAAGGTTCTACGGAGCACCAAGACCTCAGGTTGACGCTGCTGGGCAACTCCTGGAACGTCACTGTGATCACATGGCTCCTCAGTCAATTGGGAGCGTGGCTGGGAGTAAGTCTGCAACTGACAATCCAGCACTGCATCGAACGGACGTCGCCAGGAGCCAACACGGATTTTGCCACTTTCCTTACCAGACAGCCGATGAACGGGCCGAGGAAAGCTCTCATTCAGGGAGGTAGCGATCTCCTCGTTAAGAAACTGCTCAACTTGGTCAGTATCAAAGGAGAGGACATTCTGGTGAATTCTGCTTCAGAAGAACACTGAAGTATCACAGACTCAGAGCCAGTATTCCTGCAAATTTGTGGAAGTGGTCCACAGTGTGCGGATGGAAATGGAGAGGCCATAAGGAGCACATCAATGTGCTGGAACTAAGGGCCGTGCTATGTGCCATGCGTTATCGTACCACCAAGCAACGAGTCAGAGACCAGAAGATCATACATCTAACTGACTCACTAGTGTGTCTCCATACCCTCACTAGGGGCCGCACCAGCAGCAAGAAACTGCGAAGAACCCTAGCACGTATCAATGCCTTACTCCTCCTCACCCGAAACACGGCAGTGTGGACATATGCTCACACTGCCCTGAACCCTGCTGATGCCCCTTCAAGGGGACGTATCAAACGGAAATGGGGAAGAAAGTAAAGCAACATGTGGAAGGGAGGAGTAAGGCAGAGCGGAAAACAATACGTGCCAACCTGGGTCCCCTTAAGGGGTTGACAGTGCAGCCCAAAACGAAAGATCGCTACAACAAAGCTGTCCAAAAGTTCCTGAGCTGGACCAACAATCATGGAGTTACACTTCCGCAACAGCGCTGCGAGATGGACCACATCCTTGCCGACTACCTTGAATACATGTGGACTGAGGGAGAGGGGAGGAGCCTAGCCGCTGACACGGTAGCGGGACTACAAGATCGAGACCCTCACTTGAAAGGACATCTCGTCATTAGTTGGCGCCTGTTAAAGACTTGGGCTTCCCATGAAATCCCCTGTCGGGCACCTCCGCTCACAGAGGAGGCGCTGCATACCCTTGTCGGTCATACACTATTTCACAGCCGTGCGACTTTTGCTCTCTCCCTTCTCCTAGGGTTTCATGGGCTCCTTCGAACTGGGGAGCTTCTTGAACTTAAAGGCAAGGATGTCTCGCAATCTAGCTCTACTTCTGTTGCAGTGATATCCCTGGGATTGACCAAGGGCGGACAACGAACAGGAGCCGCAGAAAGTGTGACTATCACTGAAGCCGACACGCTACGGCGCTTGTGGCAATGGAAACAGGCGATTAGTCCAGGCACCAAGTTGTGTGATGCACCACACAAATGGAGGAAGATGTTTCAAACTACGGTTGAAGCTCTGGGCTTGGAGCAGTATCAGTATAGACCTTATAGCTTAAGGCGAGGTGGAGCCACTTTTTATTTTCAGCGTCACGGCCAGCTGGATAGGCTCCTCCTTCAAGGGAGGTGGCAGTCCAGTAGAACAGCACGTCTGTATATAAATAGTGGATTAGCTATCCTGGCCGAGACTGAATTGAACTTGGCCCCTCATGCACGCATGTTTCACAAACAATTTTTAAGTACAAAGTCATTACCCTTGCCTCAACTTGAGCATGCCATACATGGCAGGGCAGGGGGAAGTGGGAGAACAAACTCCAAAGAGAAAGAACAAGGGAAATACGGAGTTTGGGGTAGGCGGGCTGGTTGTTCCCCGGTTTGGCGGGGCCCAGCACTACCCGCGTTCTTTGGCTCATGTTTACCTCGGGTAGGCGAGGAAGCATGGGGGGAACGCTTATGTTGATTTTATGAATGGCTGTTTGGTTGAATGGGAGTCTGAATTCTTCTTTGTGAGAAGAACAAGTTTGGTGATGTAATTATTTTATTTGCCTCTGTGAGGTTTTTTGACCTAACAGGTCTTGCTGTGCACAAAAAAGGCGGGAAACCGGTGAGTCTTTGAATGAACGACCCCGGATGTAAAGACGAATAGGTTGATCATCCCCTTTTTTCGGTAGTTTCGGCTTCAGCTCCCACAGCCACCCACCCTCCTGTTTGAAGAGGGAGAACAAACTCCAAAGAGAAAGAACAAGGGAAATACGGAGTTTGGGGTAGGCGGGCTGGTTGTTCCCCGGTTTGGCGGGGCCCAGCACTACCCGCGTTCTTTGGCTCATGTTTACCTCGGGTAGGCGAGGAAGCATGGGGGGAACGCCTATGTTGATTTTATGAATGGCTGTTTGGTTGAATGGGAGTCTGAATTCTTCTTTGTGAGAAGAACAAGTTTGGTGATGTAATTATTTTATTTGCCTCTGTGAGGTTTTTTGACCTAACAGGTCTTGCTGTGCACAAAAAAGGCGGGAAACCGGTGAGTCTTTATATATATATTACTCTCTCTCTCTCTATCTATCTACCTATCTATCTATCTATCTATCTATCTATCCATCAATCCATCCATCTATCTATCTATGGATCTATGGACACGGAACATTATATATATATATTCGGATATATTCGGGATGATCATCATCTATTTTGGGAATCCCGTACTTAACCAACCAGTAGACTACAATGACAGACGTTTTTTGACCACTGCTCACCTGGCCTTGAGGCAGAAGGCCATAGATGGACACAGTATTCATGTCAAACCCGTGAAGGGAAGATGTGTTTTGCAGTCTGATGGGGGGAATCACGGCAGGAAATGATGATGGGACTGGACCAGATTGTTTTTGGATGGATAACGCAGATCTCAGCAGATTGAATTGTGAAGATGTACTGAACTAGCCATATAGCGGCTGATCAACAAAGAAGTAGACTTTGTGCGTGTTTATACAACCACAGGATGTTACAGGGGAACTCAGCCAGCCGTTTACACAGTTCAATTCGGCATGACTGCTGTAAAATTGTGCTTGTTTGATCCACAATTCGGATGGTTCAAACATTTTTTGTCACAGTTTCAATTCCACATGTTAGTGAAATCCAGATCATTCCCACAATGAAACCCACAATGTTCTAATGTTTTTTTTTATTATTTCATTAAACGTGCATTCTTCAGTTGTTCATGGTAAATTTCCATGGTAAAAACCACGACCTTTTCTGGTGTTCCAGTCCGCAGGTGTCGATTCGGATGCCTCCCCCGAGATGGTGTCTGACTCGGATGCAGAGCCTGTGGAGGCAGAAAATCCATGCGCGGATTTCATATTTCAGCTGCAAAAACCCATGGATTTCTACCATGGTTCTACCATACGTATATACATAGTATACATATATATATATATACATACATAATATTTATATTTATATATATATTATGTATATGTATATATATATATTATGTATATGTATATATATCCACATATTTTGCCCAAAACATGAGGGTTGTTGGGCATGAAACTGCAAAAAATGAGATGATGCAGGGTTTCACTGCAGAAAAACTAAGGATTTTACCAACACACAGCAAGAATTGGCGCATCTAACCAAACACATGAGATTTCACAAGACAGAATGAAGGATTTTGGCTTTCGCCGTAGAGATTCTTGCAACAACCACAGAGACCTTCAAGCAGATCACCAGCAACAGATTAGGACAAACATGGAAGCAAAAAGAGAGATCTTACCAAGAGAAAATGGGATTTACGCTACTCAAACCACTGAGGGATTTACACAACAAACAACCATCCGGGAAATCCCTATCTTGCTTTCTTGCATTTAGCCGCCTGACACGGGACATGATCGCTTTGCGATGGCAGCTCCTACTCTTGCTCCTGGTTGGGACGACTGGAGATGAGATCTCGGTGGTGGTCAGCAAGAAGGTCTTCGAAAAGCGATTTCAAGGACATAGCTACGACAAGTGGAGGGACTTTGTGAAGGCAGCAGGAGAACAAGACAACCCAGGAGGAGAAGCCAGACTGAAGGCTGGTTTCACTCTTCTGTTTGCGGCAAGCGCCACAGTGACGGTTGGCACCATCATTCACTATGTGATTGGAAAGGAGTTTGCTGCACCTTGCACGGCATGGGTGGTGATCCTGATCCTGCTGATGTATGCCGCGGCGGTTTTCGTCTATTGCATGGCCACATATGCAGATCCTGCACAGCGAGTTGTGACGAACCTTCTGTTTGGGCTGGTACCTTGGTGCGTTTCCTGTGCAAGTTACCTGGTGGCCGTGCAGCTCGTGGATGCTTGCAGGGGCTTGCGAAACATGACACATGAACCCATCGCAGAGGCACCGGAACCGGAGCCACCCCAGTCGATTGCATGGCTCACCGGAGGCCGTCGAAGCAGCTCGGTCCAAGACTTGCAACTTAGTCTGGAAGACTTCAGCTGTGATCTTCGTTTCGGCCTGCTCTTGGCAGTCCTGCCATCGCTGGGCATCTCGATTTGGTTCACCCGGAGCTACGCCACGGGATTCACAGGTGTTGGAACCTTTTTCGATGTGCTTGCCCTTTGCCTGTTTGTGGATGTTTGGCGACTTGTGATGCACACTTCCCTGCTGCTGGCTCCTTCATGGACTTTCCCAAAGAGGCTGAGCCAGGACAATGCAGACGTGCCTGGCTTGTTCAAGCTCACCTTCCTGTTGTGTGTTGCCTGGCTTGTGGCTTTGGTGCTGATGAAGCGGCATGCCACTGGTGTGGGGTTCACGGACCCCATCAAGATCCACGTCTTGGCATGCCTTGCATCCTATGTTTTCTTTTTTGTCTCCCTGGTGCTTGCAATGCATTACAACGCAGCCATTTTCAAGGAGCGTCTGAATTTTCAGCCAAATGCGCTGACTGCCACATTTCTGTGCATGGTGTGGGCAATAGCCGCTTGCATGCTGCTCACAGCCACCATTTTCAATGCGACGGAGCCAAACACCATCGGAATCCTTGCGATGGTGGCAAGTATCCTCCACGCGGCCTCCACCTTCTCAGATTCGGTGCCTGGATGTATAGCAATGATGGTGGCGTCGACAGTCATGACGTCGATGTTTGTCCTCTTCTCCGTGCACTACGCGGCAGAAGTGCGCGACGCCATCGGATAGCCACGACACAACGAGGCGCGAGGCACGATGAGGCACGATGAGGGACGATGAGGCACGATGCAAGAAACGCGAGAATGCCCAGTCCACTCTAATTGAGCACTATTCAGAATTTCTTTCATTTGCAAATCTTTGAATTTATGTTCCAAATGAATCCAAATGATCAAATATGATCGAATATGATCAAACTGTACAATACTTGGAGCATTGCAATGCGCATGTCTCACTTGAAGTTGGAGCCAGGCAACTTAAATGTCTGCGATGGCTAGGCGGTGCTAGGTGTATTTTTCATCGCTCATATTTTAAATGGTGTTCAAACGGGGAAAACTCATGATTCACCATAAAACTTGGGGAATACCCAAGATTCATCTATAAATATCTATAAATCATTATACATCATTCATTACCACAATCCGGCTTGGGATATATGCCAATATATTGATGTGATAATACTAATATATATATATATATATACATAGTATATATTTGATATAGTAATACAAGTCTAAATATATAATAATATATATATATATATATAATGTATATGTACATATATGATATAGTCCAGTAAATGTATATATACACGATTTCTCTATATATGATTTAATATAAGACGCAATATAATATGATATAATGTATATATATGTATATATATAATTATATATATATAATATGATATACGTATATAGAGTCATGGTATTTTCCAGGTGACTTGTGACAGAGCTTCTTGGCTCAAGTAACGGCCATCATGGGCACTTTGGCGGAGGTGACTGCCCCTGGTTTCGGCGAGACGCGAGCTCAGCGTGGGGGAAGCTGCTGGCTGGGCCTGGAAATGATGTGAAAATATGTGAAATGCTTGGGGGATTGGGCAGTTGACAGCATTTTCGAGTGCCATTTCCAAATGTTTCCAAGGCTTGTGTCCAGAGATGGCGTGCCCACCGGGACCGGGTGGATGGTCGCCTGGTGGATTGATAGGTTTCTACCCTCTGGTAATTTGTTACATAGCTATTGAACATGGCAATTTTTCATGGGAAAATCAACTATTTCTATGGCCATTTTCAATAGCTATGTAACAAATTACCAGAGGGTAATGCCTAGTGGTGTTTCGCAAAACATTCATAATGTTTGTGAGCTCTTCATGCCGGGTAAGCACTCCGTGTGCGGAATGCAATCTGTGAAAATTGGCTGCAAATTGACTAGCGACAAACGTGTGGATGCAAGTAAAGACGAGTTGCCAACTGGTTGATCGGAAGATTCCCTTTCTTAACAGTGCTGGAACTTCTCTACGACACTTGGTGGATAGGTTCAATTTGAAGAATCTGTACTTTCAGGATCCCATTACAGCAAGTCGCATGTGAATGGGCCGACAGTCGATTCCTGGTCCAAAACCTGATCCAAACCGTCGCTGACGTTGTAGCCGCAGGATCCCCCTGAAATCGGAACAGGTCGTGAAGTCTGCATCTCGGGGTGCTGGCATCGAGAAACACCATCCCCCCCAGCATCCGGGATCCGGATCCCCCGAGGTGGGAACATCAACCTGGACATAAGCCCTTCAATAGCTGCTCGGAGTTGATCATTTGGGGTAAATTTTGGGTATCCCAAAGTCTGTTGATGAGTATTTTGAAAAGTGACTATTTTTTTGGGGGGGGCGGGGTGGGAGTTGCACCATAAAAAACACAGCCATTTTTTGTGTAGCGAAATGAAAGATGGAGATGTTCGAGAATTGGGGAGCCCCAAGTTATGCAGTTTCATGATGTTTCATGGTTTCTGTTGAGTCGGGAAAAGCATTTTTGGGCGTCCCCCATTCTCGTGGCACCCAGATCCTTGCTGCAATGGCTGCAATGCTGAGAGGTCTTCTGGAATCCACCAGTATCCACCAGTATCTCCACTTGGGATGTTTCTGTCACGCCTCAAGTCTGAAACTAATTCTGTGCCCGATGGATTTCTTATGGTTACTTGCTGTGCAGATTCTGAAGTCCCTCGTACTTTTTGAGCTGTGATGAAGAAGACAGACCTGGCCGTTTGTTATTCTGTGCGAATAAACGTTTACGTCGTATGCCAGTTGTAATGCATGTTTTTATCTAGGAATCTAGGAGTTTGGTAGCTTACTTATATAAAATGTTTGTATATAGATGTATATAGAGACAATACAGGACGATTATATAAATACAATTAAGACATATTAAGACCACTGTTTGGGAAATTATTTGATCCCAAGTTCTTCAGATTTGGAAACTCCCAAGTTCTCCGAATAAAAAACGGTTGAACCTTCAGGTTATCAGCTGCCAAAGTGGGTTGGGGCCTCGGCGGTCCAGGTCGATTTTTGATGGTGCAGTACCGTCACCACAGTACTCTTTTAAAGGGGAAGGTGGAAGAATCATGAAATATCCATCCTTACGTTTCTCGAAACTGTCTGTCCAGTAGGCTTTAACTTTATAGTTTTACATAGTGTCGAAGAGTGTCGACCAAAGTTGGGACACCAAAAAAAAGCCACGTGTCAACCACGGAGAGTCCATGAGCTTCATGACTTGATCGATACAAGTTCTGTCAGATCAAGAGGTAGGATGATTACTGGCCAAGAGCAGTTCATACCGATCATAATATATATACATATAAAATAAACTGATATATATATATATATATATATTATATTAATCCACTGCTCAAGACATGATTCATCATGATTCTATTCTGCTGATTCCTGTTTCTTTCTTTTATCACTTTTTTTTTTGGGAGCGTTCTCACCATTCTTGCCATTCTTGACGAGCCCGGAAAGTCACATCCAAGAGGCCTCAGTGCTGTGCAGCCTACAGGTCAAGCATCCAGATGCGCAGAAACCATCCATGATCCTTCAGCCGGAGGTAGCGATGGGATTGGAAATGCACCAATCACCAAGGCACTAAGGATACTAAGTACATCTAAGCACCAGGGAGCAGGGCTCATCATTTCAAGTTTTGATTAGGAAGTTCCTTGGTGACCCTGCGACCGAGTTACAACACTGACACTGGTCACCAGTTTGTAATTAGAAACGGCTATGATTCACACTGATTCCCGGACCTCCGATGCCAAGTCCAAAGGTTCCAAGTTTCACCTTGAGCCCTTTCAGGACTACATGGGTTCAAAGAGGAGACATAACATCCACAGCTGGAATGTGGCCCACATCGGCCCGGGACCCGAAACCAGTGGCTGAGGATCCCCCAAGAAGTGCCCAGGTTCCCATCCGGGACCATCTCAGTCCTAGTCATTTCATACTTTTCTTGAAGATCATTGGGGTGTTCCCCCATTCTTGGCACACTCATTTGGGCCTGAGGATGAGGAGTTTATCGGGAAATCCATGAGAGTTGTCCTTTGGTAAACGTAGCAATGAACAACACCAATTTTAAAAATGTTTTTCCCATTTAAATGCACAAAACATAGTTAAACATTTTCCGTCGTCATGTTTGATTGCCGGAGGGTGGCACTAAAAGCATTTATGAATCATCCCAGTCAACTGCCGCAAAAACAGATCATCTTCAGAGTTTAGCGTGGATTTTTCGCTAGTCACAAGCCATCCACCGAGTAATGCCCACAACCCATGTTGGTGACTGGGGTTAATGTGTTATATAATGTTATATATACTAAGAAGCATAGAACATGCGTTTCTTGCTTATTATTAAACGATAATATTTATAGAATTCATCAACTGCTCATCCACGAACTATTCACGAAGTGGGAATCTGCAGACTGAAATCTCCGCCAGGTGCGCAGTGCGCCATGTTCGAAGGTCAGGGCTTCAAGATGTTGGAAAAAGCGACCAAAGAGGAGATCAACGCCCAGGAGCTGCCCCAGATGCATCGATGGCAGATGGACTTCCCATAAAATGGAGGTTTCAATAGGGAAAAGGACACAAGACTAGACCTGAATTCACAGCAATTCGGTGGGTTTGCTATCCCATGTTTCATGACTGCACGATGCCTATAGGCAATTGGTGCCGAAGGTGCCAGGGTACGTGTCAAACTTTGGGTACCCCAAAAGGGATGAAATCTCGCTCCAGAAAAGCACGACCAAAATCGGTGAGTTGGGACATGTTGGGACTCCAAATCTGACCCACACCACCCTGATCACGACATCGTGATCCGATTGGTCACAGGACACCTTAGAAGGCTTCACGCCGCTTCATTGGGCGGTCCTCTCCGACAACCCCAAGGCCGTCATTTGATCAGTACATATCAGTACTATGGGGCTGGTTTCTACCAGTTCTACCACCTGTTTATGGTGATATTATGGATTGTTTGTATTTGTTTGTGGCATTGGGTATACTGTACCACATTACTGTATTCCTAATCACCTACTTTTGATCCCCCGATTTGGAGGGTCCAAATCTCAGCTTTCAGTTTCCGGTCCAGCGACCGCAGGCAGTGATTTGGCTGTTGAATCACAACGCTGACCGCGAGATCAAAGACATCCAGGGACGCACTGCGGAAGACCTTATTGAGGAGACCCGTAAAGAATTCGTCAGATTAGTTAGGATTTGGATGATTTTGGGCCTTTCTCAATGTAGGGGGTTTACCATCGTTTACCCACGAAAATGACAAGCTCGTGCCTTGATATTCTGGTGATGCGTCAGTATTTGCGGGACCATTGGTTTCTTGGGGGGATGAATATCCAGCTATAGATCAGCTGTTTGGCGTGAAAGTATGGTGCCAGGGTTGCGACCAATATATATATATATACATATATACCCATTTGTTTTGAAGGTCCCAGTCAGATCTTCATGAAATAAGATACAGTAGTCTTTTGTAGCGATATCTTGCCTGATTCAGGATCATCTGCAAGCTCTCAGGGCCAATTCCTGTCCACCTATGAACCATACTATGGATTTCCAACCATTCATATTCGAAGGTATGAAGCCCAAGTTCATCCCCAACCACCACGCCGCCATGCGGTCGAAAGGAGAACTGGGGCGACTTTCACCAGCGCTACTGGGGACATGCTCCGAAGAAAGATGGGCTCCCAGACTGTGAGAAGGCCCATCATACTGAGTATACGAAGTAGTCTGACTAGTACAGATAATTTCATCTTTTGCTATGGTAAATGTGTATGACAACCAGCTAAGAAGTTTTTTTTTTAATTGCCAGGAATCTAAGATTACCATCGGTAAATGTCGATTTTTTTCAACCCAACTATTGGGGATTTTTCATATCCAAAATCCCCAGAGAGCGACATTTATTTTCTACAGCAAAGTTTTGATGCAAAGAGGCTGAGATGTGAGTCAAGATGTGAACAAATGTGGTGGTAAATTGATAGATATTGATAATTTATTGATACATTTGGATCCTGTCATTTGGTGTGTCGTCGTGAAAAACACCACTCAAACACCAAGTCCAAAGCATCATGACCATGGCCATCATGATTGCTACCATCATGGTCACCATCATTGATAGAATGAGAGGAAGTCCTGTGCATGTGAGATGATCACACAAGAATGCTTCCAAGCCAGTGGTGCATGTGCATGCCATATTCAATCATATTCAATCATATTCCATATTCATTCCCTGCTGAAATGCCTGACATGCGCATTTCCCCATGGGGCCATGGGTGCCATGCCAGGTGCTTCCAAAGAGGATCAAACAGATGAGGGATGCGTGGGGCACTTGGCCCACGCTGCGATAGCACCTGTGGTAGCACCTGTTGTGAGCCCACTGAAAATTCTGTGATTCGGACGCTCATTTGAATCATGAGGTTGAAAGGGATGTATAGTTATAATATGTTATAATAGTTACAGTCATATTGTTGTAGTTATATAGCATAGTTTTATAGCATAGTTATATAGCATAGATAGTTATATAATAGCATAGTTATATAGTTTTATATAGTGGTAAAGCACCGCAGAGTAGCGATTTCCTTTGATCATATCGCTTGGCGGCGCCGGCGAGGTTCAAGGGTAGCTTCTCAGCGAATGAGTATGACTTGGAAGGCTACAAAGCCATCCCCCTTTGAGCAGCTCCGTCAGCTCCATGCGGGGAGGACCTCTGTGATAACTTAAGTGAGTCCAGGGCCTTGAAAAAACGTCGAAAAGAGACAGGGTAGTGGAAGTGCTCCTAAAAACTTTGAGAGCTTCCCATTCAAGAAATACAATCAATATCAATCCGAAGAACAGCGATGCTTCGATGAATGGACTCACCATTGATAGGATGATGACAACAAGCTGTACAAAGATTGGATCAGCTCAGATCCCTTTTCCAGGGAACGCTCTTCGTAGTAAATGTGCTGGGTTCATTACTGGGCTGTTTTCTGTAGCGTTGGGGGATCTACCAAAGCATGCAAATGCCATGTTTGAAAGTGCTGGATGTTTACAACGATCCTTGTATGAAGATTGAAGAGATGCATAGAACATATTATGAGAAAAGCATGTATTGTGCCAAAAAAGGTGTCACACTTTTTCCCTCAAGAAATCATAACTGTGAACAAAAAGTCGAGCCGCTTGGCAGGTTTGGGATGCCTGTTCCGAAAACAGAAGAGTTGTAAAACTCATTGGCACATGCCATGTTTTCGATTTATCATTGGCAGCAGTAAGTGTTTCCTGTGGACATTCGCAAGAACTTTCAGCAACTCATCCTTTGGCTCCAGCTGCGATCAGCTTCCCACGATGAACCATGCAACTGCAGCTCAACTCAGTGCTCCAGTGCTCCAAACCTCTCCACGCCAAACGGATGATCATCATGAGGTGTCAACCAACAACCAACAACTAACGATCTCTAACGTTGTTCAGTAATATCCCCAATTGTTGCTTGGTATCTCCATTTTTGATGGTCAACATTGGTCAACGCCTCTGTTTTTTTTGTTGAGTCAAGTGCCTCCCCTAAAAACACAAAGTGACGCTCGATTTTTCAGCAAGATACCGGTGGTGACACTGGCCAGTTGGCCCCTAAAAAAACCCATGTTTCCATCCATTGATGAGCAACTCTCGGTCGGAGCCTAAGGATTCAAGGACAACCCCTGCCACCATGACCCTTTCAGATCTTTCAGGGTCAACTTCCGAGGCTCTGGGTGGTGGTTTGGCTCCACTCTTCGAATGGCGCGGCTTAAAGCAACCGCCCGGGGGCTTGGAGCAGTCAAAGTTCGACGTGTTTTTACTTCATAAATTTGAACCTGTTTTGTGCGTGGGTAGCTGAACCACCAGTTTGTTGCACAATTAACAATTATCATATATATATATACAATTATATACATAATATGTATCTATATAAAACATACATGATATATGTGTATAGCCGCTGTTCTTGATCAATATTCGCATGTTTGATGCCTCTTGCGAACATACGCGGACCAGGACGCATTTGGACTTCCAGCAGGCCGCTTCTGTAGCTGAACGACACAATTTGATCATCGTGAGGGGTTGCTATCCAACATCCACTATCAATGGAGGTTTATTATAGTTGGGAAAATCATCTATAAATGGGGGTTATATACCAATTTACACCATTTGGTAACTTAACATTAGTATGGAAAACACACGATTTTAAAAGGTAAATCATCATTGTTATCATGTATAAATGGGCCATGGTATGTGAAAGAACCAGAGGTTTTGTTTGTTGCTAGGCTTATACCATTGATATTCCTGGAGTAAATGGAAACACAATCCACGAATATAATCCGAAAATCCCAATTTTTTAAATATATTAATTGAATTTAATTGATTTCCTATTCAGTCCAATCTCACCAAACTACCTCCAAAATGGCTGCCTTCTCCAGACACATCGCAGATTTTCCCGCTTCAATTTTCCGTGTAGTCACGTGTAGTCAAGTTCTATGGCTTAGTTTCCCACGGGGGATGTTTCTCATCGATTAACAGGGAGCTATAAATCTAGATAAAACGCCATTCCATTTCATACTGCGGATTTTTCAAACATCCTGCACCAAAAGGATCCAAAAGGATGGTTAAAACCCAAACAAATGGGATGGTTCCCATCAACTGCAGGATTTCTTCCATAGGATTTCCATGGGACGACCTACCATTGGCCATGGCGTAACCGCAACGGGCTTCCGCAACGCAGTTCTTGGACAGCCTCTCGATTTCACCCTTGGTACCCCCGACGGTCTTGGAGGTGCCCTTGGAAAAAACCGGGTTTTGGATGGCGATTTTCTGGCGGCCAGCCATGGCTTGGTGAACTGTTGGCTGATTTTTTTTGGGGATATAGAACTATAATGGGTATTAATAAACCAACCAAAAAATATATTGGTTTATAGTAGTATATTAACTATATGTTTTTTTTTTTAAATCTAAACCAACTAACATCCCTGGGTATTCTTCGTTCGCACCTTTTTTCGGAACGCGATGGGGCCCCGTGGCGCAGTCGATGTTGCGACGGTTGAGGTGGCGAGCAAGGCACATGCTTTGCCCTATCCTCCTCACTGGTCCGAAGAGCTGGATGCTGCTTCAGGTCGCCAGCCGCAGCCGTGAAACGTGTGTCAATGGGGTGACACCAGTGGTGGTTAAACCCCCCTATGTTTGTTTTTGTAGGGAAAAGGATGATGATATTGATATGATATTGAGCTGTGAATTTAGGGTTTATATATTTTTTGGGAAAAGCCCAGCTCTCAGATATTGATGACCCTATGATACTATGGCATCATTTCGAGTTCCAGATGTGTTTTGATAGGTCACTGATAGGTCTGTTTGCTGCAAGGTCAACTGCATGATGGTCACTGGACTTGTGCTGGGTTGTGATTGCATTGGGCCTGTTTCATTGAACAATCTCGGAGCCCAACAATGATCTTTTGAAGAATGATCATGAGAAGGGGCAACACTCATCCGGAAATGGCTCAACATTATTGAACCCATTACATACCCCCCCCCAAAAAAATGGTTGGTTCATGATCCTTAAGTACATTTCAATACCTCAGGAATGACCAGCGATCAGTGGGTCCCAGGGGCACTGGTCAGGTGCACTGTATTTCTATCACGAACTCCGTGATGAATCTTCCTGGCAGCGCGGAGACTTAGAGAATCAAAAAGAGATGTTCTGGGATCGGATGCCACCGATGTCGTTTGTTGATCAAAGTTGATGATTGTTTTCAAGACATCGACATCTACTTACTGGTGCGTTTTACGTAGGGAATGAGGGAATGATCCTAATAATCACTAGTAATAATCATCCTATTCCCCCAGCAACCCATCCATTCCCTGCTAAGCACCAGTAAGTCTATTTCTGGAATGACAGAAACATATAGAAACATGATCAAATCGCAGCACCAAAGCCATGCTAAAGGTGAATTTTCGCTGGTGCGCCTTGAGGTCACGAGAAAGTTACGTAGTGATGCATCGAATTTCGACGACTGTTAAGTGGAATGCATGTCAAACAGATCTTAACACAGATTTTGCAGCATTTTTGGGGGTCAGAAGTCTGGTCAGAAAGAAAATTTGGAAACATTCAGCAGAAAGACTTGTGGATCTTGTGGCTTGTTGATCTTATTGCAGCACTCCAAGGCATCCGCTGACTGATACCTTTCGCGAGGTGGAGCCGTGGACGGCTTGGCAAAAGGCCTCAGTTGTGCCGCAGTGCCTTCGAGGTGCTGCAACAAGTGGCCACTTTCGCGGTGCTGCACCCAGGGACCCAGTTGGAACGGCACATTTTCCTGTTGAACTTGGATACCCTCTGGTAATTTAACATAGCTATTGAAAATGGCCATTTATAGTGAGTTTTCTCATTAATAATGGTGATTTTCCATAGTTATGTAACAGTTTACCAGAGGGTAACTTCAGGCATTGTTTGCCAGAAAAGTATCGAAAAGCAGACCAAGGAGGAGAATCGTCGCTTAGATCAGCTGGTTCGAACCCCAGCCAATAGGGGGATGATGGGGATGGTCTTCGCAAAATCAGTGCCACATCGCCAAGCGGCTAAACATGGCTAAACGATTCATTTTTGGATTTTCGAGGATGACCATATCCCATTAACTTTCCATTAATGGCTGAATCAGTGCCACATCCCATGGCATGGTCGTATTCATCCCATGGAGCTTCACCAGACACGTCCGGAACGATCTAAATCCCGAGGCTGTTGGGATCGAGCAGTCCTTGACCGAAATCCAGGCGATTGCATCACTGACTGGGACTGGGACAAACGTCACCGAAGTGTGAGAAAACAGGATAAAATGATCTAAAATCATGTTCAAAAATTGTTATCTGGTGGTTATATATATAATATCATATACACACTGGATCCCCTCCAACCAGTGATTGGATGCCGTAGGTTATTGATCAAATCATTCAAATGAGCCTTTGGATGTTTTTTTGTTTGTACTTTGCAAGTGCAACTTCCGTCAAGATACTTTGGTGGCTAGTCGGACTGGGTCTTGACCTATGGGTCAATCTTCTATGAAATTACTTATGAATCGCTTTTTGGGGTGCTGGCATGACATGTTGGGACAATTTGTGTTTGGCTAGCGACATGTTTTGCAACCAGCTTGGATCCGAATGGCGTGGAGAATAAATGGCTGCCGCTTAGGTGTCATATTTATGGCTCAAACTGATTTGTTCCGCATTGGATTGTTCAAATAATGATAGTAGTCATAACATGTAATATATGATATGTAATATATGTAATAATTTATTAATATTTCCAGTTGATTACAAAAATGAGGAGACTAATGATAGGAAAATGATACGAAAACGATAGTCAGACTGGCTGTTGGTAACCAGCCCTTGCCAACTCAGGCTCGGGCTGCTCAGGTGCAACGCTCAGGCTTTCTGAAACTCTCGGTTTCTGGTTTTTGTGCATTATGAATAAATGAGGATGACCGATAATCAATGGGAATTCCAGGATCCTAAAATGCGGGTACTGTACCATATAAGGCATTATTTTGGGGATATTCCCTTACATAGGCCTTATATATGGTAGGTACCTCCAATGTAGGTTCCTGAGATGGCCAGTGAGATAATGGGAGATATTGGGAGATTAAAGATATTGGGACTATCCGATACAGGAGTTTTGGGAGTCCCAATCAGGGTTTCTGAAACTCTCGGCTTTATGAATAAAACTCCAAGGAACACTATCGGAGGGTTTCCATTTATTATCATTAATGATACATTCCATTTATTTTCATAAATCCAATGTATCATGAAACTGAGATGAAATTGGATGAATAATCCCATTTATTAGTAAATAATCATTCCATTTATTATCATTAATCATGATACATTCCATTTATCAATATCTTGAATATCATTCATTCTCACCGTTTGTAATAGGTAAATCAACTATATATTTCTATGATCATTTTCAATAGCTACGTCAGATTATTGGGTAATGCCCCACTTCAGGTTGATTGGATTTACCAATGATCATTGGGAATTCACCGGGAAAGCCATGGGAAAATCCAAGGTCCAAACACGACACATTGGATGCGGCGATGGCTGGAGTCAATCATCGTATATTCATGTGTAGGTAAGAAAAACGCACACACACACACACATATATATATACACACTATATATATATAGATACATATATGTAAACACTGTACCCTAAATGTAGAAATACCATAGAACGCAGCTACGTCAGCCGTCGACCAACTGGGCTCCGGATAAGGATCTACAACAGTGGGTTGGTCCGCTTGGACCAGAGGGGGAACAGTGCGCAGCAGTGTGGAGCGGTTGGGGTTGAGACACCACCCATTTTTTTTGGAAAGTCGATGTGATCATGGAAAATCTTCGAAAATATGGGTAGGACAACATGGGAATGGTAATCATCGCCGTTTTTTTGTGGTTTAACTCTGCAAATATGTTGTAATGTACTGTGGGTATCCATGCCAAGATGAACATGAAATGGGATATAATTTTGTACTCGTAAGTATCTATGCCAAATTGAAACGATATACATAAAATACTTACATACCGACAACATGCCCAAAAGGTGTTTATGATCATAAGCATGCTTTCAGCCAAAAAATGTGTTGATTGTGTTGAGATGGGGAGCAAATTATGTTCAATGGATTGGTTTAAGGCCGAGGGAAAATCTACAGAAAAACATATTTTTTTTCGCATGAATTTCCTGTAGATTTTCTCTTAAGCCAATCAATGTGCTGACAACCTAGGAGAAGAACTTGGATTTATGAGCTCTCTGTATCCACTGCAGCTAAAGGCCCTCTGCTGGATGTCGAGGTATTTCTACAACAACATTACAGGGTGCAGTACCTGGGAAGATCCCTGTGAGAGATGGAGATATGATATCCACGTGCGCACCACAGGGGAGTTGGATGAACTGAGAGCTATGCTTCAGGGGTGGTTTCTGAAAATTTATTGAGAATCGTCGGAGGATTGTTTGGTTTGGCATTGTTTGGCTGTGCTTTTGGTGTGAGTTTCCTGGATTGCTGCTGGCTGATTGCATGAAGAAACCAGCCATCAATCATCAACAATCAGCAACCAATTCTTTTCACCATCAACCATTTCCCAGCTTACTTAGCCACTTTTTTTGCTGAATCTTTGGCCTGTATATCACATGATATGGTGGTTTCCCAAAATATGGGTACCCATGGGTACCCCTAAATCATCCATTTTAATAGGTTTCCATCATAAACCATCCATTTTAGGGGATCCCAAATCTAGGAACCCCCCTAAGGCCCTACGTTGTGAGACGAATTTCGCATGTTTTTTTGCGTCGCCAAGGTTCGTTATGATCTACTTGTAGGCCAGGGAGATCGGTGCTGGTTTTATGCCACTGGGATGAGCCAAATATCATATCGTTTCCACATGATTGTCATAGTCAATAGCAACGCAGTCATAGTACTCCTGGTACTTGTGCTTCCAAGATTTAGATAGATTTAGCATCATTTACTAACGAGTGAGCTTGGAGATCATCTAGTTATGCATCCACCCGTTCGCCGCCGCCCTCCTTTCACCGCAGGCTTTCTGGTTTCTCAGGAGAGAAGCTCCCGCAGCTGCGCGCGAGAGGTGGGAACCACCGTGGTACCAGTACCTGGAGAACCCAAGAATACCATCCGGTAATCAAACGTGGCAATGGGAAATTCATGGCAATTCCCGATAAATTAGAGGTGTTTCATCTACAAATGGGAGATTTTCCATTGCCATGTTTGATTACCAAAGGGTAAACAAGCCAATTTTATCTAAATTTAGCAACACGTGTGGTATAAACTATCTAAACCATCCCCAATTCGAGGTTGATCATCGGCTGTGGCAGATTACATCGTCACTGAGGTGTATGGAGGTGTGATGCGATCAGTGTCCCCACAATGCCCAGTGGTCTGATTCGTTTCAACTTCCATTCGAAGTCCGTAAAAACCAATCGATTTGATGTGCCTGATGTGCGATGGGATGAGGATTCCAAGCCATCCATTTTCCATCCATCGAAACCATGTCTTTGTGCCATCCGTTTTTACTTCGTAGAATTCCCAAGCCGGCTGCACACCAACAACCGGCTGGGATTTGCTGGGACGGTGATTTTATCATGGCAGGCCCTGCCGGACCTGACTCATACGCAGGGTCCTGAGATGCCCGCGATTGAAAGCTGCGATTGTAAGACATGGGAATTGAATTCAAATGGAAGGTTTTTTCTATTCCCATCATCCAGTCAGAATTATACACCCACCAGATTCCCATTATATCTTAACCAGAACTTGGAGGATCATCCCAGTACAAGTGCTCTTCCATCATTATTCTTAGGATATATATATATATTATATACACATAGAGTGGTACCCATCATGTACTAGGAATGATGATGATCGAATCATGGTACATTCCGAATGATGATGTTTCAGATTGGTATTTATCTTAGTACTGGGATCATATGGTTATATATAAATATATATACACCACTACTATAAACATAGCTATATGCATAGTTGGTATAGCCACTACTATGTATAGTTGGTATAGTTATGTATATATATGATATATACCACACTCTCTCTCTATCTATATATATATATATATATAGTTGGTATAGCCACTTGATATTCCCAGTTGTGGCAAGCCGAGGTTGACCTCCCTGGCCTCGTCGGTGAGCTCCGTGCAGAGCATCTTAGCCAACTCGCTGACGGCCCCGGCCGCACGGGGGACCCAACAAAGGGCGACCCGTGACCGGCGTTTCCGGCGTGACCGGCGGTGGGATGGAAGTTCACAATGATAAACCAACCAGCTATTGGGGATTGGCCATTTATGGAAAGCCCCATATATATATGTAATATATATATATATAATATGTATGTAATATATATATATATATGTAATATACATATGTAATATATATATATATATACATATGTAATATATATGTATGTAATATATATGTATGTATTATATATATATATATGTAATATACATATGTAATATATATATATATGTAATATATATATATATATATGTAATATATATATATATATATGTAATATATATATATGTAATATATATATATATGTATGTAATATATATATATGTAATATATATATATATATGTAATATATATATATGTAATATACATATATATACATATATATATATTACACACACACACATATATATATATATATTACACATATATATATATATATCATTTATTACACATATATATATGTAATATATATATGTAATATATATATATGTAATATATATATATATATGTAATATATATATGTAATATATATATGTAATATATATATATGTAATATATATATATATGTAATATATATATATATATGTAATATATATATATAATATATATATATATTACATATATATATATATTACACACATATATATATATATTACATATATATATATATGTAATATATATATATATGCATATGATACATATATATATATATATATATACACATGTATCTATGTGATATATATATATATGTGATATATATATATATGATATATATATATATATGTACTATAATATATATATATATGTAATATATACATATATATATATATATTGTATGCATGTGACTTGACCAAGGACCAAGAAAAATGGGTAGGACTAAATGGGATTTCATTGGAATTCATGTTGATTTACATGTATCATGGCGATTTAATGGGATTGAACGGGATATATAACCTACTTGGGGGTGCAACTGGGGTTGGTTATATGGGTACAAACACAACTGGAACTGCACCCCCAAGTAAGGTCTTTCCACCCCAAAATGGGTTGATGTTTGCTGAAAAAAGAGCCAGGTGTGGCCCTTTCCCGACTTGTCGAACAGTTATTAGAGTTATCTGGTCACCCACTTGGCGATTTCAAAGTGGCCCCACATTGAATTCAGGGACCTCCTTGAACGCATGCACTTCTCTGAGGGTGCTGATCCTGATGATCCAGAGGCCATGCATCTCATGTGGCAAGTGTGTGCTTTGGCGCTTTGAACTCGTTCAAGATGGACCTTTCCAGGAGTCCGAGCATCAGAACACCCTTGAGTCTACAATATAAATCAATATCATCAATTCTAGTATGAGGTACACACGAACCTATTTCGCGATTTTCTATTCAATTATCCTTGAAGGTCAAACTTTTTTTTTATGACTACTCTGTTGACATGTTCAGTAAACCATTTTTTGGGGGTTACGCGTGCGGAGGTGATCCATCCCCCATCCCATGCTTATTCATATACACTGGCAGCCGAGTGGTAGACAAAAAACGGGAACAGACACAATACAGGAACCTAAATTGGAGGTACCTACCATATATAAGGCCTATGTAAGGCCTATGTAAGGGAATATCCCTACAAAATAAGGCCTTATATGGTACAGTACCTCCATTTTAGGATCCTGAAATTCCCATTGACAATATCAATGATATTTTGTAAATACATTATCATAACATTAGTAATATTAATATCACTACTATCATAACATACTATTGATCATACGGGTACACACTATTAATAACACTCACACATATCATAATATCACACATGTAAATACATTATGAATGATATTATACACATACATTATATGGGGTTGTCTGAAAATAGTCACCCCTAAAATTGATGGTAGATCATCATTTTCCCCATATTTCATTGCTGTTAAATGGGGGTATACCCCATTTTCATAAATCATCGTTCTTTGTCCCATGAAATATCCGGTTATATAACCATCATATTCCAATTTTTGCTTGTTGAACCATGTTAGATCTGTTAGATCCCAGGCAACATTCAGGTCCTCCCCATGGGTTTTCCACATCTTTTTATGCGTTCGCAGGAGGGCACCCTGCAGTACCCCCCGAATCCTGCAGTAATACCCCGCAAAAATACAATTTTCCATAGGAAAAATGACGGTTACCCTACAAGTAGATACAAATAGGATACCCTCTGGTAAATTAACATAGCTATTGAAAATGGTCATTTATAGTGGATTTACCCATTAAAAATAGCGATTTTTCATAGCTATGTTAGTTTACCAGAGGATAAATCCCATACCATGGGGGTGAATCCCTATCCAATTGGGGGTTTCGCAGAATAGCACCCCAAAGTTCTCATCGATGGATTTTCCACCAGCCAGGCTTCAGGTGCCCGTTGGGCCAGGCCCAGGGCGAGACGCAACGCGTTGCCCCTACCGCCCGGCCCCTGGAACACACGGAACCGGAAGTTCCAGCTGGGGGTGTGGTTTATGACCTACATATCAACCATTGGTAACCATTAACCGTCATTAACCCAACCCAGAAGCTCTTCATCTAAACATGAATGGGATGTTTTGGTGAGATGACATATTGACATATGGGAAGAGAATATCTAGCTAAAAGGGAGTTATACTACCTTGATGTGAATGGCAAGAGAAATCAACCTTTGGCCACGATTAGTTGGTAAATGGTTGTTATTGGGAAATTAACCTGTGATTTTCGATGAAGCTGGATGTAGTAGAGATCAACACGTGGGCCACATGGCTCTAAATTTAAGGTGGACAATGACTTCTTAAGTCGCCAGCTTTGGTTGCAAGACCGCCTGGAAAATAGCTCAACGTTCTTGGAACAGAGTTTTATCCCAGGCTCATATCCCCGCGACTTGGGTTGGTTTCAGGGAACATCAACAGGAAACAATGGATTTAACGACCAAATACTGAGAGCTGCCTGATCATTTTTCCAAACAGTTTCTAAACAATGATGGGACCCAATTCTATCCCATCATCATCATCATCATCATCATCATCATCATCGAAGAGAACATTTACAAGAACCCCGTATTTGTTTGACGCTAAAACCATTGGGAACCATTTTCCAAAAAAAACACGCAGCAGGAACATGTTTTTATTGTTGGAACATTTTGAAAAAAATGGTAATGTGTCCCTCCTAAACCGTAATTTTCCTACATTTCCATGGTAAATCAGTCCTTGCCCCAGCCCTCGAGGCCCAAAGCCACTGGCTCCGGGGCCCCGCGGCGTGCATTGTTCTCGATGCCGCCGCATCAGCAGCAATACGCCTCGCAGGCCCTGGGTGGGCTCAAATCTAGCTGTTCCAAGCTGCGGAATAAATTGCACTTTAAACATCAACAAATGGGGGTTGAATGGGTTATTGGTTAAATATCTATGGATAATGATGGTTAATAATGGTTAATAATGATCAATATTGTATGCGTATGTATATAATTATGGGGGGTTCCATAAATGGGGATACCGCTGGATGGTTTATTTCATGGAAAATTCCAAACAAAAATAGATGATTTGGAGGTACCCCATTTCAGGAAACCTCCAAATAGGGATTTAATGAGACATTGACGAGATATATGTGTATATATATAATACACATAATGGGATATACTTTAGCATCAGGTTTGTGAGCCACAGATGATCCGAAAAGGACAAACCATTGGTAAAGTGCATTAATACCATGTCTGCATATAGTAATATATAGTACAACTGTAATTCTCGTTTGGGGTGCAAAGTTGGTCTAGTGGGAGGCGATATTTTCCAGGCAGGCCATGTCTGGATCATGTCTGAATCAATAACCATTATCCAGACATGGTTAATGATGGTTAATGATGGTTAATTATGGTTAATGATGGTTAATGATGGTTAATGATGGTTAATGATGGTTAATGATGGTTAATGATGGTTAATAATGGTTAATACTGATTTAAGCATCATTATCAGTATTAACCATTATTAACCATCATTAACCATCATTTACGGAACCAGCAACTAGAAGCAACTCAACTTCTTGCAACTTCTTGGATATCTTGGGATCGCCAAAAAACCTGAGGTCTTTCAAAGCCATCCCTCTGCGGCGCATGCCATGCACGGCTGGCCTGTGTGTTTTGGGCCTTTGGTGCTTGGCTGGGTGAAGGAAGTAGCTGAAATAATGATTGAGGATTGGGTCAAAGGGTTGATGTATAGGTAGAAGATGGATGAAGATGGTAGAAGTGCCTTTGGTGATAAAGGCCACCTCTCTATGAATCTTCTTTGTGGTTTCAAAGACTTTTGTGTCTTCCATACCTACTTGGGCTGATGATTCAAAACTGACTAGAAGTTGTTCGCTTGAACATTTGAGCATCAGCAACATCAACTCCACATCCGTCAGCTTTTCGGAGGCATCAACTACCCCTTGGTAATTTAACATATGGAAAATCACAAGTCTTAAGAGGTAAATCATGGAACATCATGGAACTCAACGGGCCCTGGCCAGATGTTGCCAGTATCATTCCCCCATCACCACCACCACCACGGCCAGGCCGGTAGTGGAGGCTGCACCTCCACCGCCTCCCTCGGGGTCCCCCGTGAGGGGCTGGGGAGTCGGTTGATCGCGTTGCGCGGCAGCGCGTCGCATCCAAAAAAATCCGTGGTACGGCAGCGGGGCAACGTGCTGGGCAAGGCTGATTTGGATGGAAACTGATTGAGTTCTTGAGTATGACGCTATGACTCAGTATGACTGACTGGTTGTATCATGTTGTACCGTTTGTAGCTGGTTGTTTTATTCGTCGTCATGTTCAAAAGGTAGAAGGGTGACAGAGAGGAGTTGTGATAATCCCAACAGGATTTGGCACACAGAGACGAGCAGGTTTCAGACACGGCCGACACGGGTCCTCATGTCCAGCTGCTTGCGATGCTCGGATGCTGGATAAAAGATGAAAAAGATGATAAAAGTATCTTCCTCAGAAATGAAACAGTTTCCCTGCACTGGAGAAGGCGATGTCGAAGCTTGAAGTGGCTGGTAATGCTATGTAATGTTGGTAGATGATTCTGTGCTTACAGATTCATGAAATCATATGCAATCATATGACATCATGATTCTTGGAGGTGCTGAGGTTGCCCTTCTGGGTAGCGACAAAACAGATCCATGCGGCACCCATGGGTACGGCACCGGAGCTGGCGGGCGCCGATGCTGTCGGCATCTTGTGGCGACAAGTCTTTGAGGAGTGGCAGAGATGAAGTGAAGTGCCACCTGAAACAGAAGATAAAGCCAATGAAAGAGATATCATACGAATATGAATAATATGATATAATATGATATATTTTAAGCCATATCCTGTTCATATTCAACAGATCCCATACTAAACCGTGGTCTTTTAAGTGGATTTTCACATCATGACTGGGAAATCTGGGACCGTTTCATTGTGGGATGAAACCCAGGAGATGGATGAGCAACTTAAGACGCTCCTGGCACAGGACGCCCAGGACGGCTCGATGGTCGTAATCAAAGGCGGCCATGGAAAACCCCGAGATAAATGGAGGTTTATAGCCAGGAAAATCATCTAAAAACTGTGGATGTTAGATGTTCCATTGCCATCCATTGCCACGTGTTTTTTTGATTACCGGAGTGCAGACATGACTTGCATCCTGCTGACTGTTGGATATCGTATGACTTATAGTATCCACATACGAGGCGTAGCAAGTCATGATGTCAGTTGTGACTGGTTCAGGTCTTGATTGACTCAGGGAGAAAATGCATGTGGTAAACCCAAGGCCATAAACCACCCCAAAAAGTACAATTTTCAAGGGTGCCATTTCCACCATCCCCGAAATAGTAGCTATTATTGCCATATTACTGTTCTTGCTGATGTGTTATGCAACGTCATGACTGCGAACTTTTGTGGGCAATCGTTGTTTTGCCCTCCAGACCAATCCGTGAGTAGGTTTCCACTAGTTCATGCTCTCCAATGGCTGGTTGATCGGTTTCCCTAAGATTACCCTCTGGTAATGACTAACATAACTATGGAAAATCACAATTTTTCATGGGAAAATTCACTATAAATGGTGATTTTCCATAGTTATGTTAAATTACCAGAGGGTATGTGGTTTCCATTCTTGTTTGACACTATGTCTCTATGTATATTCCTGTGTCTGAAAATGCCACCCCCAAAAAATATTAGACAGTAATCATTTTGCTCATCAAAATAGCCATTCGGGAGTATACGGAAATTTCAGATAAACCTAGATATCATATGATATCATATATTATTGGTTTTCTCTCCCCTTGTATCCCCCATTTTATCAACATCCCTACAAATATCCCATCCCTTATCCCACTACTCAATACACCCAAAAAACAAATCAAGTCCCATGAAATTGATGCTTATATCACTCATTCTCCATCCCTTCTTCTGGTGGCATCTCCCATTTCTTGCTTGTAGGTATACAAAAATTATATATATATAATATATATATATATATATCCCCATCAAGAAAGCTCCTAAATCCCATGAAATCCCAATTGTAGATCGCTACATCACCCATTGTCCCTTCGGCATCCAACTTGGCGCAGGATTTCCGCGCGAACGCTGCACCCTTGCAGTCTCGGGGGGGCCTCCGTATGGGGCTGGGCACGGGCCGACCGGGCTTGCCTCCAAGGGTGGATACGAGGCAGACTCGACATGTGGGGGGTCCAAAAACGGGAGGCCAAGATGGGCCAATTCTCCAAGTTAGTGCCATTTTTTGATGTTCTTTGTCAAAAACAGATGGAAAACTGATGATCAATCATGATAAATCGATAGGATTTATGGTTTCGGGGTACCACATTATTGGACAATCATCATGTGCTTTTGTAGGGCGGTGTGTGAGGTGGACCTTTTTTGATGGCCAATTTTCCTAATCTCCACGTAAGGATTAGGTTGTCGCAGTGATTGTAGCTGAATGACAACCGGGATGCCAGCTATAGTATCCCATGCAGAATTATGGGATACTATAGCTGGCATACAAAAAACATCAAAAAACTATTAAATCCAACAAATTATGATTTTGGCGTTGCAACACATTTTTTTGTTTTATTTGCCAAACCGTTGGATTCCACGGTTTGGCGGCCACCAGGCAGTCCCAAAGTGCCGCTGGCAGCCCCATGAAGCCGCACTTGGAAGCGCTGGCGGAGAGTTTGGAAAAGCTGCAGTGGACGGAACAGTCGCCCAGAAAAACCCTTGGATCGAACTTTGAGGTCCTTCCCAAGTTCTTAAAGCTCAGTTTATGTTCATAAATCATCGTAAATCATCACAAATCATCATAAATCATCATAAATCATCATAATTCATCACAATTCAATCATGTTCATCAGAGTTCATTGTTATTTTATGGTAATTATTATTATGTATTTTTGTCATTTTTTGTCTTTAAATTCTGCTGTGAGTTTCCCAAAAAGAGTGCCGCAAACATCAGGCTGGCACAGCTGCGGCACCTTACCAAGATTCCGGCCATGGCCCATAGAGTCTGGCAGCCTCGGCTGGAAAGATCTGCGGTCGGAAGCGCTGAGCAAAGGACTCAGCAGCTTGGTACTGCAGGTGAACTTAATGAGTTTATGATTGGAAATTTGTGAAATATTGCAGCTTGGTCATGTATTTATTGGGTTGTTGATGAGTTTCGACCTTTATGTTTTTCTGTTGAACATATCTTTTGAGAAAGCTGTTTGAAGCTGGAATGATGCGACAACCCCCCTTCGTAATACGAAATACTATGAAATACTTCCGAGTTTGGGGCCCGAATTCATAGATCCAATACGAAATCGGGCTTTCTTGGGTAGTATTTAATATGATGCTGGCGCCAGGGATTATTTAAGAGTTTTTTTGTTGGCAGAATTGCACTTGATTCTGGGACTGTTCGGCATGGCGAAGCACACCCTTTGTCAGTTTCAAATTGCTTGAGAGGGTGACTATATGCATGTTATTGATAAATGTTTCAGATTGATGTGTAATGATACATACTACACACGTCTATACAACTTCCAATTTTTGCCATGTACCCATGCACATTTTGGACCCATTTTGAGACACACATTGTTTCTGATGTGGATGTACATCCCAAGTGGATGCTGTCAGCATGCCTCGGTTCTCTAAGGGACGAGGCCCCACAGGCCCCAGTGGAACGACTCAGAGATTTTCAGGCAGAAGCCCGAAGCAGGGCTCAAGCGAGACGACGAGACGAAGAAGACATGCGGCTGGGTTTGATGAGTTTTTTTTTCACCAAGAATTGGTTGGTGATGTTGAAGTAAGCCTTGAACAGCGTGACACATTGCGGGTCTGGTTTTACAAAGCTTCAGAATCACAATCAACGGATTTTTTCATATAAGCTCTCTGCATCTCTCTGCACTGAAAGCTTAACCTGGTAGTTTTATAACTCAAAAGCTGGAACTCTTTCCGCAAGTTTCTGATGTTGGATTGCCAAGGTTTGGGGGTTGTGAATTTCTTAGCCTTATTGTCCGCTGGGGTCCGAATTTTGTCACAATCCTCAACCAGATTACAGCAGAGGCAATGGCTTGCCGCCATAACTGCAGCAGAAAATGCTGATAGCAGACGAGAGGAGGTTTTTCAACGGGACAGCGACGAGGAGTTTTATGCTGAGCTTTGGGGGTTGCCTCTTGGATGAAGATGTCGATTTTCACTGTTCTAGTTGGAATTATCATCCCATTTTCCTTGGGTTTTCCTTGGTTTTTACCATTAAAACCTCCATTTATAATCGTTTATGGGGGATTTTATTGGTTTTATGCAGGACTGTTGCTTGGATCTCTGGGTGGGACTGTTCGTGATGGACTTGTTTGTTTATATAAATGACCTCCTTAAAGTGGGCTGGAATCCTCAATCTGGCAGTGCGGCCAAGGCCCAACTCCCAAGGAGGAAACACACTCAAAATCACAAAGGGTGAGTTTGGGCATGTCTTGGCACCAGCATATACGGTTTTACCAGCCGATTGACATTTATTTCTACTGTATGCAGCTGGTACACTGTACATGTACGCTCGTAACACTGTCAATGTCTTTATCTAAAGTAATTTGTCTATATTTGTCTTTTTATGTTTTGTTTTTAATTATGTATGTATATATATGAGCAACCGTAAAAACCCCGGCAATACTAAATATGTATTCGACGGACATTGGTTTATGGAAATTGATGGAAATTGTTAAAAACACGAGGTAAGCGATGGGCCCTTCCCAAATTAGCGATACCCCTTTTCAAGGTTATGTCATCATATTTCTCTAATATCCACATTAGCGATACCCAAATATCACATATTATTCATGGTTCATCACATATATATATATATACATGCAGCAGCTTCCTGCAAGCGATACCCCCCAAGTTTACCATATATCATTATTGTACAAACGTGTGGTAAGCGATGGGACCTTCCCAAATTTGTGGATGTCTTTTCCGTGAACCTAGGGTTTTCACAATCGCTCATATAATTATATACACATATCTAATCATATATATATATATAGAGTGCATATACGCATAACGTATGGTACATGTATACATGTTTTTTCCAATGATTGTCAACTGTTTGATGGTCTGCCAAAAAAATCGCCAAGGCCTCCGGATGGGCGGGTGAGGTTTGAATGGAACAAGCATCGACAAATGGAGGTTTCCTAATGGCTGGGGGTACCCCCAAAATGGATGGTTTATAGTGGAAAATCCTATTAAAACGGATGATATGGGGGTACCTCCATTTTAGGAAATCTCCATATATACTGTAGATATAAATCCAATTCAAAATCATTTAAATTATGATCCCACACAGCATTTGAGGGATAATTGTCCCAAACTTATTCCATGAAATCACCATTTAATGCATGTGAATGGTGATTTCACTGGGATTTATAATGGATCTAGTCAACAGAAATTGGGACAACACTTTAGAGCAATTCGATGCATGTGTTTGAATATAGAAGTATACCCCAAATCATGGCAATGGTTAAAGAACAAATGATGTTAAACTTTTGGATGGAATGGGGTAACCATGGGTAACCTATTTTCAGACAAACACCATATATATATATATATATGTATATGTATATTTATATGTATATGTATATGTATATGTATATGTATATATGCATATATATATATATATTATGTATATGATTATTCATTATTATTGTATGATGTGAAAATCAGGGAATTCCTGCGTGAACTGCTGCTCTTTCAGATGGGAACTTGATCATGCATTCGCCAAGCAGAGAAAATCATCAAAATAATGATCATCTATAGAACATGAACATCATCTAAAAATCACGATATACATGTGTATATATCTATATCTATACATGTGTGTGTATATACATATATATATGTATACAATGTTTAAAAAAACAAATGTGTGATTTTCCTTTACCAGGTTACCAGACGGTTGCTGGGAGCCGACTTTTGACATCTCAGTCCTGAGGCGCGCCAATGAGCGTCGACGCCGAAACAGCCGCAGCAGACGGGAGAAGCCCGGACTCAGGACAGACAGTCTGGGTACCCTCTGGTAATTTAACATAGCTATTGAAAATGACCATTTATAGTGAGTTTTCCCACTAAAAATGGTGATTTTCCATAGCTATGTTAAATTACCAGAGGGTATGTGTTCGAGTAGGGTCTGAAACGAGGTTAAATTGCGTCCAATGTTTCGGGAGAGAAGGTGCTTTATTTTCAGACACACCCAGTAGGTCATTGCTTTGTTTCTTGCCATTGGGAATTGGATGTTTAAATCACCGTTGGTTGGCTCTAGTTCCATTAAAATACCATCAAAATACAATTTTTGATGGTGAAATCACCGTTTGCGTTGCTTAAACTCCAATTTTTTTTTTTAAAGTTGATTTTCCCCATATAACTTGACCCATCTGCCCCTCCAGGACCATGCGCCCCGTGTCCCCGCCATCCCCGGCATCGCCTGCCCCGCCGCGCGCTGTGCGCCCGGTTGGCCCCGCGCCGCTCGCGCTGCCGCGGCCGCGGCCAGTGGTGCCGCCACCGGCACCGGTGCCAGCAGTGCCAGAGCATTTTACATGGAAAATGGAGGTTTTAATGGGATTTTCAACGAGAAATCCTGTATGAATGGAGGGTTTCATTGGAAAATCCGATAGAAATCCGATAATGAGGATTTCATGGGATTAACATAGCTATGGAAACTCAAAATGGCTCATTTAGTTCGAATGATTTACTGATAGCAGTTGCCAACTGGGATGCATCCAGTGGTGAGGATCTGTCAATAGCTATTGGACCATGGGGTATCAGGTATCAACCAGTACTGGGACCAAATGAGTAGCTAAACTATGCTAAACTCCTGGTTGATGAAGTTCGGAGATTTTACTATTGGGGATTGTCATCCATTGTCGGAATCCCAACTAAGGCATAAAGGGATGACAGATGGGTTTGACCACTCAAGTGGTGAAAGGTAGGTTGACCAACCAGCAACAATTGGGATTCAACGAAGAAGAGCATGAGGATATTAGTCAGCAACAATGAGTCAATATACTGGATGAACTGATGCGCGAAGGATAGTTAGTATTTGTTGTTGGTGTTTGTTTGCCACAAATGGGGAACTATGTAAATATGCTGCCCGGATAGGAATGATTCTATGCTTTTGAAAGGGGAACCCCTGGTAATCAAACATGGCTTGCTCGAAAATCCCCAGTTCGATGCTTTTCACAGCTAGAAACCTCCATTTAGTTCGGGGATTTCTGTATTTTCCATTATTGTCCAATGATTTTCCTCGTAGTTCAATGATGTTTAATGGAATTTCCCAGCGGCCCGCCATGCTGACACCGGATACGGTATCCAAGATGAACCATACGGCTGCATTGACCTCGGTAGAACTCAGATATATCTTGAAAATTCTTGAAATACGTTGACACAGTTTAATATTATGGATTTATAATATATATTTATTGTTACATTTATTATTATCATTATTATTATTATTGATATGAAGACTAAACTATTGTTATACATTCATACATTATTGTATATACATATATATATATATACGTATATATATAGATATATAGATATGACATAGATATGACATAGATCACCCATATGGCTGTATATAGATGTAGATTCATTTAAACCACAGCCACAGCTCCACGTTGCAGCCGCTGTGCCGCCTGGTGAAACCCCAGGCGCCCACTCCCGCGGCCATCATCTGCTTCGATGGCTCCGGAGAGGTCCGTATAACTTATATACCTGTAGGTGAATACGGAATCTAAATCTATACTCAAATAAATCCTTTACAGTAATATATACGACATTATAAAACATTTTCATTACATTTTTTTAAATTTATTTATATAATATCATATTATATATTATTTATATATTATTACACACAATGTTATATGCGTTATCTGTGTTTCCACTTCTGCGACATTCTGCGACAATGATCCCCAGTGATTCGTCAGGAAATTCCACAAAAACAGGTGACCTGGCACGGCAGGGTTGGTACACCTATGAGCCCCCAATGTTTGTTGGACACCTACAAACAACTAGGGAAAAGCAGCATTTTTAATAGGTAAATCAACCATTTTTATGGGCCATGTGAAAAATAGCTATGTTAAATTATCAGAGTGTAAATCCACATATTTCTTGGGAGAAAATCCTGAGGTTCACCATTGGAAACTGTGAAAGAATGTGACTCAATGTGCTTCAGGCCTTCTGTGTGGTTGTTGTAACATATTGTAAAATTATATGAATTGTTTATCTTATTCCGTTGTGGGTCTTGCAAAGTCTTGCGAACATGTTCACAAAAGATGTATAGTTATTATATTTGGATCTGTTTTGTCCTGTGTCATTTGAATGCACTTCTTCGAACCTTAGATGCAACAGCAATAGTTGTTCTTGTTCTTTCCAAGCCGAACACGTTTCATGACAAAACCAAGACATGACAAAAACATGTTCTCAAAGTGTGCAGGTCCAGTGCACCATTTGTTGTGAAGACTTCGTGAAGGGCGATCAACTTCGACTGTTGCCATGCTTGCACAGGCAGAGTCCGCAGAGTCTAAGTGGGTCTAGACAGAAAATCTAGCGGACAGCGGGATTTTTTTCATCCCCAACAAAAGCAATATTACCAGTAGTAAAGCTGGTTGGTGGTTTGGAACATTTTTTATTTTTCCATATATTGGGAAAAATAATCCCAACTGACTCATATTTTTTCAGAGGGGTAGGTATACCACCAATCAGAAAGCAATTTCAGTAATACACTAGCCATATTTTGATGGTTTATACTACCACTCATTTGTTTTGACATTGGCAATGGTAAAAACGATGGATTTACCAAGATCAGGCAATTTTATTTTGACCTCTCGTCGTAGGCAATACCAAGATCAGAGGCGGAAATCCAATCTATTGATAAGCTACTCCTGGTTGGTGGTTTGGAAGATGAATTTTATGACTTTCCATTCAGTTGGGAATATCATCATCCCAACTGACGAACTCCATCATTTTTCAGAGGGGTAGGTATACCACCAACCAGCTACTGTGGATATTCTTCTTGTGCATGTTACATGAGAACATGGTTCCAACTATCCACACGCCTCTGCAGATTCCAAAGTAGAACTTTATGCAGCTATTGCCCAGACACAGAAACACCAGTGACTCTTGCAGATTGCAGCCCATCATTTTTTTTTGAATCATATGTCTTGTGTCTTGGGAGGGAATGACTTTTGAAGCTGCAATCTCTGGTGCAACATCTCTGCCGAGGCACCAGAGAATTTCTTATATGAAGCACAAGGGATGTGGGGTTCCATTCTTGCTTCAATCCGAAAGGGGCAGAAACACTGACTCCCACCGGAATGCTTTTAGTGGTTTTATATGGTTTTATAGCAATGTTGAGCATGAGGGAATGCTTGTTTGATTCTGTACAAGCACACACCCTGTGGCACCTCAGTTTTAGACCTCAAAAGGAAAGCATTGGGTTTTCCATGCAGCACGTGACAGAACAAGTTCTTCCTCTTGTGTCCATGGATTGTTTGGAAATGCATCCGGCCAGAAAAAAAGAATTCATCACCCCAGTCAAATACAATCAGGCTACATCAGAGTTGATTCTCTAGCCATATAGATGTATACACGAGATATTACGAAATGCAGATTCACACATACATCTATGTATAATTATGTGTATATATATACACTTATACTGTAGCTATACGTATACAAATGTACTGTATACGTGTAGAATCCTAGACGTTTCGGGGGACAAAATCCCAGCCATCGCGACATCCACAGGTACCACATCGCCTGCATCGACTCTCCTGGCTGGGGCCCCCAGTCGAGCGATGGCGTTCAGATACAACGAACTGTTAAGGGCTAGTTTTCATGGGGATTATTTCATGGTTTATAAATGTTTATAAACTCATGTTCACATCACTGGGCCCATCCTGTAGTACATGTAAGCTAGGGGATTTGATTAATTCTGAGACAGCCCATGTATCCATGACTATCCATGTGTTTTATTTCTTGCCAGGTCAAAAACAATTGGACAGTGGATCATGGCAAAAATCGTGCGTTGTGTAAGATTTGAAAGCCCTGCAGGCCGCCTAGATGGACATCAAAGAACTAGTTCATGGGAAGTGTTACGGAGGTCGAACCCGCATATTATCCCCATGTCGGGCGTGTATATAATGTATATATATGTTTTGCAAGCATTTGTAAGCTATTTGCTGTGGTTGATACCATCTCGTTAGTACCTCAAAAGTCCCACCAATAGACAACTGTGCAACAGCACACGCTGTTAAGCGAAGGTCAGACCTGCCCAGTGTGCAAGCGCAATGTCCACACCGAGTATGAGGGCGATTGAGGACCATGCCTTGCAGCCAAACACAACCCCCACAACTCATGAAGGGGAGATGGTTCCAAGGACCTCTCAATACAACACTAGCCTGAAATGAGATCAAAATGAACATACCATAGCTGCCTTGGCCCTTGATGCCCAGAGGCTTCCCCTTGTTCCAACCATTTTGAGGAAACCATGGAAAAAACATGGGGAACCGGCAACCGGCTTTAGACTGTGTATATATATATATAAGTGGGGGATTCTCATCCCAGGTAGGATGCACAGACTAGACATATGAAATAAATATTCAAAGCCTCTCAGCAGCATCCATCGGCCGCATGGTTCTAAATTGATTTTTTTGGGCGTCCCATTCCCATCGGATGGTTGATCATCACCCATTTCCATTTGAAATTACCATTTGGATGTAGAGATCTCTATCATTTCTATCCATTTCTCGATAAACCCTGGACACCCAAATCTTGCCCAACAAGCCGTCAGTCTAAAGATTACCCTCCAAGAAACAGATAAGCCCACCATTTCTAGATCATGCGCTGGAAAACCTATTTTTTCCCTATATATTTTATATCATATATATATATATCATTTTTATATATATATATACATATATATATATATACATATATATATATATGTGCACATACACGTGTTAGTTTGCTGAAGGGTACATCCCACTGCATAGAATCCATATGAAATCCGCTTGAAATCCCCAAGGAGGTAGGCCCTGCCGCTCCATGCTCTGCGCCGGCGATGGAATCGTTGCAAACGCCGGTCGAAGGTAATCTGCTGAATCTGCTGATGGTAGATATTTGCCCTAATTTGATGTAATATATGTATATATGTAATATATATATATATATGTAATATATATATGTAATATATACATATATATATATACATGTATATGTAATATATATGAAATATATATGTAATATATATATATATGTAATATATATATATGAAATATATATGTAATATATATACATATATATATATACATGTATATGTAATATATATGAAATATATATGTAATATATATATATATATATATGTATGAAATATATATGTAATATATATATATATATGTAATATATATGTAATAATACATATATATATATACAGAACATCCCACAACAATAGAGGACCATTTGCACAAACCGATGTCCAAACAAAACTAGGATTTGTTGCAAACCAATGGGCAATCTCTTTGTGCCGCAGGTGCAAGGTGGAAGTTTACAGATTCAGATGGATTTCATAACGTATTGAATCTATATGTATATATGTACATACATGTATATGAATAAATATACATGTACATGATTTTCACTCATTTTTGTGTACATATATATATATATATATGTATATATATATATATGTATATATATATATAAATGATACAGATATAACATATGCATGCATTAGTTTGCATTGCAGTGCCTTATTGCATCAGATACCTACCGACCTTACCTACCTACATACATCCTATGTTGAGAGATTACAATGATTTGGGTTATACTTCAGTTCAAGTCACACAAGTGACTCGAACAGTTTTACCTACTATGAAAGCATTCCATGAATCGAAGTCACTTCCACACAGTGTCCAACTCAAAGTTTAAGAATTGAACCTTACTTAGTTTTCATGATCGAGTTTTCTTTGCACAGCAGAGCAATAAATCAGGCGGCGGTTGAGTGTACCTTTCTTGATCTGCAGTGACGTTCACCGAAGGATCTTTGAAATCCTTTACGGTGGCACGGCTCCGGGCAAACAGTGCTGCTGCGGTCCTGTCAACCATAGGATGTTTGTCCTTGACTGGCTAGTCACGGCTAGTCACTACAACCAACTGGGAAATGGGATGAACGCGGGAAGCGAATACGAACCAGAAGTGCCACTTTCGGCATCGTATTTTCGGTGCCCTTCAGAATCTGTTGACACATGGGTATGTTTTCCCCTACAAAGGCGGGTTATTTTTGGTATTGAAGTTGAGCCACCCAGTTTTTTGCCCACAACGGTTTTGATCCGTAGCTGGGTGCGCGAGCTTTGCAGTTTTGACCTGCTCTCAAGCCAAGCAATTTTGGCCTTTAGGGAGTTGAAGGCTGGACATTTCTCCACAGTCAAAGTTACTAGGAAAATGATCTCGAACTGGGAACACACTGCCAGGCTTGACCACCAGTATATGTGCATTACATTTAGTCATAGATGTCATAGTCGTTGTCCCTTTGCAGCTGTGAGCCATCTACCGAGTTGCCTTTGAAAACATCAACAGGTACCACTGCTTTGTATTCAACGGGTTTCCTCAGATGACCAGTTCTGAAGTCTTCTAAGAAAGCTACCCACCTTGCGAAATCCCCTACTTTTGCAAGGGTCTCCCAAGTTACGCCATAGAATTCGTGGCCGTACGTTCATGTTACATCCCCATGGTGTTAATGTATCTCGGATCCCGTTCGTGATGTTTTTTTTAGCTGCCCAGCAATGCCTCTTCTTGCACTACCGTACCTCTTTGATTTTAGGTCCCTCCACTCAACACCACCATCTCAGTGAAAAAAGTCCCCAAGACATATCAAAACCATCTTTCAACTTTAAAAATCACCATCAAAAACTCCCATCTTCCAGGGATCTCCCCAGATTTTCCCCAGATTTTCCCCACCCTCCCAGGGCCATCCAGGGCCCCCCCTGGACCTTCCTGGGGTCCGCCATGATCCGCGCGCCCGGCGTCAACGCCGTGCTCAATGGCCTGGCCTTGGCTCGGCAGATCCTGCGGCGCCAAAACGCCTTTGAGGAAGCCGTCATCGGGAGGCGCGGCGCAGGGGGGACGGTTCCTGTTGATAGGATGGGATATTATTCAAACGAATAGTAGATTTATGGGATCATATAGATTATTGAATTATAGATTATGATCCTGTTCGATTTGAATAATAGATTTTATAGGGATAGGATGGGATCGATTATTCAAATTATGATCTATTATATGATCCATTATGGTATATATTATGGTATATATTATGATATATTATGATATATTATGATATATTATGGATATATATATAGGGAAAATCTACCATCTGGTTATTCAAATCCCTTATAAATGGAGGTTTATAGCTGGGAAAATCATCTATAAATGGGCAATTTTCCATGGCTATGTTAAATAACCAGAGGGTATGTGATGATGATAATTATGATGGGATCCGAGATACTATTATGGCAGATAGGATGGGATCTATTATGATGATCGATTATTCATGATCTATTATTCAAATTATGGTAAATTATAAATAGATAATATATCATAATAGATCATACTTAATAATACATATATGAAGTATGTGATCCATTATGGTATATCATGATATATTATGATCTATCACATGATATATCAAATGATTTATTATGGTATATATCACAATAAAATGATCCGTTATTCCTATTATGATCTATTGTGGTATCTTATGATCTATTATGGTTATATTACGGTATATCTATTATGAGGATGGGATCGATTATGACCTATTATGATTAGGACATATTAGGACGATGGATATGAAATTATCGCTTTGGCTGCACGACCACCTGAATCAAAAGATGCAAAGTGGACAAACGTGGATCAGACATGTTTATCAACACAAAATTGCTGGATGCCGGGAACCATGCACCAATGCAACAAGATGTTCTGAAATGATATCTCCCAACTCATTCTGTGGATTTTTCTTCACAAGGGTCATAGATATGAACTTAGACCCCCCATTTCTGCAAAATCCCTGAACAAAAAAACATCAATTCGATTTATCAACCGAAAGGCCTTGGGTGCCAAAAAGCCCATACAAAAACACATTATATACAGTAAAACATTATGCTAGCCAGAAATTGGCTTTCAATGCTTTCCCCTAATAATCACATCAACACCTTCATTTCTCTTAAATAATGAAATTATCGTCATGTACGCGAATAATACAGAGTCCCCGACCAACTTGAAAATCAAATTGACCAAACTGAAATTTCCCAAGAATGACAATCTGGAGCTGTTTTTATTAATTGGGGGGTTTGAAATAGGACGAGGGGATTAGCATGGGTGCAGAAAGGCTCCAAAATGATGGCTCTAGGATCATCGGCTTCTCCAGAGAAATGATTCCAGAAGCCTCCAACGTCCGCTGCCAAATGTCTAACACCAATTAGTTGATCCCCAAGGGCCCCCCTGGAAAATTATTTCAGATACTCTTTTGGGTGGGTCTAAAATCTTCCTCAAGGGTCCCTGCTCGTACTTGAGGGTATGACTATTGCTATGGGATGTTCTTTTTGGATATTTTAGTAGAGTTAGAGTTAGAGGCATCACTTTCTGAGACCTTTTGTGCTTGTTTTTGGCTCGTTTGATGGTCGGTGGATCCATTGATGATGCATAAAAATGGATTCTGGGGGACTAAGCATCAGTTTGAAATTGATTATTTGGATATAATGAGTTCAACATTGCTTAAGATGCTGGTTCAATAGTGGATTGGTTCATGGTTGCTTTTGACATGTTTTTTGATCATCGTTGATGAGTATGGGTAAGGTTCCCAGGCACTGGAAACCTCGAGAGTAGACCTTTGTCCGACTAAAAATAGGAATCTCATCAAAAACAGTGCGTTTGCAGCCAAGAGCTGTTGAATATGGGCCAAACAGATTCAACATGAAACCCAGAGAAAGATATGTAAGCTCAGAAGATTCGATGGCTTTATATGTACAGATTGCCATGTCGATCTCGTACAGTAGGTTTATCGTGGAAAAACAAGAGGCAACCCTCTTGTCTCTCGACCAGACATTGGCGTCTTGATGAGTTGGTATGTGGACTTTGCAGAATCCTGACCATTGTGTCACTATATATATATATATGTATATATATACATATATATATATACATACATACACACACCTCATTCACGAGGTGCATGCATTGATATTTAGCTCCAGCACTTATTGTATGGACTGGAAATGGTGACCATAGACCAGCTCAACTGGATTTCCAACGGGTCACGTTGGGTCCCCCTGGTGGCCCACAGGAGACCCCCAAGCAGCTTCCTGGATCTCCGCGAACTCTCCTCGCCCTCACTGTGGCTGCTGGCGTGTCGTCGCTCCCACAAGCAGCTGTCCAAAGCGCTGGCTGGGGAGCATCGCAAAGAGGCGCGCGGAACCAAAATGCCCTTGGATGCCCTGGAAAGCATGAAAAGTCTCTTAGCATGTTTCAGGTTTTTAAATGGCTCTGGATGTAAGATATTCATAGAAATTCTAAGTCCTAGAAACTGAAGAGTAGATGGTATGTTAGATAATGATACATAAACTATGGTATCATTCTATTATGCTTCCGGATGCTGCCAGATGCTGGCTTCCAGAAGACTTCCTTGGGCGAAGTGTTTCGCACTTCTTTCTTTCTCTGAAAATCCAGGTACCCTCTGGTAATTTAACATAGCTATTGAAAATGACCATTAATAATGGATTTTCCCATTAAAAATGGTGATTTTCAATAGCTATGTTAAATTACCAGATGGTAAATCCAAGTATCCCTGAGGGTCACTGGATTGTTCCTGAGCAGAATGTTGCGCAATGCTGGTGAAAATGTTGGAAGCTCCCAACTCGCCCAACCACAGGTGGAAGAGTTATTGGCCCAATACTCTGAGCTCCTGCGTTTCAGTCAGGTGGGGGCAGCTGGTGTTGACCAATAGCCCGGAGGTTTGAACAGCTTGAAATGGGGCAACTTCCCCAACAACTGGCTTAGGATTTTAGGCCACAGAAATTGGAAATCACTTGGCTCCCCGGTCCCAACAAAAATGGTGTCTCGCTCCTCGAGGAACCAAACTTGCCAAGCAAATCCTTAGTTACAAGACTTACGACCATTCAAAAACTGGGATCGCCGTTATCGGACCACCCCACTGTTGTAACTGGCCAAAAAATAAAATGGGCTTCTAACTCACTTAAACCAGGATATGAAAATCATCGAACATGATCCTCCGCCCACTGGTGGATTCATAGAGGGGTCACCGAAAAATTCCAGTACCAATAGGTAAATGAATGCAAATGATATGGTTTAGTCGGTTTAGTCATGTTCAGTCCAAATACCAAGCTATAGCTTCATTTTACCAAACTGTATCCCCAGACCATTTAGATTGATATTGACATTGAATGACTGGTGGTTTGGAACATGAATTTTATGACTTTCCATTCAGTTGGGAATGTCATCATCCTAACTGACGAACTCCATCATTTTTCAGAGGGGTAGGTGTACCACCAACCAGTTGAATGATAATAGTACCATACCCTCTGGTCATTTAACATAGCCATGGACAATTGCCCATTTATAGAGGTTTACCTATTAAAAATGGTGATTTTCCATGGCTATGTTAAATAACCAGATGGTAAATGGTTTAGTACAATGACCAATTCATAGCCGGCCATTCTTGGGAGGTACTTGATAAGGCCAAGGCTTTGCGGCCGCAGCTTCTGCTCAGACGCTTGTCCTTGGGCCTTCTGGTCATCAAAGGTAGCGCTACCTGGGAAATCCCTGAAGTGAATGGAGCTTCGAATGGGAAAATCGTGGAACTCAAAAGGGGATGATATGTGTCTTACTTCAAAATGGGGACAACTTCTCAACATTTCAGGTGGAATTCTGGTAAATCAGGATATGTGGTAAACCTGGTGACAAAACTACAGGGGGTGGATCGAAACTATCGGCACTTGGAGGCACATCATGAAGGCTTTGCAATATATTGTAAGGGATGGAGGTTCCGAAATGACACTTTGCATTGACTGGCACTGGAAAAGTGGAAAAATCCATGAACATCTCCCATTTCCAGCCATGTTCTATCACATCTTATGGATGAATTTCATGGAATTTGCCCATGAAAAGTGCGGATTTCCAGCTGACATTTGCCACGGGGTGAAGCCACCTAGGGCTTTACTCAAGACTCGCGAGTCGGTGGTACTACCAGGCGCATGGCAGGGGAAATCTTATGCGTTGAATTCTTTTATCCTCAAATCACAGGCTGAATCTGTTGAAGATGTTTGAGTTCAAATTTTAAACGAGCGACACTATTTGGCTTCCATGGAAGTTCAATCTTTAAGCCAGCTCCCCAAAAAAGTGGAATATATCCTCCAGTAGTCAAACATGGCTTCGTTGGGGGCTAGAAACCTAGATTTCGTTGGATTCCCAGCTTGTCATGTTTGATCACAGGGAATCTCTAAGGGCCACGATTTCAGTGTTATCACAACTCCCCAGTGGCACATTCCCAGTCCTCCAACTATAGGCCGTGACCACCGGCCTACAGAAAGGGTTAGTCAAGCCTGGGGTTGGAAGCCCAGTGGAGATCGGATTTATGGATATTTATGGATCAATAGAGCGATGTATAAATGTCTATGATACGAAATCTATGAGCAAGAGTTATTTCAATTTCAATATTTTCGGATCGGTTTGTCTGAAAATGGGGTGTTCCTCAATTTGTGGACTGTTTAGAATTGGTAACTTGACAAATTAAATGTTCTACGGAGTGTTCTATTTTATTGGGGGGACGGGTCAAAACCTTGGTACCTGGTGAACATCAAAATAGCTGGCAAATGGAGGTTCATTCCCCTCGAGATGGTATTATAATGTATGATAATGAATTATAAATATTTATAATGTATTATATATTGGTATTGATCCATCAATATCCATCACAATTAATACAGATGCTTACTTTGACTTTGCGATGATCCCACTTATTGATTGATATTTTTGGTCATAGCTATGGGAACAGATTGTTTAGCCATGATTCCAGATCCGGCGATAAACCCGATCATATCAGCGAGAAATGATGAGATTTTTGGACGGTGAATGAAGTAACAAAAACATACGGCAAACATCAACTGGTTGGTGGTTTGGAACATGAATTTTATTTTTCCATTTATTGGCAATGTCATCATCCCAACTGACGAATATTTTTCAGAGGGGTTGAAACCACCAACCAGTCAATGATGGCATTGCTTAAAGCAAGAGTTTTCAGAGTATCCGTGAAGCACGCGTTTTTTTGGGGCACCGAGGAAACGAAAGGAATTCCTTCGGCAGTTTTGCTGCAAGTGAAGAACAAGGCGCACAAGAGTCGGCGTCCTAAACAGTTGCTGCTGTACTGGTCGCATGTGGGAAATAGCCAAACATACGACGACTTTTGACACCATATATGGAGATTTCCTCAATATTCCTATATGGGGGGTACCCCAAATCATCAAAGTTATTGAAACCCATGGTATGGTGACGACTGGGGATCCATGACGAAGCCAACAGATCACCACCAATCATCACTGTACCTATAGATGGGCCATGGGATTAGTTAACTGGTTAGCAACTGGGCTATACATGCAGGCTATGACCCATTACACACATACCCAGTTATAACCCAGTTACTAACCAGTTGACCCAGCATCCCTGGTTCACCAGGAAGCCACAGAGAAGCTGATGGCCAAGGACTAAGGTTTTTTCAATGGATTTTACTGAGGAACACAGGTGGAATATGGATGAATTGAAACAGGAAAGACTTGCTGCTGCGAAATCAGCCCGATTCTGGACCCGAACAACTGTGGGATTGATGGACCGCTATGACTTCTTGGTGGCTACAGAAGAACAGCTGGATTTTCCATGAAATAAACCATCCAGCTATTGGGGTATCGCCCATTAATGGAAACCCCCAGGTCCAACCAGATCTGGCCAGTTGTCTTCCAAGTGCCAACCAGTTCTTCTCATTGGCCAAGGAAGATGTGCAGAAGCAGCAGGCCAACTACAACATGACTCTTCAGCGAGGCACTGTGGGGCACTGGGCTCAGGTGAACCATGGCTCAACAGTCACCGAAAAGCATGAGGAACGCCAGATATCAGGCGTGTCAATACGACAAAAAAAACACATCATCGAGCAGATAAATCATGAAACATCAAAAGGACTCAACATGATGAGATAGCAAGGATGAGAAGGATCAGATATTCATATTATTTCATATTGATCAATCACTCTTTGCAAAGTCTCACAGTTCTCAAAAACGACAGAAACAACGACTGCACGGCGGACTCTGCCAGGACTACAGGGCAAAGGATACCTGGACCTCAATGAAGAGGTGCCATGGATATGCCATGGTGATCCAGCCAGCAAACCTGGGGAACGATGTGGAATATATCATGTTTGTTTCTGCATGTTCAATGCTTGCCGATTTTTTCTCCAGTTTTTTTGATGATCCAAGGAGATCCAAGGGATGTGTGTGTGAGATAACCCCACACATCAGGTTGAAACCAGAAAGCGATTTGGGGGCGACACTTAGACTTGAATTATGTTTGACCACCAAGAGAAATAACCTAGCTCCTGAAAAAGGCAATTCCAACTGCCAATCTTGTCAACTCGAAGACTCGTTCATCGAGTTTGTTTTTTTTCTCATCACGGTCATCAAAGCTGTCTGAAAATAGGGTACCCCCAAATTTGATGCTTATAGTCATGCTTCATCACCAGTTTCCCTATAATTTTCCCCACTATATAAATTGATCTAAATTGCAACTTGGATCCATTTTGGGGGTATACGGTATATCCCATTTTGAGACACAGCCCATGTGCATTGCTCAGCCACTGCTAGCACTTGCCAGCTGCCCACTCTCCGGCTGCCACCTCACTGGAATCATGGTTTGCCTATAGGGGTAACTATCCAAAAATAGCCACATTTCAGATTCGTAAACAGTAATAATATATATATATCTATATCACTATATACATTATATAATTATATATACATAATTATACTAGTATATATATATATAGTTATATGTGTGTATATATATATAATAGATTGTTGTAACTGTGAAAAGTGCTGCCAGGTGTACTAGTTTTCCCTGCTGCTTTGTAGCAGCTTAGTTCTCCCAGCTGGCTGGCTCCAGGTCCTTAATGGATTGGTTTAAGGGAAAATATGGTACGTACGCCGTGAGACAAATGACTGGTTGGTGGTTTGGAACATGTTTTTTTATTTTCCATTTCATATATGGGATAATCCTTCCTATTGACGAACTCATATTTTTCAAGATGGTTATTGCACCACCAAGCAGGTAATCCAGGTCCATGTTTGGGAGTTTGGGGAGAACATGGTAAACTTCGAAAAGAAATAACCACTCAGTTTACGAAACTGTGAAATGTCAAAAAAATGGTAGGGTGGAAATTACATGGGAAAGCAACTAAAGACATATATAAAGGCCATATTAGAAGCCATATATAAGCCATATATAACTGAGGATACTTCATATGTAACTGGGGGTATAATCCAGTTGCTAAGTGGGATGCACCCCCTAAGTAGTCTTGTGATTCGAAATGAATCCTTTGCAGCCGACCTCCGAGCGAGTCTCTGGAGGACTTGATAGGCCTCAGCAATGAGATGAAATCTGTGGGGGAGCCCAATCGATATTCAAAGGGGCACGGCACCTTGATGGTTTTCTACTTCAGAATAGGGTTTTTCTGGCCATTTACGGGGAACACCAATCGCTACGCATGCTTTTCCTGAGCATTCAGTGCTAGTTTTGTAAGTACTCCATGAGACAAATGATGACTTTACTAATTGGCGCTTTCTGTGATCTAATTTTTGGCAATCAAGAATGGACCCCGCTACTTGGATCACTGAAATCCCTTTTGGACAGGTTGATGGTTGGGAGGCCATTACAAAATAGTCCAAAATAGTCCAAATTGTCTTAAAGTACAATCCGTAATGTATCAACAAGGATGAACCAACCAGCAACCAGCCAATCACATCACAGTGAACAGATGATACATTCCCATCTTTTCTGACTAAATCGATGAAAATTCATCATTCAATCCCATATTTGAGGGAAAAAAAAACCTTATTTTCTGTGAAAATCAATGGAACATCCCATATCCCCATATTTGTTGATGAGGGAACACAAATCCATTTTCTGTGATGAACTTCTTGTCTACCAAGGTTTGGGAGAGTCACTTGGGCTCTGCTGCTGTGCCCTTGGCGAGTGGAGAACGGAGACTGCAAGATGTTTGGAGCAAGGACTTATGTATTCATATTTATTCAATCCATAATCTTGACACTGCATTTTTGAATTGGAAATCATTGATATATATATATGATAATATATATATATGTATGATATATATATATATACATAATTCATGAAATGTTCCGATGTATAACTGCTTATTTGGACTTCGATGGAATTTCAATGAAGCTCCTTGAAACAGGTATGGCGGAAGACCAAATATCGAGTTCCCATTGGCTCGGAGCCCCGCGGAGCGAGGAGGGGGATGGCGAAGTTTGATCATCCCACATCCAATTCAAATTGATGAAGATTCTGAAGTGGTTCATTTCTATGGATTTCTGGAATTTCTGGTTAAGATTTCATAAGTCAATTGAAATATATTTAAATCCAGGTCGGCAGAACCAACCATATCCAACCTCTCCCGCACTTTCTCTGTGAAACATCTCACATTGCGCACTCAAATAGAACACCGTAGATTCTGCACTGCAGCCCACAGCCAGTCCCACTGGGCTGCCGTTGCATTTGCCGCAGCATTTCAAACGAAGAGATAGAGAAGATGATAAGACCATGAAAAGGCATTCAAGGCACAAGGTGCAAACATCTCAGAGTGTTGAGACAGGATTAGTCAGCTGGTGCAGATGTCCGACCTGCAGCGGGAATCTTCATGAATGCAGAATTCTTACAGGGATGAGAAGGAATTCAGACCACTGCAGCGTCCTTAGTGTACAAGGTATTTCGCTCAAAATCAGAGGTCAGGGTCATGTTGGCAACCAGTTGGGAAGACACCGGCAACAGCATCCTTTGGCGCCGCTATGGCAGAGCCAACTGGTGCGAAGGGGTCCATCTTTGATCACAAGGCATTTGGGGCACTGATTGACTGAAGAATTTTGGGGAGATCATCCAAATCTGATAGAGGTTTGAATAGAATCTGTATTTTGATACTTTGGTGTTTTGGTGAAATCCCCTATGTTCAAACACCCCTGCCCAGTATGATTTTTTTTGGGGGGATGGGTGGCTGAATCATGAGCCGTCCAACATGAGCCAGGAAACAGAGACCTTAGCATTGGAGGAGAGCCTGACTTGGATCTGTTTATATATGGGCCAAAACAGGACTACACTGCGTTCATCAAACCTGGCTCCACTGGAAAGAACATATCCTGTAAATGGAGGTTACAACGGGGTGTGATTACTGGAGGGTATGACTTGGGTTGGCAGTGACTTGGGGTGGCAGGCGACGTTTGGGTGACGGAGAGAGACCATGACATAAATTGGAGGTATTGGATGTGACTTGATTTTGCTGACGAAAAAATCCCGCCATGGTGACGGAGTGTCAGCCCCTTTTTTTGGATAGTGAGAAGTGTCGCACAGCTTTAGATGTTTTCATAATGTATTTTCATAATATATCCATATATATCCTTGGTCATGGCCCTGGTTTTGAGACCATGGATTTGCAATGCTTAGATGAGTTTTATATCCATGGATTGATGAAGGTAAAGACCAGGGATCATCGGTGCCCTTGAGCCACCAGAGTTGTTTGTCGTTCCAAAACAGGTGGCTGGTTTCCAGTATTGTACGGTATTTTCCATCACGATCTCCCGGTCACAGAAACATTTCTTCCTGTTTTTTTCTCGCACATCCACCTCACACCATGGGTGGCCATGGCTCGTTGAGCCATTGACTGAAGACACCAGGCCCCAAAAGCAACTTGACAGCACTCAGGGAGGTCTGAGGCCGACAGTGACACAGGTGGTAACCCCAGTCGTAGGGGGTACTAGTCCGGTTCCAAGCGGTGATTCCCCATTTGCAAAGCCATAAAGCCACTTGCAGGTGATAGTTTGCCTGCTGATGCCATTCCATGGATGGAAGGGCTCCAGGTAGACAGTGAAGCTGATGAGCTGCTCCTCAGACATTGCCAATTGTTCTCATTGGGTTGTACTGTAGTCCCTATACTGTGTCATCCTACATCAAAATTCGTTCTATGAATGTTAGAGGTACCTGCCCCTAGTTGCCACAGCTTGAGAATGTGCCACTGCCATGGAGCTGGAAAGCAAACCGACAGCAAGCGCCATGGAGGAAGTGACTGATGGCAGCCCGAAACTTCAAGTGTCTTTGCCAAGCGGACGCTGTAGCCTTGTTGCTCCCACTGAGTGGCAGCGTTGCTGATTTGAAAACGGCCGTGCAGCAGTTTTTTGGACACAGATTCATGATGCTTGCAGATCTCCCCGATTGAGGGGTGCCAGACTTCTTCAAAGGCGGACAGGGGGGGGCTTCTTCCAAGAAGGGGGGAGGGGAAGGAAATGGTGGCTTCCCCATCGCTTTTTTGAACCCACCTCCCTCCCCTCCCCCTTTTGGCAAGAACCCCCAGAAGCCCCCCGACCCTCTTCTTCGAAGAAGCCTCAAGGAGCCCCCCCTCCCTTCTTCTTTTGTGGCCCTCCCTCCCTACCCTGGACTCGGGCAATGACAGCACAGCTGTCCAGGATCAGCTGGGGAATGTCCAACAAGTTCATGCCACACGCTGCTTTTGCTGCAGTCTTGGCTGATGGAACCCTCGTCAGATGGGGCAACCCGGGCTCGGGCAATGACAGCACAGGGCACAGCTGTCTAGGATCAGCTGTGGCGTGTTCAACAAGTTCATGCTACCTTTCTGTTTTTGCTCCTGTCTTGGATGGAACCGTCGTCACATTCCGGACTCTGGGGGTGACAGGACTGCTGTCCAGAATCAGCTGAGGAACGTTCAGCAAGTTTAAGCCACACACTGCTTTTGCTGGAACCTTCGCTACATGGGGCAATCGGAACTTTGGCGGTGACAGCACAGCTGTCCAGGATCAGCTGAGGAATGTTCATCAAGTTCAGTCTTGGCTGATGGAACTGTCGTCACATGGGGCAGTTCGAACTCTGGGACAGTACAGCTGTGCAGGATCAGCTGATGCATGTTCAACAAGTTCATGCAACACACTCCGCTTTTGCTGCTATTTTGGCTGGTGGAACCGTGGTCACATGGGGAAATCCAAAAACTGGTGGTGCCAGCACAGCTGTCCAGGAAAATATCACCAGCTGCTACTGGTAGCATGCATTGCAGCATTTTTTGTAGCGCAAACTGGATCGGGGCTGGGCAGCAGGTGCTATGGTTATCTATAACCAAACTGCCATGGTCACAACAGTCAAAACCCAGTTTTCTTTCCCATGATGATTTAATGGGACACAAATGGGATTATCATGGATTATCAGGGGATATATCTATATATATATACATAATATAAAAATAGAACCTGAACTAAGATTAACAGTTGGATTATTTTTTTCAAAGAGGGGATGGTCACCCCCTAATGAATAGAGGGATTTATTTATTGTAAGGATCCCCAATTAAAGGGATGGATGACCATACCCCATTAATCCCATGTCTTCAGTTGTCTTCACCATGCTACTCTTTGGTTTTCCATCTCTAGCACACGGTTGGAAGGTTGGAACCTGGGGTTCCTTATGTTTTGCGCGTTTGAGGTATCAAACTGATCAAACCTACCTTTTTGGTGCTTGAAATTTGGGTTGGCCCCCCTCAAATTAGTTTTTTTTTGAGGGGATGTACAGTACGGGAGCCCGTACTAGTTATCATGACACGGAGAACTATCATGGCTTCCCATACTGAGATCCTGAGGAAACTATAGAAGACTCCAGTGATGTTCACACCGTGGTCGTAGACGGGAATCCAGTCGGAGTGCTCAGAATGGCCGTTGATGACATCCTGACTGCGTTACTTAAAACTGTGGTGACAGAACCTTAATCTGCCCGTTTGGGTTGGGATCCCTTCTTCTTGTTCTTGTCCTTGTCCTTGTGCTTGTTCTTCCTGTTGTTTGTTCTTATTCACGTCCTTCTTCTTTGTTTTCTCTTGTTGTGATATTTGATGATATTTTGTATGTTTCTTTTTTTCAGTCTTCTTCTGCCCTCTTCTTATTTCTTCTTCCTATCTTCTTTCTCCTCCATTTTCCTTCTGCTTGATGTGCTTCCTTCGCAACGTAAAACGTCGGGCAACCATCGGTCATGTCAGAGATGTCAGCCGCTGCTGGATCAAGGTCAAGATGGATAAGCTTGGCCCTCTGGTGATCAACACAGATGGCAGCATTGCTCGTCAGGGGCCCGATGGATCGACTTCACAACGGACTGACCATCCCTGGAGCAGTTGACCGTTTTTTTGGTCCATGGTTTTTGCGGAAAATCCATGGAGATCCCAGCATTTCTTTGAATCAAAAACCACCAGTTTCGAAAGTCTCCCCAGTGCTGAGACACTCGGTTCACACACTGTCAATGATGCTGTCTGGCCCTGTCCTCCCGGCTTCGATTGTGTTAGATTAGTACCAACATATGCCAGTCAGTGAACCCATTTCCTGACAGGGATGCTCTTCAAGGACTAGCTGTTGATATTGGATGGGGCGCAGAAAACCACCAACCAGATTATTGAATACCATTCCCATATTTTTTAGTTGTTCAATGTAAAAGTACAAGCGATATATGTGTGCATTGGTTGAATACGTACATTAATATACATACATACATTATTATGCATGTATACTATATACACGTGCGTGTATGATATTAGTGATAAATCCCCATGGCATCCCTACTCTTTGTCCCAGAATAGAGGCGACTCAACCAGCAGTCTTGTTGCTTTTTGAGGCATCAACAACTGGCACGAAATGACCGAGCTGGAGCAGCAGAACACGCTGCGCGTGTTGGGGAAGCGGAACAAGCAAAGGCGGGGAGAGGGGAAGCTCCGAAAATCTTTGGGATGAGAACTTCGGAGGATTTTGAGGCGTGCAGATTTCAGATTTTGAAAAATCAGGACTGAGTGACTTAGTGACGAGAGAAACAGTGAAAAAGTACAGCTACACCACTCACCTCCCACATCTGTCAGGCTTGCGAAGCTCAGGGAAGCTGAGGCTTCTAGCAATTGAATTGCCAGAATTGTCATGGATAATTGCTATGGGTTAAAAAATGCGGGTCTGCCATCTTTTGGGCAAATACATGGAAAATACATTGGTAATGATGCAAACGAATGGATGAGTTGTTGTTGTTTTTTCGATTATAACACCATGGATTTTGAATGTAGTTGTAGTTTATATATAATTATATATTGAATATATATTGTGATTAATCAATGTATATTGTACAGTTTAGTTCTGGATCAATACAGGATCTATTATTTAGTGTCAGGTCTTGGAGGTGCTCACAACTAGACTTAGTATATACACTTATATTTATATTTATGTTTATGTTTATAGTTATACAAACAAATATTCTAAACTACTGATAGCTACTAAAATGTGCAAAATCTAGTGTGTTTGGTATCGAGAAGACCCATGGGATGGCAAAGACTTCGAAGCTGCAATGCGGTCGCCGAATCTGCGAAACGCTGTGGGACCTGCGGGCCAGTGCAAGAGACGAAGAGTCAGACTGCCTTTGTACAGAGTCGAAAAGGAGATTCCCTCTGGTAATCTGTTAGCTATGGAAAATCACCATTGTTTCTCTTGGCAAATCATCGAACTACGTTTGCCATAGCTGCCATAGCTATGTGATATAAATGACCGAAGTGATCTGAAGGGCACTTTGGGTGGATCTTGCGGGTTATTCGATGGTCAGATTGCTGGGGGTTCACAAAAAGAAGCCTCATAAGTCAGAGAGAACCTATGATGAGTACTGGGACGATCCTTGACATTCTACGAATATATATGTATATATATAGTCAATACAAAATATTGCGTAGTAGCTTGGTCGCAACTTGCTTTGATCCCATCTCGCTAATATATGAAATACCTTTCATGTGGAAAATTTTCACAGATCCAACACCAAATACATCAGGGTTTCTTTCCCGGGGTATTCGATATCGAAAAAGGATGAAACCGGGATAAACACAGAATCCCAGAATTTTTCAGGGAACCTCAACAGGAACTCCATCATTTTTCAATGGATTCTTGGGATCCAACGTGCCAGCTTTTCAGGCCATGACTCCTTGGGAAAGATCTCCTCCTTTTGCCAGAATGGTGCCACCCGGAAACGTCTGTTCCAGGACCTACAGACGCAACACGAAGGGGGGAAGATGTTTCCGAAAAAAAGGGATGGTACCCTCTAAACATGCAACACGATGCAACAAGATGTGAAAAACCCACCGTTTGTAGCTCATGTTCCGAACGGGAAACCATGGGTTTTTGTACATTTTTGGCATGTTTACCCTAGGGTAATATCTTCTGGTCTAAAGCATCGCTGAGACATAGACATTCCAATATTGGATTTCCAGGCCAGCCTTGTTAGATAAGCCTCGTCAGCTTGCCGGAGATGGGACCACCGCTGAAACAGATTCACTGTGTAAACCTTGGGAAATGGATGGACATGGGAGGTTAAGTGGTGGTTTTGTGGGTCATAAAACAACATGGAGGAATATGTTGTCATCATCATCATCATCATCATCACCAAGTATGTATATATATATATATTCTAGAACTAACTAAATTACTCTATAACACATCTGTCGAATTTTCATCTTTGGCGTAGACGGCAGATCCATCCAAGACGCCACAGATTGACGGCACAGATTCGCAGGAGTTCTACGCTGGCTTCGATTCCTCCTTGGATGAGGCCGCCTTAGAGCTGTTGAGTCGATGCCTCGGATTGCCTCGGCCCGTGAAACGGATTCAGATGGTGTCACGATGTGATGTGTGGGAGATATATGATATATATATAATGATAGATATATTATATATACATATTATAATATATATATATATAATGATATATATATATATATGAAGATATCCAATGAACCATTCAAAAGTTGAACAGCAATTCGGGCTTCGCAAGTACTTGGGCCCTGGGATTAGTTAACTGCTCACTAACTGGATTATAATGGGTTATAATGGGTTATAATTCTCATTGAGTCAGTTACAAGCCAGTTAGCAACCAGTTAACTAATCCCAGGGCCCATGAAATGCATCAGAGTCAGCGCTGGAAACATGGCTGAGGAGCCAGGAAGCGGCTAGCTGAAAAGCTTGGCTTTAGGACTGAAAGCGAAGACGTGGTTTATAAGCCATTTACCAAGGCATTCATGTAACTGGGGATACTCCATATAGAACTGGGATGAACTGGGGGTTTTTGACACGGTTTTTGAATGTTTTTGACCCATTTACTGTGTGAGATGCACCCCCATGTGCTCTACAACTCTGAAGTTTGTCTAGGGGAACTCCAGGAGAACTGCCAGCCATTTGGGTCGTCAGGAGCTATGCTGATCTTGAAATGGCGCCCATGGCGGTCAGAGATGAGGTTGGCTCATGAATCAGATCGATGACATTTCTGTCACCCCCAAAAAGATAGAAAAGTAACATCCATTAAAAATCCTACTATATGAAATACTGTAACAATCTGTAACATCATTTTTGATCGCTTTTCTTCTTTTTTTTGAAGCAATTACTTCGAGCTCTAGGCGACGGCGAGACGCTTCATGGACCAATGTGACTCGCATGGCCGCCGGCCGGGTGGTGGGGGGGGCCAGCCTGGGAGCAGAGGTAGCCACCATCTTCACCATTTATTGATGTTTGGGTTCCTAAAATGGGAGGTACCCCTAGGGCCCTAGTTATCATCCAGCTCTTTTAGAATGGATTTTCCCTGAAATAAAGCATCCAGCTCTTTTAGATTGTGATTTTCCATGTAAACCATCCAGCCATATTTAGGGCCCCACGACTTAGGAAACCTCGATTGTATAGATCCATGAGGGCCCCATGGCCATGCTGTGATTTGCTGTGGGAGAGCAATGACCTGGTCACTGAGGTTGGAAAGATGCGCAGCCTGCCATGTCCAAAGCCGGGAGATCCCGGGGCTACACCAATTCCTTGGGACATGCTGACAGATTTGGGAGCCATGGAAACGTGAAGTCGGAGACTAGCAATCCCCCATGACAAGACTCAAGTACCAACTAAGCTGGTCAATCTGAAGCGATAGTGCGGATCCATTTGAGTGGAAAAAACCTTGACTTGTTGGGCGGAATGTACATTTAATTGCTTCATTAGTTTATATATGTTTATATTACTGTAGTTCCAATTCACTTAGAACCAGAGATCATAGAAACCAGAGATCATTAGTTCCAAATCTACTTGATCATAGAAACCCAGTTCATTATGAATGCAGTTGGCCATCGCTGGTTTCCCACTTTGTCCCATCGTGTTTTTCCCTCCACCGTCTCTCGAGGTCGTCAAGAAGATGAAAGATTGGAGTGGACGAGGTTCGGACATGGTGACTTGAAACTTGGCTTAAACGATGCTTAGATGGCTTAGATCATCTCAAATAAGCTCTTCAAATCATCTTAAATCATGATGAAATACAGATGCTGAAAACTTAAATCATCTTAAATCATGATTTTACAGTGAAACCATGGAAAAACAGTACACCGTTGTTTGTTTCTGCGCGGACCCAGAACCTTCCAGTTCGGCTGCAGTTTTGCCCCATTGCCCCACGTCAGGTGGCAAGAAAGAGGTGAGCCAAGTGGACCAGGCAGCAAAAATTCTGGTGATTGTGAGTCCCCTAAGTGGGGTTATCCGATATGATGATGAAACAAATTCATACATAGTTATATATTAGACAGATAGTGTTACATCTAAATTGGTTTTATCTGTGGTTCCCAGTGAAGCTTGTCCCGCTCCCACAAGGTTTTCTGGCAAGCTATGGTGACACGAGAGGCAGACACTTGGAAGTCGCCTCGGATGAAGACCCGGTGGGCCGATGGGGTAGCAATGGAGTTCCCAGTGGGGCCGACAAGAATCCAACATTCTTCAGTAATGTAGGTAAAACAACGTCACAAACCACCCATGACTGGGAATGGTAAACATACCACCTATAAAAATGGTGATGACTGGGGGATGGTTTATTATTATTGTTTTACCCAGATTATTGAATTTCACCTGAATCCATATAAATTACCTTACAATGCAATGGGCAGTTTCGCGCTAAAATCTGGTTGGTCGCTCATGTCGTTCTGATATTTGCCAATGGACATCAATTTCAGAATGGCGGCTGGGTATGGTACTCGACTGTTTTATGCATTCAAAAACAATCAAAGAACTCAACAGACCTTGGCATTTTGATGTTGTTTCTATCCCACAGCGACGATTTCTACGGCCGGGCCGGGTTCACACTTCCGTTGGGCACCCAGGTTGGCACATTTTCTTCCAGCAGACCGGTCACTGTGGGGTAGCCTGCAAAGAGATGGCATCTGGACACAGTTGGCGAGTTTACAGTTTACTGCCATTATTCCTGATGAAAAGCATGACATATTTTTCCACTCGTATTTCTGAACAACACCTTTGACTTTTACCATTTTTTTACAATTTTTTACCATGTGGGTGTGTCTGCAAATGAGGTATATATACCCCCAAAAAAATGGCTTTCATTTAATAGGGAACAATGATGATTCACCGATGGATCTCGAGGTTTTTCAGTTCAGACCGAGGCCTCGCTTACTGGAAGTGGTGGGCAAGGCCTATTCGGTGACCTTCAGAGAGGTGTGGCGGGCCCAGTGGCTTCCCTGGTCTGAAAAGTGAAGCAAGTTTAAAGAAAAGATGAGTTTTCCATAGTATTCCAGGATTTTCTTGCTGATTTCGATGAATTGGGTTGGAATCTGGATGGAACAATGGGATCCCCTTCCTGGGTATGTCCAGCCCAAGAAACACCCGGTGTTTCGCATGTACCCAACACAGATACGAAAAAATAACATGCGTTGTGCGCAGTTTGGATCTCTTTGGATTCCAAGATTCCCAGAGCGCCATGCGGAGGTTTCTGAACATTTGGGTACCCTCAAAATAAATCAAAATAACGCGCACCCAGAACCAACTTGGTTTCCCTGTTCACAATGACCAATTTTGGACCAATTTTGGATGATATTGGGGTTCCCCCAGTTTCAAGAAACTCCACTTCTTGATGGCAAATAATGTCAAGTCAAATCATGTCAAATCCCAATTTTCGTCAGTCTAAATCCGAACATTATCTGAGAAAATGGTGTAAACTCCCAATTTTCGTCAGAGTACATCCCAACATTAGCTGTTCAACTCCCAATTTTTCGAACGGTTTTTAATCCACCCCTCCATGGGCGTTGCAGGTAGATCCACCCAGTTGGGCCTCACGACTCCTCAATGGCTGGCACAAGTCCGTGCAGGTTTTTGAGGCTTGGACCATCTGGCTAGTGGTTAATAGTGGTTTATAAACCCAAAATATTGATAGTGGTTAATAGTGGTTAATACCCTATTGGTTAATAAACATCCCCACTGTTAATAGTGGTTTATAAAATCCATTAACATCCCATAGAATCCCATAATATATATAGAGTGTATGTATATATCTGGGTAAATTTCATCACGACCGACCCCTGTTCTCCCTCACTATAATCATAGTAGGGGAAATGATCCCCTTAGCTGGCCGAACTCTTCAGCTTAGTGAAAAATTGTAATTTACCCAGATTCCATGGTGGTGTTGGGGACATCCCCTGGTGACACAAAGATGGTGGTATCATGGGGCAATACAATGAATAATCTAGATGAATGATAATGACCTTCCAATTCTCATTGGCTGGTTGGTGGTTTCAAACATTTTTTCTTTTTCCATATTACATGGGATAATCTTTCCCATTGACGCATATTTTTCAAGATGGTTAAAACATGTTAAAACCACCAACCAGTTGGAATGATGGGAATTGGATTCGGGGAATCCCCAATAGCTGGCCGAACATTTCAGGCTCCGACGGAAAAAACCCGGAGAGAGCCTGTCCAAATAGACAGTCGCAACACTTTTCTGGCGATTGAAACCAATAGATTTTTTTTTCCCCCATGAAACATGATGTGAATATGATTCAAAAGTGTTGGTCCCTGGACCACTGGATCTTGATTTTTTTAATCGTGGTTCTTCCCGAGATTCGCCCGAGATCTTATCGAAATTTGCGAATGCAACCAAAATCAACCAAACATACTTTTCTAGATGGGCTGGAATTTTATGATGATGTTTGATTGATGATGGTTGTGCATAGACAGATTGTGTGAGAGGCCAGAATACTCAACAACATATTTGAGAATGCAGCAGGCAAATGTTTGGCGTCTACAATATAAAAGAACAAGAACATGGTATGGCAACTCTTTCCGAATGAATTTCCTGTTTCTGAATGCATCAACTATCGTGCAGGGATAACAAACTGGTTTCCCGGAGGAGTCTGTTTTCACTTGCAATTCCTGAGATAAACCAATACACTACGCCCAGGCATTGCAGAATCTCAAATGATCAGAGAGGGCCACATCATGTGGATCCTACGGGGACCTCCATTCCAGCCCGTATTTGACATTTCAGATGGTGGAACACATCTGCAAAATTTGTGAATTTTTAGCGTGTTCACGTCTTCTTCTTGGTTTTGTTGGTTTCCAAGCATCTCAAACTATTTATAGATTTATAGGGATTAATAATGATTAATTGCAATAAGAATTCGCCTGAGTACCTAAGAACCAATCGAATTTGCCTCTTCTTTTTGGTGATTTCTTCAGCGTCAGGTGACCGATGGGCCACCTTCAGCGGTGGGGGTCCACAGATCCGTTTTTTAAAGATTGCCCGTCCACTTGCTGATCTTGTTTGAACATGGGCAAAAGAAACAATTTGATGGTTCCCCTCTGTAAAGTAGCATGGATGAATTATGGATGTGGAAAACAACAACAGTTTTTTGTTTCGTTCGGAACATGATCTGCAGTGGATTTGCCAGATCCATGTTTACCGGAGGGGCTATTCCTCATTCTCTATGTTTTTCAATGGCCATAAAACGATATAAAACGCGGATTATAGTTTATAAATTTATAAATGTTTATAATCCTCCGCATTTTAGGACTGACAAATTCGGGACTGGCCATAAGCCTCCGGGCATCCCATAACTTTGCGAAACTGCAGGTGAGAGCACTGGGACAGCGTCCAAAGAAGTTGGGCTATGTCTACCTTGACCTGTACCGAAGGAAGTGAAGTTCAACGGTGCTGACAGCAACGACCTGATGGTAGTTATTCCACAGAAACTTAGTCAAGGATTCCCATTGGTCTAGCTTGGTATGTAGATGCTGATATACCAGGAGTTCTTAATCTCCTACTCAACGATGCTCAACCGACGTTGTTTCCACTTCACTCCAGTTCTATATTATTCCCAACTGTGCTATGGTTATCTAGTTGTTCCGTATTTTTCTTGGAGGGTTGACCAAGCAAGATCATTGAAGAGGCTTCCCATTGGGAGTGCCCCACTGCGTTCACTTTTCATATGTTATCTTAAGATATAAATCGATTGATGAGCAGATATACAAAACGATCAAAACTGCACAAACCCATGATATTATGTTGAAAACTTATCTGACTCAAGATGAGCCTTCCAGAAAATATAGCGATCCAGGATCAGCTGGCTGGGACGACCAGCTTTGGAGCTGGCAGGGGCCGCAAGGTTATGTCCCGGCCATGCATATCTCTGCTTCCTGTCTACAAACTGCGAAGTGGAAAAACACTGGTGATCTGGTGATGTGCTGAATCCATGATTTGGCTTGACTTTTCCCGGGAAAGTCACCATTGGGTCACCATTGGGGAATCTTTTTGAATATGTTTTTATTTTTGCTGGGGTTCCCAAATAGCAAATCCAAGTCAGATCTGGCCGAAGTACGGACAGTCCGACATCACAATTAGGAGGATGCTAGGGGGAATTGTCTCAGAAGGATATTCTTTCAGGTGGGTTCATTATTTGAGTTGAGCCCGATGGAAAGATGGTGTGATGGACGTTTCTGGAGTCCAACTCAGAGAAATGCAGGCAGTTTGGTGTGGTTGGAGATGACGATCGCGGATAATCCAAGCAGCCAGCCTCTGGTAATTTGTTACAGGTTGAAATTATATAAGGAGGTAAAGAGATAAACCATGTTTGCCGTGATATCTTCATTGTATTCCAATTATATCACCCTTATATTCCCATTAGATCCTCAGCATATCCCAGTACATCCCATTAAATCTCATTAACTCCCCTTAAAGTCCTATTTTTCTTTGTAAACTCCCTTTAAAGAGCAGTGAAAAACATGAAGTCTTAGCTGGGCCTTGCAGTGCTTGCAGCTTGAAATTTCACAGCCAAGCCCAGGCTGCAACTTGGTGAACGCTGGCGTTGGTCAAGGCGCAGGATTTGGCACATCCAAAATGTGCACATCCAATGTGAAATTTCTAAGATCCGGAGACCCAAAGAATTGATTTTCCGATATTGATCCAAAATTACCATTTTCTGTCGCCACCCGACTGCGTCGCAAGGGAAGCTGCTAAGCCCTGAAGAGGTGGTGGGCATCACTCATGAGCTCGGCCATGCTTCTGGGCTGCGAAGCAAAGCTGGATCACTTCTGGCTGGTGGGCCACCAAAAGTGGGGGTACTCCCAAATCATCTAAAATTCGACCATTTTAGTATATTTAGTATTAATGGTTTCAGGGATCCTCCATTTTAGAAATCATCCTTAAATCAAGTTGGAATAAGTTGAGCATTGAAAATCGCCCGCCTGAATTCCGCTTCAAGTTCTTAAATCAAGTTGTTTCGCAGCCTAGTTTTCCGGGATGATTCTCCCTAGTTTTCCAATGGTAATTTTATTTTCGGGATGGGTCGCCCAACCAAAGAGCTTTTCAACTTAGGCTCCACTGTCTTGGTGTATCTTGGTGTATTTTTTGTGAATTTGGGGACATCAAACACCCAGATTTTATAACATCTATTTCAAGAGCAGGAAGACTGATGGTCTGGGCCCCAATTTTGGACACTCAAATGGTCGGAGCATCTGAACTTGTTTTTCGTGTCCGTTCCCTCGAAAACTCTATGCCGACCAAACCACAAATCTGAAGGACAGTGTACGGTGAATAGCTGGTGAAAAGTGGACTTATCAGAGGTACTGCAAGATACTGAAGCCCGCATTTTTCAATAAACATACTCAAAGTCAGTGTGATTCCGCACCATGGAAGTCATGGTATCCGATCTCACATACGACTTGTAGCACACTATTCGCTGCCAAGGCTGTGCACATGCTTTGCCACACCGGAAGCCCTTCAGAGTTCGACGTCCGTACTGCCCAGTCCTACGAGTAGTTCGCTTAAGGAGATAGGTGGGTGTGAAGATTTATCAAACGCCCCAACCCCCAGTTTGTTTCTTTGGGGGATGTCCTTGGCCGCTTACTTTTCTAACAGGGGGCCTCAGCCAGCCACTTGGATTTGCTGATGATCGGAAATTATTTTCTCAATGGGAAATCCACCAACCAGGGATCCATTTGGGGAATCAACAAATATTCTTGTTTTACTATAATTGTTTGCAATTATTATATATATATATATTATTGCTATTATTAACATTACTATTATTATTGCTACTACTACTGCTACTGCTACTACTATTATTACTGCCTGCCTGCCTCCCTGCCTCCCTACCTACCTACCCACCTACCTACCTACCCACCTACCCACCTACCCATCTACCCACCTACCCACCTACCCACCTACCCACCTACCTACTATTAGCATTTAAACCATTAATAAAAAATAGTAAAAATGGGGTTCCTAGAGCCGCAAATCCAGGCATTGTTCACACGACCGGCCGAGGATCTGCCGCTGGATGTGCTGGAGCTGCTGGGAACCTGAGCCTGATGTGGGACGCCATAAACAACTACCATGGACTGGGGGATGGCTTTATTAAAGATGTGCATACAACCCATAAAAATTATGATTTTGGGGTTTTTATCATGTTTTATGATGTTTTATTATTGGTTTCAAATGGTGGTGACTTGGGGATGGTTTATCATTGTTTTGCTATGTGTTCTTTTAGCATCAATGATATGCGGGTCCAAGGGTACTGGCGATTTCATCAGGGTCCTCAAAGCCTGATTTTCCAGTACTGAACTGGTTGGCGGTGGTTTGGAACAGGTTTTATTTTTCCATATATTGGGAATGATAATCCCAACTGACTAATATTTTTCAGAGAGGTTGACACCAACCAGGAAAGGTTAAATTTTCTTGCGAGCGAATTGGAACCACAAAGCCGGGCTTTGTGGGGCACTCAACTTGATTCGGATGATTTTTGTCGGCCCGTTGGGTCCAATGAAAAAAATCTTGTTTCAGGCATGACACCAATTTATCATAACTAAGATAAAGTATGCTTCTAAGATTATGCTGCGCTGTATGCTTATGGCTAAAGTATCACAGCCATAAACCGCCCCAATGTACTAGCGTGGATTGAAATTTGGAAGGTGGACCCAACAAGACTGACTCAACTATTTGGGTTCGTCTGAAGATAGGATACCTCTAAATCCATGGTTCATCATTTTCCCTATTAAAAGTAATCTGTTAGATCCAGCTGTAGGCCCTCTACGCTCCTAGAGACGATCGCTGTGCAGCCCGAAAACATGACGCAGGTCAGGGAAGTAACAATGGGAAGTGGTTGAGAATTGGGAGCAGCGTTTGGAGCAGTTCGGAACACCACCTGATTACGTTTTGTGGACTAATTTTTCCCACTGCCTGCAGTGTTTTGTAGGGGGGTGGGGTGTGGGATGGGTAATAACGTTCGGTTTCTTTGCGTTCTTGCACACATGCGTGATGTTACGCTAGGTGATCTTCTCTTGCACTTGCACCACTTGCACACATGCGGGATGTTACGCTAGGAGATCTTCTCTTGCACTTGCACCACTTGCACACATGTTACGCTAGGATGCACTTGCACCACTTGCACACATGCGGGAGTTACGAGATCCTCTCTTGCACTTGCACCCCTTGCACGCATGCAGGATGTTACGCTAGGAGATCTTCTCTTGCACTTGCACCACTTGCACGCATGCGGGATGTTACGCTAGGAGATCCTCTCTTGCACTTGCACCACTATGCACACATGCGGGATGTTACGCTAGGCGATCTTCTCTTGCACTTGCACCACTTGCACGCATGCAGGATGTTACGCTAGGAGATCTTCTCTTGCACTTGCACCACTAGTGCACACATGCGGGGTGTTACGCTAGGCGATCTTCTCTTGCACTTGCACAACTTGCACACATGCGGGATGTTACGCTAGGAGATCTTCTCTTGCACTTGCACCACTTGCACGCATGCGGGATGTTACGCTAGGAGATCTTCTCTTGCACTTGCACCACTTGCACACATGCGGGATGTTACGCCAGGAGATCTTCTCTTGCACTTGCACCACTTGCACGCATGCGGGATGTTACGCTAGGAGATCCTCTCTTGCACTTGCACCACTTGCACGCATGCAGGATGTTACGCTAGGAGATCTTCTCTTGCACTTGCACCACTAGTGCACACATGCGGGATGTTACGCTAGGCGATCTTCTCTTGCACTTGCACCACTTGCACACATGCGGGATGTTACGCTAGGAGATCCTCTCTTGCACTTGCACCACTTGCACGCATGCAGGATGTTACGCTAGGAGATCTTCTCTTGCACTTGCACCACTTGCACACATGCGGGATGTTACGCTAGGAGATCTTCTCTTGCACTTGCACCACTTGCACGCATGCAGGATGTTACGCTAGGAGATCTTCTCTTGCACTTGCACCACTAGTGCACACATGCGGGATGTTACGCTAGGAGATCTTCTCTTGCACTTGCACCACTTGCACGCATGCAGGATGTTACGCTAGGAGATCTTCTCTTGCACTTGCACCACTATGCACACATGCGGGATGTTACGCTAGGCGATCTTCTCTTGCACTTGCACAACTTGCACACATGCGGGATGTTACGCTAGGAGATCTTCTCTTGCACTTGCACCACTATGCACACATGCGGGATGTTACGCTAGGCGATCTTCTCTTGCACTTGCACCACTTGCACGCATGCAGGATGTTACGCTAGGAGATCTTCTCTTGCACTTGCACCACTAGTGCACACATGCGGGATGTTACGCTAGGCGATCTTCTCTTGCACTTGCACAACTTGCACACATGCGGGATGTTACGCTAGGAGATCTTCTCTTGCACTTGCACCACTATGCACACATGCGGGATGTTACGCTAGGCGATCTTCTCTTGCACTTGCACCACTTGCACACATGCGGGATTTTACGCTAGGAGATCTTCTCTTGCAGTTGCACCACTTGCTCGCATGCGGGATGTTATCAGGAGATCCCCTCTTGCACTTGTACCGCTTGTACACATGCGGGATGTTACGCTAGGGGATCTTCTCTTGCACTTGCACCACTTGCACACATGCGGACCTGATGAAAACAGATTACTGCATTGAAAGCTTCGGCGCGCGTTTTCATCAGGGCGGATGTTGGTTGATGATTATATGGGGTTATACTATGGCAATACTATAAAAAAAAATATATATAATTATATATATATATGTATCGGGGATGATAATAATCCATTATGGATTGACCCTACTTAGATTAGCATCCACTTTCTGCTGGTTGACGCCTTCACCTCACTGGCAGTACGCGCGGCATTGGAGCAGCGAGAGTCTTCCAGACAAAGAGTTGCTGAGTGACTCGCTTGCAGCAAGGGAAACCCAACCAGTTGAAACACGGAGAGATCTGAAAATATCTGAGGATCTTTGAACATCAACGTTTATTCAAACATGGTATTCCAACTACTGTAGTTACTGCACCATCTACACCCTTTTCATCGCTGAAGAACCATTTAAGGATAATTTGGGATGATGTTTTTTTTTGGATCCTTTTTTTTTCCGTCAGCCACATCCAAGCGGCAGGATCTTGCCAGAGGGATTCGCACTTCTTCGTTCGAGTCCTACAAAACGCGAGCATCTCTTTGGGGCTCCATGCAGAGGACTCGGAAAAAAACTCGGCTGGACGACGGCACATTTTGGGATTGATCCTATCAGTGCCTATCAGCAATCCGCGGGGCATGTCTGGAGCCACGTGATGATGGAATCCAAGCAAACACCTACAAGTAGGGAAATACTTTGGGGACCCATTATATTTAAAGTGGTTGGTGGTTTGGAACATTTTTTATTTTTCCATATATTGGGAATGTCATCATCCCAACTGACTAATATTTTTCAGAGGGGTAGGTATACCACCAACCAGTAAAGTTCAATTTACTTCATTCAAGTCGTATCTTCAATTCGCGGAGATCATCCGAAGAAAAGTCCATCAAGGGCTGACATGGGCCTGGACCGACTCCCGTGACCCGTTTGGTTTAGAAAGATGCCAGGCAACCTGAAGAATCGCATTCCTGCAAACATGGAACATGGTCATGGTTTGTTTCATATAGGATTCCATAGGATACGCATTAGAATCACCACCAAAATGCAACAACTTCTGGGATCTTCTGGGCCGTGAAGGACTTTGATCCCTTCAGCAGCACAGCGAGTGATGTCCGCGCAAAAGCCGTTGCACTGTTGCTTGAAGCCAGTGGGAGCGGTGTATTGGGTGCTAAGCAGAAGACCCTGGGTCATCCCTCTCGGTCGTTCGGTGGTGTGTGAATGGAAGGCCAAGCGAGCAGACGTAAGGATCGTAAGGATTGAAAGCGCTCTGCTAGTGCTTGCACCACTAGTACCACCATCTTCTGCACCCATCACCCTATCTTATCCTCATCCACCTCTACTTTCAGTGCGGAAAGCATCCACCAAGGTGGCAGCGATACTCCACCGTGGAAGCGGATCCCATCTTCACGCCCTTGGGCGGCGACGCAGGTCTCAATGTGGGCCATGGAGCGAACCATGTGGCGTACCTCCTGTGCTACCTACGTCCCTTGGATTAACGAGCCATCGTAGTACCCGAATTCCGACCCATACCCATATGGCAAAGTATGCTGCTGTTGTTCCATTCCCCTATGGTATACTTGTTCATCTCAGCCAGCCAGGGACTGGAAATCATGTTTTTTTTAAATGTTTTCATTTTTTCATTTTGATCATCATTTTTTGGGTTGAAAATTATAATTCCCTTTTTATCCCCCTTACGTTTTTTTCATTGTTTTTTCATTCCTGTTTTTCCTTCCTTTGGCATTTTCATTTTTCTTTCCTTTGCTTCGAAAATGGTCCTTGGTCCTTAGGAATTGCCACAAGGAGCTTTTTCTCGAACCCTTTTCGTTTCTCTTCATTTTGTTTCGTGTCTGTATCGTTATGGTTATTTTTCGTTCCTTTGATTTGAAAATTATCCTTGGAAATTATCAAAAGGAGTTTTTTCTCGAACCCTTTTCGTTTCTCTTCGTTTTTGTATCGTTTTGGATATGTTTCCTTCCTTTGCCTTCAAAATTGACCCTGGAAATTGTCAAAAGGAACTTTTCCTCGAACCCTTTTCGTTTTTTTTCGTTTTTGTATCGTTTTGGATATGTTTCCTTCCTTTGCCTTCAAAATTGACCCTGGAAATTGTCAAAAGGAACTTTTTCTCGAACCCTTTTAGTTTTTTTTTTTTCGTTTTTGTTATTTTTCCTCCTTTTCCTTCAAAATTGACCTTGGAAATTGTCAAAAGGAGTTTTTCTCGAACCCGTTTCGTTTTGTTTTTTTTCTCCCCCGTTTTTTCGTTTCCTTTTTCATGGTCGTTTTATGTCGTGTTCATTTTCTTTTTTTTCCGTTTTTTTTGTTTAATTGTTCATTTTTTCTTTGCTTTTCCTTTTTCATTTAATTTTTCATTTTCATTTTTTTTTTTGCGTGGTTGTTTTCATTTTTTTGTACGGGGTCAGGTATATGATATATGTTTTTTTTTCATTTTTGCTGTCGTTTCTTTCTTAGTTTTCATTTAATTTCTCATTTGGTATATATTATCTTTTCTGTTTCTGATTTTGATTCAATTCATTTTCGATGCTGAATGACAAGTACATGATGGCAACGTGCAAAAAAAATGAACAAGTATGAACATGATAATCAATTGATATTAATTGCACATGAAGGAAACACGATAAACAAATTTATGAAAATGACACTTGCACATGATTGGAGAATGAAAAACATGAAAATGACAAGTTCACATGATCGGAGAATGATATGAAACAGGAAAAAACATGAAAAACACACCGAAAAACAATGACAAAATAATGACAAAATAATTCCGTGGTCCGGACTCAGTCTGTGGTTGTAAGATTCTCATAATGGTATACCATACAAGGCCGGTTGGTGGTTCGAGCAGCTTGGCCCAGACAGTGGCACATGAGGTGTTGCTAGCATCCTGCAGAACAAGGGTGGCAGGAGTGGGTGGGTATGAGTTTGCTTGGACCCACAAATGACATGATCATCGCTGCAGGGTATGCATCCCAGTCTCACAGTTCCGGGTCTTCAGTGCCGGGTCTACCACTGATAGATTGACATCCTAAAGCTTTCGAAGGTATTTAAGTTGCGGTGATTTTAAACGGCACAGTGGATTTGGATAGAAAACTGCCACAGAAGATGACCAGAAGATAGAACATATATCTAATTTTCACCTGTTTGACAAAGCATATTCATTGTATTTCATTGTTTATTTCTTCATCTACAAGTAGCATACATCATTAGATTTTCTATCTGCTGATTGGGTCCACATTTGCATGCCTCGGCCTCAGATCCCCTCGCCTCATCGGCAGGAAGGATGTCCGAGACCGACTGTTGCCTGGCATCTGATGTGGGGACAAATCTGACTTCAGGAACTTCTGATTTTCATCATTGTTCATCTATGTGGGTGGAAAACTCGACATTCACTAGGAAGTATGGATACCCTGTCTCTTTAGCTAAGCGTTGGAGGGTTATGGATTCGGGGTAGTAGAAGGAATCACGCAGTGTTTCTATTTTTATTTTGAATGTTTGCCTCACGGATTGCCTGCCATTTCTTGTGGGTAAGCAAAACTTGGAGGAATGACAGTAGCCACGCGTTGCCTCTGCCCGCAGGCTGCAACCCGAGTTCGCATCAAGGTTGAGGTCTCAATTGTTCCTTGTTCGCGCTTGGAAATGTAGAATTCGCCGGCGGCCCGCGGGTTATTTCCCTACTGGCATGGTATGAGAAGTTGGTAGGTGGTCAGAAGTGGTCCCCCATGTCATGTCCCATGCTATTAGAATAATATGACATTGTCCTTTCCCAATACCTGGTGGAATGTATGAATCTGATCGTTTTCTCAGCCGTTACGAGGGGAAATCAGATTAGTATCAGGGGGATGGGGGTTATATGGGTGTTTCATCAAATTGGGGTTCCCCAAAACCAGAGGTATCTGGGAATCCGTACAAAAAAACATCAACACATATAACGATGTCCTAGTGATTTTTTGGCATCCCCCCATTTTTCAGAAAGCACCATAAATGTGCCATGGTGAAAACATGGGTCATCACAACAACGTTTCAAGACGTACTCAAGGACGATGAAGGCAAAGAGGAAAGAGATGGAAAGAGCGGTAAGAACTGGTGGATATGTGTAACAATTAGATACAATTAGTAATTCATCAGAGTTAATGTCAGGAGCATCTTTTAGTTCGAACTCAGCAGGGGACCCCGCCACCTGCGCAGCCTGCGCTTGGGGTCGCCAGGTTGGACGCCAACTTCCCAGGAGAACGGATGGCCTCCATCCACCCTACCCTGGTGGAAGCGAAAGGTCGGGATTCGTTTCGAATTGGCACATGGGGGATCGCTGGATCACCAAAATGCTTGGTTTATCATGGAGAATCCTGTTAAAATTTTCAGATGATTTGGGGGTGCCCACATAGGAGATATCCCCCCATCTTAGGAAACCCCATGGAACATGATGAAAGCATCAGAAAATAGGGAGGCCGTGAACTCGGCGTCATCTCAACATGATCAACTCCTAGCCATGTTCATCAACACGACAATTGAACACACATTGACATTTAGCAACATGGCCGCCAACGGCAACGACTCCAGGTCGTGACCTTCCACATCCCCTCCCACCGCACAGCGGACCCAGTTCGGGGTGGGGCGAAACAGGAAAAAAATGGGTCAAAAACATCGGAAACTGGCGGAAAGTATGGGAAAACCATGGGAAAACCATGAGAAAACCATGGGAAAACCATGGGAAATATGGATATATATATATATACATATTTATATGGAAAAACTCTAGGAAAGTGGTGGTTTATCCAAGAAAAACATGAATGTCATGGGATTTTCCTGATGCCTTTGAAGCTTCAGTTTTGAAGGGTTTATACCACCCATAAAAATAATTTGGGGATGGTTTATTGTTGGGTGACACATGAACTGTTGTGGCTAAGTTGACGCTTTCTGAACTTGGTGAACGAAATTGGGTGGATCAGGGCGATATCACGAACGAGTATTCAAGGGTGAATCTAAAACAACAAGCATTTCACTGGGGGGCCTCAACTTGTTTCAGGTTTGTTGATTTTTTGTTTCAGGTTATGCTGTTTTGATTCGCCCAGAGTTTTTTTTTGTGTTGCGTTTGACTGCGGATCTTCATCAGACACTGGTGAAACGACAAGTCGTTCATCCTCTTTGGGAAGACAGTGCATGTCTGTCGGCATACATAGCCGTGACAGGTACATCTAACGTTCGCTTCAAAGAGGATTCAATATACAGTAGAGTAACATTGAAAAAAGGATGGACCGTGTTTTCAGGATGATATTCCCCCAAATATGTTCAAGGTTTCCAATTTGTCTATCTTTTCCAAGGTTACTAATTATGAAATATAAGGTGAACAACCTGCTGCCCCAAAGCTCAGATGCAGTGTCAAAATGATACCTCAAAATGGAGGGTTTCATATGATCGAATATAGTTAAAGACTAACTAACATTGACCAGCCAGAAACGTGGGCACAACCAATGGTACCCCAAGTTTGGATTGATGCGAATTATAGGGGAATGTGTAGATTGCAGATACTCCAAACTCAACAGTTGACCAGCCCGGCCAGCTGCTGATGCGCCCAGGCTTCCGAGTAGCACGTCACTACTCTTCCAGCAAGTGGCATAGTGAATTGATTATTGGTTGGTGTGGGCTCAAAAATGATGGAAGTCGATTTCTGATCAAGTAAACTGGTTTGTTGCCGAAGTTTTTTCTTGAATGACTTCCAGAAGCTTGAGCCGCATCTATATTTTCGCCCTTAGTCCTGCAACATGCAGGTTTTCAGGCCAAAAGCAACTCAGGAGAGAAGTTCACGACGAGTCAAACTGGGGAGGGAACCAAGTTGCCAGTTGCCAGTTGCGAGTTGATTGGAGCCCACTGCGATCTTCTCGGCCTTGGCAAGCCTCAAGCTGCAGTTGATCATGGATCCATGTGAACATTAGCAGCAACATAAACCATGGAAATATAAAATATATGGAAATGAATGTCAAAATGGCATAGTTTTTGATTTTTGAGCACTAAAAACATCCAATGGCGCGGGATTCGTGGTGATTTCGTGATTTCGTGACCGCGTCGGGTCCCGGGACTTCTGCAGAATCGAATCATGGCGCCAAGCAGAGGGCCATTGGAGGACGGCTGGCTTCCACAGATCCGGAGGTTTTCGGACCAAGATCTCCCAGTAAAATCCATGGTAAAATCCTGGAGTGCTGGGCATTTAACATATTTCACTGAAAGAAGATCCATGAAGATCCGAATAAAACACGCCATCTTTGATCTTTTTTTAGCACAGAAAGTCTTGCCAAAGGAGGCCATGAAGGTCAAGTTGAGGCAGATGCAGGTGCCTCTGCTGCACAGAAAAACTGGGGCCCCACAATAACAGAACTGGCTTGTCATGTTTGATTTGTGATTGAAACTTCAGAAACACAAGAGACACCAGCAAGCCCTGAAAGGAATTCAATGGGATTACCGGGTCAACCTTTGTTAGATACTTTAGTACTCTAATCTTTTGCTATCAATGCTAAAATATACTAACATATACTAACCAGCTATTTTATTTTTCTTGCAGCTATCTAAGATTCACATTTTTTTTTGTTTAATGGGATCAAATGTTGGATGATGGTTTTGGATCGTCCTTTGATAAGTAGCCTTTATCCAGCATGATCCAACCAACTCAGTCTGTCACTGGGGAAGATTCACTGCCAAGCATGTCCAAGATTTTGGTAGGATATCTACCATCTGGTTATTTTAACGTAGCTATGGAAACTGTGCAATTATGTATGTAGATGATTTTATAATGATTTACCAGGTTCCTTTTAAACATGGTGATTTGCCATAGCTACCTTACATTACCAGAGGGTAAGATGTCTAAGATTAGTCACGACCCAGGCATTCCAGTCAGTCATCTCATCTCGCCAGGCAGCACGCGACTTGGACTTGAACCAGCTCCAGGACTTATCAAGAGTGCCAATTTTGGTAATTTTTGGTATTTATTATTACTAATCCATAGAGTTGGGATTTTAGATGATTATTTTAGGGTTGTTATAGCAATAATTTTGGAGCCATTCCCATAGTTGAAACTCTTCCATTGAGGTGGGAGGTTGGAAGCTGAGTGGAACTCTATAGCGGGTGTATTTGAGAGGAGCAGCTAGCCTCCCATGTTGCCAAAGTGCAACAACACGAAGAGGATCTCGCGGCCACGGAGGCTTGGAAAGACTGTTGAGGGTTTCACAATGTTTCACAGATCATGTAGAAAATGGTGAGGATTGAGGATGACATAAATAACTAACTAAATAAATAAATAAACAAATAAAGTTAAAAAAAATACATATATATATATATACATACATACATACATACATACATACATACATACATACATACATACATAGTGAGGACATACGTATGACATACGTAGAAAATGCTGGGCTCAAAATGTAGTTCAGAGGCCCTTACCGCAGCGCAGTCGACCCAGGCTCGACTGCGAGCCTCGATGACTGAGATGGAAGAGTTGAGAGCATCCGCTTCCGAGAACGAAGAGGCGAAGCGGTGCCCCGTTGATTTGGGAGATGAATCATCTGGCGATCAATAGCTATGATCCATAAATACATGAAATACCATGTTTAGAGGGATAAACCATATATAAATACATTAAATACCATGTCGAGTGGGGGATGAACATCCATATGGTCCATAATTTATACCCATAAAATCCTAAGCTATTCCAGCTGACGTTCGGGGTACAACTGACTTTTTCAATCTAAAATCCAGTGGTTGATCAGCATTTAGCGGCTTTAGCAGTACCTCATTTCTAGACCAAACCACATGGCTTTTTTGGGCTATGGGTCACAATATGTCAAAATAAGATATCCCATAGATATCCCTAAAATCTGATGGTTCTTGTAAGTCTTAGATGTTCTTACTAAACATGAACAGAATCTGCGGTACCCTGACCAAGGAACGCATCAACAGGGAGCAGCAGAGCTCTTCGCTCCGATCCCGCCTGGAACAGGTGGAAAACCGTGGGTTTTTTTTGGAACCACCTAGGACCTAGGGGGTGTTTATAGTAACAAGCGATGGGATTCTTTTCTTTGTCTAGCATAAGTATAATACTGACTAGCTAAGTGGAGTTGCATGTATATATATTACATCATATTACTATATTCAGGATTCGTTGAACCTGATATCCTGAGGAATATGTTTTGAAAGAAGGCCAACATGGCTTAAGATCGTATTGGCTTAAGATCCTGGTCGAAATCGTGATGTCAACCATTTCAAAATCTGCCAGCTTACAACTGCTAAACTTGGGTTGAACCGTGCTCACTGTATTCGTAAGATGACGTATTTCGATAAAATCGACTTGGAAGAAACTTCCTTGGGCTACCTTGGCCTTTTAAAATACTGCGCACATATACAACTCAAGAGTAGAAATCCAGAAATCCTACCTGCGTCACATTCTTTTAATGTGTTTTGCGTCAGTGCATCATGTAAACAGATTGACAAAACGTTGCCCTTTCAGAGGGCACTTGGTGCCTGTTTCATTCGATTTGCAAATGTAGTTTTGAATAATATGTATGTAATAATATAATAATTACGGGAATCGATGTGCGAGAAAAAAAAGAAGGACCTGCATACAAAAACCAGGCCGGAATGTGGGGGTGTAGGGCACTAATTTTGTAGCGGCAGGCTTACAATTCACCATTGTTAGAAATGGGGGTTTCCTAAAATGGGGAGGTACCCCCAAATCATCAATTTCAATAGGATTTTCCATACCATGCAGCTATTGGGGTACCCTATTTAAGGAAATCCCCAAATGTGCAATAGGCCAAACTTTCTAAAGATGTTCCTTGAATCATCCTAATACGACTTGGTTGATCAACTGCCCCAAGTTGATCCAAGGTAAAGACTTATTAAGATACGCTTGATATAGAGAAAGCCTGTAGCAATTGGAGAGCTCTCAATCCGAGATTACCCTCTGGTAATTTGTTACATAGCTATTGAAAATGACCATTTATAGTGGATTTTCCCATTAAACATTGTGATTTTCCATACTTATGTTAGTTTACCAGAGGGTAACTGTCAGGCTTCCATCAAGCTAGCTGTGCCATAGCTGCAGGCCTATGCTGAAAAGGCGCAGTTGGAGACAGAGTTTGTCGACTTCCGACGAGCAGAAATGGAGGCGCCCCCGGGTAACCAGTGCGAATGGGTTCATTGTCCCTGAGGACATAGCGAAAAAGGGCCCGGCAAAAGATGCGTTTTGTAGGGTTTCAATGATACACGGTTTCTTATGTACCCCGAGGTATTTGGCTATTTTGGCTAATTATGGGTGACCTATCATAGCCTATAGCTGCTTACCTACCTGACACAGAAAACCACACGTGCCAGTAGGGCGACGGCTGCAGTATGCATGACCCTTAGGGTTTTGTTGTTGAAGTCCCCAACAAGTTTGTTGTTCAATAAAGTGCATGCGCAACTTCCCAACATAATATACTTTCTTGTCAGTGAACATGAGGCTGTTGGTAAGTTCTTTTCCTTGGTTCATGGCATCTCGCAGGCAGAAACAGCCAGAGAACGGCGTTTCCGAGAGGACTTGGGCAAGGTGGGCTGCATTGCTGAGAGGCTCTCAAATGGGAGTTCTCAATACTTGGAAGGGTGACTCGAATCTATGGCCCCTGGGTTTCTTTTGTAAGAGTTTCTCCCAAAATTATGGATCATTGTGGATTTGTATCTAACTAACATACTGAGATGCACTTCCAGTTATACGTATATATGATATTATATAACTATAAATTATTTATACGTAGTTACTCAGAATTCCAGAGATCAGTCGTGCCAAGATGTGTGTCAGCACTGGCCTCCTTTTTATGGAACAGATTCCTAGTCACTTCATGGTATCCTTGATGACCTGGTGGTGAAATCGAGGCCGAGTCGTCTAGCAACGCCTTGCACAGCAGATGTGGTCATCTCAGTGGAGCTTTCGGAAAATCACAAAAAAAATGGCTGGAAATCACCATTTTTAATGGGAAAACCACTATAAATGAAAAATACATGTTTTCTTTGTTTCTACATGTCCCTATACCCGTTATTTGAACGGCTCCCTGGATTTCTTGAGAGATGTCTCAGAGGCCGTTGGCAAGAATATCTTCTCAAAATCAGCTGTAAAAAATTATGTATCCTCCAGTCATCAAACGTGGCTTGCTGGAAAATCCCCATATTGTGGATGATGTCCCCATTCAAGTCGCCATTTTCCCATTACAGCCTCCATGAAAGATATTTAGTTCGGGGATTTTCCAATGGTTTCCCAAGGATTTTCCAGCCAAGCGTCTTTCTTCAGTGCCAAGGCATGGATCTTCAAGCCAAAGTGTCTCCTGGCCTCATGTGATGAAGCTGGTGGAACCTGTCATCCCCAGCGTTGCTTTTTGATGTTTTTGGCATTGGGTGGCTGTTTAAAATGTATTTATAAATTTATATTTAAATGTTATTAAAACTTTTATACTGCTGGTTTTTCATGATGTAAAATGAACCAATTTGGCGGCTTCGTTGGGGTTTCCGCAGCGGTTGAGACAAAATAGTGCCTCAAGCGAACCCACGAAGCCAGCTTGTGATGACCGGTAGCTGCACCAATGACCAACCGTGGCTGTCAATGGTCAGTAACTCATCACAGCAGACGAACCCCCAAACCACCAGTATATTCAGGTCAGGATTATGTGTGTTTTGATCGCAATCATGTAACCCAAAGCTACTCCAAGGTTTGATTACTCCAAGATTGGATGATTGAATACAAAAGATGACCTGGCCAATGTTGGCCAATGGCTGGCTTTTGCAATTTCCACCCATGCGCAGTGCATCAAACCGCGCGCCGAGCCCATCAGGTCCCTCTTGCGTGACAAGGTGAAGCGAAGCAGGGCATAGCAGGGCGCAGTGGGGATTCAACCGCACCGGGGCCTTTCTTGTGTCAATAGATCAGAATCAGGAATAGTTTGGAAGAGTTCGGGATATATTCGGAATAGTTGGTAGCTTACAGTTTTACCATGTGCTTTCGAACTATTGCAAATATGGTAAAACTGTACAATAAAACATGTGACATGGTGGATTATTCCAGTTTTTCCATAGTTTTTCCATGTAATTTACCAGTGCTCAGTTTCGCAAAAACTTCTTCAACCTAACCTCGTCGTTGATGACCGACCGCCAGGGACCCGATGGACCCTGACCGACGGTGCCAGGAAGAGCTCTTGGAAGCAGAGGCAGAGGCATCCACCAGGGCCACCGAGGAGTGTGGGGCCCAACGCCGGGAAAGGCCTGGTGCTGCCCGAGAAGCCAGGAGAATTGGTAGAGAAATATGTGGTTCTACTATACGTATATTTAATAATAATAGTAGTAATATATATATATATAATACCATATAATATCTATATTATAGGAAAAACATCGAAAAACTGGAATAGTCCCAATTCAACCTGTTGATGTCGTTTCAGTCATTTTTTTTGATATCCTTTGTGAGAGAATGCCAATCAGACCAGCAGGTTTTCTGTGTTTTCCGCAAGGGTAGGAAATCTGATCCCAAGAATCAAAACAAACATATACACTATGTTATTCATATTCCATGTGGTTTGCAGATAGATCTTTAGAAGATCCGATATGCCTACGTATGTGCCAATGTTCCGCTGGCTGGCTGTTTCAAAATACGTACCCTGATAGCACCTTTTCATACCCGGGCAGACAAAAAAGGGGACAGCAGATAATAGTGATATGTTGTTGTGATAGGTGGCTCAAGTACCAACGTTCCTGCATGTGGACCAACATCCCAACAACAGCAACAGCTATCCCAAGATCATCATCGCTATCCCAACACTGGTTGTTTGTTTGGAACATTTTTTATTGTTCCATATACAGTATTAGGAATAATAATCCCAACTGACTAATATTTTTCAGAAGGGTAGGTATACCACCAACCAGATTCTGCCTCTGGATCCAAGGTGTCAATCGGAGTTGGAGGAGCTGAAAACCGAATTGAAGGCGGGCTGAGCAGTTGATAGGGATTTGTTGGGCGAGAAGAACCCATGGACATGATCTGATATATATTGCTATATACATTAAATATGAATATATAATATAATATAATATAATAGAATATAATATAATATCATATAATATAATATAATATAATATTAATATTAATATAATATAATATAATATAATATAAATAATAGAGTGTGACATGCCAATCACTATCATAACTTGGCTCATTGATCAACCATTGTCAATCATAACTTGGGCATTTAACCATAAACAATAGGGCCTATTTTGATGATTTTTGATGGGGATCATGAGGATGAACCCCTATGGGAAGAAAATGGGGTTGTCTGGAGGCTACAACAAAATTCCATACTCATCACTAGATGGTGAATACGCATGTGATAGATATAGACTGCTACGTGTGGTGACATTTGGGTAACCCAAGTGCAAAGTCATAGCATTGTGACTCATCATGACTGTGTTTTGATGGTGGTGTGACGGTGGCAGCGTTAAACATGGAATTAGGATGAATTAAGTGTACACGAGGGGGCCATCTCGCTACGAATGGTAGTTTAAGCAGGATTTAATTGGGATGCAATGGGAATATCATGGAGATCTCATGGGGTCAAACGCTTTTTCCTAGACTTTCTATCTATCTATCTATCTATCTCCCTATCTATCTCCCTACCTACCTACCTACCTACCTACCTATCAAATCTATCTATTCTATCTATCTAATCTATCTAATCTATCTAATCTATCTAATCTATCTAATCTATCTAATCTATCTAATCTATCTAATCTATCTATCTATCTATCTATCTCCCTATCTATCTCCCTACCTACCTACCTACCTACCTACCTATCAAATCTATCTAATCTATCTAATCTATCTAATTTATCTAATCTATCTAATCTATCTAATCTATCTTATCTATCTATCTATCGATCGATCGATCTATCTATCTATCTATCTCTATCTATATCTCTATCTCTATCTCTATCTATATTTATCTATCTATCTATATTTATCTATCTATCTATATTTATCTATCTATCTATCTATCTATCTATCTATCTATCTATCTACAGGACCCCCCAAATAGGGGGGGTCGGCGGCACCAGGGCGCTAGCCCATTCAAATTCGAGGCTGCCCTCGCAGCGGCTCAGAGGGCGGCGAGCTCCGCGGAGGTGCGCGACGCGTGGGTTCTGAACCGGGATTGTTATGGGGAGAAAGATGATGATTTTATAGGAACATCATGAGGATTTAATGGGGTTTAATGGGAATTCAATGGGATTTGATGGGAATTCAATAGGGATTTAATGGGATTCAATGGGATTTAATGGCATTTGATTTGGATTCAGATCCGGATTTCATGGGGATTTAAGTCGGGATTTAAGTGGGGATATAACGCGATTTGGGGATCCCAGAAGGTTTTTTCGTATACTGCTCAGCAGTGAGAATTTTTCAGAGCGAAGGATAGGTTGGCGATTTTTTTCGCTGCTCATGGTAATGTGGTTAAAACAATAATTTACCAGCCATGACTGGGAATGGTTCATACCACCTATAGAAATGGTGATTTTGGGGATGGTTTATGACATTGTTTTAACCACATTAGACCCAATTTGCGGTGCCAAATTTTGACCCTCTTTCCGCCCATACCGCCCAAAGTGGGGCCACTAAACCGCGCACAGCTGACGGCTGTAGTGTGATCCCTTAGCCATTGCTTGGGAGTAAACAATCCGACGTCTGGGTGGCACCCGGTGTCAACCGGATACTGCACGACGTGGGATGCTGTAGAAACATGAGAAAAATTACAAACGACGAGAATATGACATGATACAATAGGCACTAACACATCCTCCATTGTTTGTTTTCTGAGTTTCACGACCTCCAGTTGTCATCAGATTGTCATCAGATCTAAGAGGCATGTTGTAGTTCAGCAAGGACCCCCCATGGCTGCAGGTCGCCAAACGCGAACGCCGTGACATGCTGGCGGAGAGAGAGGACGAACCATGAAACCAGGGGATGATCCATGTGTGGTATTTGATGTTTGATATGAAATCTACCAAATTTCGAATCTTGTTCATAGCTTAATCATCGAACTAAACGGGCCATGTTCCACAGTTTCCATAGCTAATCCCATTAAATCACCAGATAGGACATGTTCCCATTAAAACCTCCATTCAAATAGGACTCATCGTTGAAAATCCTGTACCCCTCCGCTATGACATTTTTTTCCAACCTGCAGGAGTTGAGAGATACCTTGGCAGACCTGGAAGCTGCCATGCCACCCTCCAAGTGCTGTGCGCTCCAGTGATTCGTTGCGCGGGCGGAGCGGAGAAACATCTGAAATTTTCACCGTTCTTCAGAGTTTTAAGGGGGACAATCATTTATAAATGGTCCATTTTCATCCATGTTCATCCATTTTCCAGGTCGCAAACTGTGAACAATTACCACATAATTCGCCATGGAACCTCAAATTTGCCATGGAAAATCAGGTTCCAAGCCCCATGAAAATGGAGGTTTCATGATAGTTTTCAGATGTTTTCAGGAAGGTAAGAAGATGTGGGTTGGAATTTCAAGAGCTGAAAATGGACCATTCTTTCAGCGTTTCGGCCCACTTGCAGCAATGTCTGCGGAATTCTGCGGACATTTCAATGGATTGGCGAACGTTTTTTTTTTTTAACGACGGCAGTCCGACGCTGAAAAATTCCATGGGAAAATTCCAATGGCTTCCTGTAGATTCCCCTCCCAATCCAATGAACATCGGTACACTTGGAGTTCTTGTCACTGGCTCAATGTAGCCTCGGCCCCCCCATGTGTCCATGCCTCAAAGACTAGGTAGAAAACGGGGTGGCAGATGCGTTGTGCAGCTACAGGCAACTGCTTCGTGGGCGCGCCCAGAAAAGTTCTATCCTGGAGATGACAATGGTTGCTGAATGTCCATGATGTTCTTCACATGGTTCACTTACTCATCCGCCACCAAACTGGAATGAAAGCTCATTTCATGAGGTGGGAAGCGTCACACAGTGACAACATGTGACAACAATCACTGGCACCACCTTACCATTACTTTCGGACGCAGCGATTCATGGTCATTCCAATGTTCTCAGCATGCACCTGTCGGATCACTACCGCAGTCATTTCCGGCTTCCTTTTGTCCATGGCCGCTAGCAAGGCAAGCCGTAAGCCGCATGACATGCAGACTATGTAGCCAGGCAATTGAGAGACAACAGTCGACAGAGGACGTGAACAACCGATTTGTTCAGGTATACAGACTGAGAAACGCTAGGAACAAAGGCAACTCGTTGAGCTGACCGCGAATTTGGGATTGGCTCGCATTTCCGACATCAAGCCCGCAAAGTCTCTTCAGACAGTCACCGCAGACTTCAGATATTTTCGGAGGGGAAGGACTATCCATGCATTTCTTGGGTCGCAGCCTTAAAACCCGTGGGATTGGAGCAGTCTGAAAGTCGTTGACTCAAAAGGTTTTTCTTGGAAACTCGGCCACAGGCCTGTTTGCCGTTATCAACTGTATCATCCTGCTAATTCCTGTCCTGTCTCTAAGTAATTAGTAGGCGTAGACCATTTAATGGGTCGCAATGGGTAACGATTCCTGACAGATTTTCCGACTTGACCGGTAAGTCCCTGAAAGGGTCGAACGTTCCCAAGCTTTTTGAGCGGCTTAGGTGATGATCGACAGCCTCTTCATAGTTTCAACCAGTGGGAGCTACATAGTTGAGAGGCTGTTGGGAATGCAGGAGATTTGAACCTAAGAATTCCGCAATTGTGGAAATGGATAGCGCAGAAACAAAGATGTTGTGGAGAGTAGCGAGCTGGTGACGTTCCACAACATGACTCTCAACCAACTGCTTTGCTCAAAAAGAACGGAACTCTGACGCTTACAATCTTAATCACCATGAAAATCACAATTTTGGAATTTTAGTCACCATTTCATGATATAATCACTTCTTACAAACTTGGTTTCACACACCACAAAGCTGTGAGAATCTCTGTGCGCCTCCAGGCACTTTTGCGGTCACACGCCACGCTTGGTTTGTCTGGGGAATCCAGGTATCCTTTAAAATCACTGTGCCACGGGTGAGATGAGCGTCCGCTTTATTTTTTTGGCTAACAAGACCATTGCATTTTGGATTTGTTAATATGATGATCATCATGTACCATCATGAATGTGATCATCATAAATGTCATTACATATGTAATATGCCATTTATGATCACATTTATGATGCAAAATGTATCAAAATGTTACAACAGCCACAAACTGAACTAGATGTCATCCTTAAGTATGTAGATGTAGATTACCACAATGACTTTCCGTTCTGGTCCAGATCTTTCAACACGCCCGGAGGCTGGGCTGGAACCCCGTCCAGATCTCATGAGCTGACCCCGAGGTGAACCGTTGGTGGAGAAGCTCTGTGCCGGAGAAAAAGCTGATGCTTTGCTGCCGGCCCGGAGCCCAGATGTGGGCATCAAACAGCAAGTTTTCACCGGGTTTTTACCATTTCCATCATGGGCACACAGCCAGTAGCCAGGATTTCATCTACATATAGCATCATATACCGGTACTATATATTATATATTATATATATAATTAATGCAACTATATGCAGGTTGCTATAATGCTACATTCTTAGATTTGCTTGCCTTCCACGTCACTCAACCGGTAGCGAAGCCTCAAACCTCAAAGTGTCAAGCGTCAAGTCACGCAGCTTTCCGCTGCCATCGAGGTTTTTAGCGCAAACAGGAAGCACGTGCTCATCCATGTTGTGCGGGCCAGGGCCCTCAAGACAAATACAGTAGGCAGCCAGGAGAAACTAGAAACATGCCATGATCATAGGTGAGACATTTAGTCAAGAAAGCTCATGCAATGCAGGATTTTTTTCACATGGCAAGAGGTGTAGTCGGGCATGTCCTTAATCTTCTTGCATGCACATGCGCAAACAATTGCAAATGATGGGAAACACCCTTGCAATCAGGATCTGCCTGTCTTTGCCAGTGCTGCTTCCAACCTCATCTTTGCACATTGGAATCAGCCATGAGCCACGCAGCTGTTGTGATCAAGCCAACACTTGGCTTGGCTTAATATGCACTTTGGCATGACCAGCCGCAGGTCATGCAAAATGGAATGGCTGAGTCTGATATCTACTCAGCCTCCCTTCAGATCCTATCCAAAAAAAAAAATACAGTATATAATTTTTAGATGATTTTGGAATATTTTAGATTGTTAGATGATAAAACACAACTGTCAACATCTGTCAACTGTTCTTTTTATTTGTTTCTCCTGTGGGGTGTTTAGCCTGAGACCTTGCATGGAGCCGCGGGGGCGTCGAAACGTTGGAGAAACTGCCACTGGGCCATGACTGGGGCGTGGCACGTGGACGGCTTCAGCTGAACGTTTGATGAATTGGGGATATAACATGATAATGGTGATTTAATGGTGATTTAATGGTGATTAACCATTTGGTAATGGAATATTGATAACTGCTTGGTGGTTTCAAAGATGAATTTTATTTTCCATCATATATGGGATGTCATCCTTCCCGTTGACGAACTCATATTTTTCAAGATGGTTATTGCACCAGCAACCAGATAATGTGGATAAAACAATGGAACATAAACCACCCATGACTGGGAATGGTAAACATACCACCCATAAAAATTGTGATGACTGGGGGATGGTTTATTATTGTTTTACCCACATTAGAACGAACTAGTATTCGTGGCTGAATCTAAACCAACATAACTGGGGGGCGACAAGATGTATGTTCTCGACAAGACCGTTCTGGCCAATATTTGTGACCTCTATCGCTTTTCTTATTGAACTCGTCCGAAGATTTGGATTGATCTGGAAGATCTCATCCTTGGCGATAGGGAGGGTTTGATGGCATACAAAATTGCCAATCTTAGAGACTTTGGGCGTAATGACAAAGATGTACGCATGATATACATTTTATCACATTTTAATTTACATATTCTGTCATGTGTTCCTCCCTTCTCTGCCTTTTCATGCAGTAAAAAGCATCTAGGAATTGGTCTCTCAAGGTCTTACCCACTGCGTTGGCATTGACAATTGAACTCGAAGCGGCTGCTACCCCGACAGGATCAATGTTGCATAATCTACATCATTGCATTATGGGCAAGGCTCAAAATTACGGATCCTGGTTTGCGATGGTAAAATATTGAACATGATCAATTTTGTTTGTTCATTGGTAGTCCACAGTTGAGCCATTCATAGACCTGTTGGACCAGCGAAACGGGGGGCATGAACGTAACATCAATTGATTTTTCGCACTAACTTTCACATTTGCAGATTCGTACCAAGGTTTTAGCTTATACCCACTGAGTTTGAGACTGTTTTAGAACATCCCCATGTTGCTTGGGATCTGCCATTCCATTGGGTTCCAGATATCTTCATGGTATCCTGCTCCATCCAGGTTGAAGTCGAAGCCAAGAGCGATGCCCAGGAGGAAGTCAGGGAACATGGAAGTGCTACAGGAGTGGCATTGCAAAGGGCCACTTGGAGATTTTAACAGAGGATTTATGGGATGTCTGCGTATATTTTGGGTATATTTTGGGTATATAATATATGGTGATGTCTGGTGACTTCAACAACCCCATTCTATGATATTCTATGCTAGATGGATGTGGGTCAAAATGGAAGACCTAGGGGACCACAGATGTTAGTCTAGTTCAGTATTAACCATCCAATTATTGGGGTACCTAATTTTGACCCATACCCAGATATGCGTTTTCATCCTCTTCTATATGAGACCATGGTTTCTCGGGGGTGTTTAGCATGAATGGGGGAAGGGATTGCGGTGATGAGGATGATACGGCATCGTGCGGCAATACCATGATGGTGAGGAAGATGAAGATTGAGATGAATATTATTATGAATACAATTATGAAGACGGTGATTGATGGTGATGATGGTTATGACGGTTATGATGGTTTTGATGATGACGATGACTGATAATGACTGATGATGGCTGATGACTGATGACGATGACAATGACGAGGATGATGATGATGATGATGATGATAATGATGATGACGTCTTCATGTGTTTCTCCCGGACCGACAAGTGAAAATTATGCTGTGACTATCGATTACAGTCATTCATTTCTCTCAATACCATGATGCTGGCCACGGGTGATGATTGTTGTGAGCGATGAAAACACACTGCAGTAGTGGTATGCTGATGTCCATCATTAGGTACTTGAGGGTGCATCCCACGTAGTAAATGGGTTATACGGAGTTATACCATCTTATACATCTTGTACCCCCATGGCATATATACGTGTATATATATATATGTATGGCTTATATAAATTATGGGCTATAACATATCATACATAATAAACCACGAACTATGGATGTGGAGACGCTCGCACGATCTCGCTGAGGCAAACCGCGATCTCGCACGATTTGTCGACAACACCATGCGCCTAGGACAAAGGCATGGCCTTGATCCGTCCCATGAAATCTCCCATGAAATCTCCCATGAAATCCCCATGAAATCTCCCTGAAGTCACGCAGTTTTGCTTGGTGACATCACTTCAAGTCAACTGTTTATCCTTAATTTTCTTGTAAATCTCAATGAAATCACCATGAAATCAGCCTTTTTGAATGGTGAAACAACTGGAAACCATGCCCGGCGCCGGCCGCAGTATTTTCCATGTGGCCATGCGCATCATCGGACCCTGTATGGTCGTCCTAGCATACTCGCTCCAAGGCGCGGAAACTGAATGATAAGCCATGGAAAAATCATGGGATTTATAGTTTTTTTTTTTTTAAACATGGCCATTTTTGAGAGGGAAACATCATGATCATTGATCATGATCAAGCATGATAGATGCGATAGCCTTCCAAAAGGTTTGGATAAACCATTGTGTCAGTGAAGTGGATTGAGTGGGAGTGAATACAGTTTGCAGTGCGCGCAACTTACACTGAGAGCCAGCATAAGAACACTGAGAGCCTACTAAAAGCTACAGTATGAGAACCATTTCGAATCATTGCGAATTTCGAAATTTCGAAAACATTCGATTCTTTCGCATTGCTGCATTGCTTTGAGTGAAGAAAGCCTGCATCCTGTTGGTGCGATGATTGTCGTCCGCCAGCCGTTTCCAAGTTCTCCAGGTTTTGTGACCTATGCCTATTTTTGGCATGCGGTTCCTCCGCTGTGCGAAACTGTCGGGGTGCCAACGTGCTCCGCGATATCTTCGGTCGGTGTCTTCTTGCTGATGAATGCGCAGCTAGATGGCAACAGATGGCAACTGACTAGCAGGAAGCGGGGATTTGTACTGGACAATACTGAACAAAAAGTACCTGTTGGTTTATAGGGGTTCCTGCAAGTGAATGATGATAATCCCCAATATATTGGACAGTAAAACTTATTACTCCCTTAAATATCCTTAAATCATCTACCAGGGGTTTTGAACGCTGCTCAGCTCATAATACGCTTTCTCCTTGCATTTTTGTTTGTGGATTTTTCACTATCTGGGATCATGACCCCAAGTTAATCATATGGCTTTTGGATGGCTTGAAACCAGGATATGCAATCATCATGGTCCAAAAATCTTCACCATTTGCCATAGATTAGCCATTCGCTGAGCAACAAATTGCTGCTATTATGTTCTAACCTTCTCATGGGTGCTTGGAGCATAAATCCTGGTGGATAAAGCGGAGCCGCGAAGCTTTGGGAGGTTGCGCCACCAAAATCCAGTCATTTCCGCCAGGTTGAAACGGATCATTTGTTTCTTGTGAAGCCCACTATATAGGTCCGACCTAAATACCTGTTGGCATGTTTTTTGCCAAGTTTGGGCTGCAACAATCAGGGCAGAATTCAACACATCGACTCAATAAAGAATATTCGACGAGAATGGCCCCCTTGCCAAAAAAAGTGCAGATGGAGTTGCCCTCAAGGTGGAATAGCATTCCAATCCGTTCCATTGTTTGCAAATGTTGCTCCTTCAACACCTTTCATTAAGCCCTGAGGGTGCATCAATCCACTGTAGAGGCTGAATGTTATGCAGCAATTTCCAGATCTCCGCAGAAATGTCCATAGTATGTTGGAGGGCTAGACTTTTTGTGTGCAAATGCAGAATCAATCTTTCTTCGAGGATCGAAGAGCATGTTGGAAGGGGGGGGTCAAGACAACGGATCACCGATCACCATCCCATTCGCACAACGCACGACCAGGTTGTACAACTACACCAAGGCCAGACAGTACAAGATCCTACCGCGATAGATTGAGGATGCACTGCTCGGAAAAGTGACTGTTTGTTGGACGTTTTAAAGGCTGTACAGACCATGGACGGTTTAAGAGCAACTGAAATAGCATGGATTGCCAACCAACCACTGGCGGAAATTTAGAGAGGTTGAGAGGGATTGAACGCAATCTTGTCATTGGCTCGATCTGGGAATGTCCAGAAATGGAGAATATATACCTCATTATACCTCCAACATCTCATAGTACCACAACGTTGACGGAGTGACTCCTTATTTTTCCACCGAAACACATCATTCTCTTGGAATTTTCTCCCGGATTGTTCCCCTGGTGTTTGGTGCCAATGGGTGGCTTCGCTGATCAGGCCATCTTCACACCTGCTGGTCTGCCGCCTCCCTTTGAGAAGGCGCCGGATGCCATCAGTCAGACAGTTCTTGATCCACAAAATCATCTGGTTGGTGGTGACTGGAACCATGGAATTTGGATTGACTTTCCATATATTGGGAATGGAATAATCATCCCAACTGACTTAACTGACTTTCATATTTTTCAGATGGGTTGAAACCACCAACCAGTCATAGTTATTTTGGGGATGAATAATTGATGAATAGGTGAATAGGTGCCAGACTTGTGCCAGTAGAATTCGCCTTTCTTTCTATAGCGGCCGAAATTCTAGACATGCTTTCCCCACTCCGGGGACTTTTTGGTGGCGTGGTTTCTGGCAGGCTCAGCTGGAGCTCATGGAATTGTCTGAGAAGCAGATTACTCCGAGGTCCGGCAATGATTCGCCCTGGGTGACCAAAAATCATTGAACTTGACTGGGTCCCACAGCATAGGATGCTGCCTATGTCACAGAAAACCTGCTGCCAAAGGCGTTCCATGCATTGTGATTTTCAAAGGATAGGAAGATTGGGCTATGTGCAAAATGGCAGAATGGAGGGTTTAGTTTTTCATGAACATTTGGACAATTTTTTGGACCAACAATGAACCTCCTCCATATATTCTAATGTACCCTCTGGTTATTAAACGCAGCCATGGAAAATGGCCAAATTATGCATGATACACATATATAGAAAAATATGAATATATATATATATGAAAATTATGTTTTACTTATTAAACATGGTGATTTCCAGTTGCAAACTGTGTAAAGAACCAGAGGGTATTCTGAGACTTGATCTCACTCGCCGGGCCTCCTTTCAAGCACGGTGGCACCTTGTGGCGTGGCGTACTGAGGCAGTGCAGCAAGTGCAAGTTGCTGAAACCGCCACGTGCTCACCACTGCAGCGTTTGTGGCGTTTGTGTCATGAAGATGGACCACCATTGCCCGCCGCACGGCATGGAAGGAAGAAAGGCGATTGGATTCATTGTAGTGTCATGAGCAGTGGCTAGAGCATACATTGTGCTACACATTTATGCGGATTGAAAGTTCTAGGGTTGATGTGATGGCGTGTGCATATATATATAGTATATCAATCGTATATCATAGATACATGTCAACTCGCACTTATAATAATAGTTATACTTGATGTATCTTGATGTTGGAATGATTTCTTTGGCACGCAATTTGTGAACAACTTGGTAAACAGAAGCATCTGAGGTGGCTCAACAATTGTGTGGGTCACTCGGATGATCTTCGGCCTGCCTGTGTGTCTACAATGTGGTGATTTTTCCTGCCTATATGACCCAACAATGTTGATTTATAAGCCTATCAAGAATAGATATATCAGATATCTACCACAAGCCCAACAGTTTTCTGGAGTTCTGGTACCAACAATTCAAAGCGATTTCGTATGGCGGCGTCCTTTCCGTGACGGGGGGGATTTCGTATGGGGGAATCCCCAGTCGTCACCGATTGGACATGGTTAGACCATTGAGGCTTGTTCCATGGTCCTGTTCACACGTTACTGTAATGGGAAGAGACTCTTCCTCATGTTGCGTTCTTCATAGCGAATATAACTTATAACCTTTCAAACCGGAGCTTCCAAGGAGAAACCTTACTACATTTCCGAGTAATTAGATAAGTCCATAAAAGTCATACAAGTCCTTATTGGCAAGCAGCAACTGACCAATGTTTGTCCAAATTTTGCATTTCACATACCGAGAAACATCTGCAGTCATGCCTTGGGTCATGTGCATCTCAAGAAGTGTTGACCACAAAATAGGGGCCACGATGCATTTTCATCATTTTTGATCAACAACGGCATTTTTGATCACCTTTAATCAGCCCACATTTGCGGTTTGTTACTGGCAATGACGAATGATGATCCTTTTAATCAAAGCATGCTTTCCTTTTGCAAAACGTCGAGGCATTGCCAACTATAGCTGCTTGGACAGCCAGACGACAGATGGGTGGAATTTTTCACTGGGATGAGACCAACGGACTACAGCTGTAGTCGCCGACAGAGTCATGTTGGTCCGTAGTCAGTGTAAAGTCATACCCTTTGGTTGTGAAAAACGTAGCGATGAAGAATCACCATTTTTGATAGGTATGTAAATCATAAATCATCTACAAATGGGCTATTTTCCATAGCTATGTTGAACAACCAGAGGGTAGTCCTCTAATCATCACGAAATCATGATACAGTAACCGCTTTACATTCATGATATAGAATTCATCAATCCTATGTCATCATCGCAGACTCAGATTACCACTGTGAAGACACATGCGCCGAGGATACTTCTTCCTGTTTCTCTTCTTCTTGGCGCAAGCTTGCCTTTTCATTGATGTGGTGTAAACCTCAGGTTTAGTCTCTTCAATGGCTACGAATCCGAAGCCATGGGTCTTTCTCGGGTTTGGACGGTTTTTTGGTGTAATGTTGAGCAGCGCAGTTTTGGTTTGTTCATTTCATATGGAAAATACATCTGAGAATTTATTGTACCTTGTATCATGTTGATTTTGAGGAATATCAATATTTAGTAGTGCGTGTAGCTACATGACTGAAATTCTTCCAGGACCGCAATGATCGGCATGTATGGAGTCTTGAAAATTGTTAGAAATGCACCAGGTAACATGTTCGACGCAGCTGAGGTCTTGGGGATATTTTTCTATGACATTATTTTTACATTTGGTCGCAGAGGAACTCGCTCTTTTCGAAACTACATCATGATGTCATTTATGCACCTTGGAGTGAGTCTTCTGGTTGGAGAGGATTTGGCATTTGCGTCGTTTTTATCTTCGATTTCTAATGCAACATTAGTCGTTATTTTTTGTTCCAGTTGAAAGGGGTTACTTCTATCTTGTGAAATCCATTGTTGCAGCCGGGGTTGGTACATATACATATTACCAGCAATTTTTGACAGCAGACATGTCTAAGGTTGTAGCTGATGAATCATTCCCTGCAAGTAGTGTTCAGCTGTTGAGTTTTCAGATTCGTTAAAACTGACACGTGCCCTGGGAATATTTGCATGCACGGAGCCGTGTGATGCCTTGTGCATATTTTTTGGCACGTCTCCCCTGCACTTCTCTCTGGGACAGTTTGGGACCAAATATATTCTGCACGAGTGAGTGGCTGGGTGTTGGTTTTGACATGTGTCAAAATTGATTTTTGCCATATGTCAGAGGATGAAGCAATATAACAAGCTCACGATTCGCCTTGAATTTCGCGTTTTTTTTTGTTTCACCAGAACTTAGGATTTGCGCTTCTATCTTTGCCGCCCTCTGTCTCCTTGGAGGGTTTCACTTCTACTTGGTGCCTTAGCGCAAGGGGAGCTGGACTGGGTTTGGAGATCACAGGCTGGAAGAAAATCGACAGCTCCACCAGAAGACATGAGGATTTTTTACGTTTTGCTGAATTCCAATGAGCTCTCTTCAAATTTATGGGACATTTTTTTTGCGAAGAAAATCCTACTCAGCAACCTGGGAACGATGCCAAAATCCTACTGACTGAGTGTGTTTGTGTGTTCAGACTCGTCTGACTCGTCTGACTCAACGCTGATGAAAACAAGTGTCTACATTCCAATATTATTCCAGTGTATCAATCATATTCATTTAAATTCAGTTCGGAACATTATACGTATATATATATATATACACACACTCTAACTCTGACTAATTTCCATATCTACATAAATTCACTACGTTTTAAAACCACCAACTGCGATGAATTGAATTTTAATTGCCAAGGGACAGTCATCAACTCCCCGCGCTGCCTGGCTGCCTGAGATCCTCACGAATCAAACCACCATCGAGTTCCAGATCAACATGGTGCGTCGCCGGCAGTGCCGGAGGAACGGCGAGTCGCTGGGCGGCGGGGCAGCGCCCTTCACCCATGGTTTGTTCAAGGGAAAATCGATGGGATACCATGGGAGATCCAGAAATGGTGTTTTTTTCTGAGAAAATTATCATAAATGGAGGTTTATAGCTGGGAACATCATCTATAAATGGGGTATTTTCCAGCAAGCCTTGTTTGATTGCCAGAGAGTATATGGTCTGCCACGATGCGATGTTGTAAAGATGTGGAAAGAGATGTTGAAGACTTGCAAAGGCCTCGCCCCATGATATGTGCTACCCTTGCTGCAGTGCCTTCGCATCCTCAAACAAGATCTTTTCTCCATGTTCGGCCTGTCGTGGCTCACTAGACAAAATCGAATGAGCTACGAATCAGCAAACAACAGCCGCCTTAGGTTCTTCCGAAATCCTTACGACATGGGCCGCACCCGCAATTGCCAAGAAGTCTTCGGTCCGGAGCTGAAATGGTGGGGGGAGGATGGGATCGGGCTTCAAAAGAAGCCGTGCCCGCCCAATGAAGGTCTATCATTTTCAGCCCATACAGTAGCCCATTTTGCATCCGTACTCGTATCCCATAGTCCATTGATGTCCATTGGATCCTCATGATTGACCTAGCTGTCCACTGGTGGTGTCGTGACGGTGACGTGACGGGCCAAGGACCCAATAGCCTCTGGGGGCTCAAGTGGATGTTCCCGTACTTGGCCTCGAGCTCAGTGGAGCAACGGCAGTTTGGATGATGAATTACTTAGTGGATTAGTGGCTCATCCCAGCTAATAAGTGTGTAAAATCACTCCAGTTATAACTTTTTTTGTAACTGGACATTGCTACCACTTACCCAACTTATCACTAAATATCACTAATACACAACACACTGATGATTCCTGGGTGTGAGCCACCAAGTGAACCCGATGGATTTTGATGTCCAAGCTTGGTGAAGTTGTTTTTTTTTTTTTATGGGAATACCGCGGTATTTCTCAAGCGAAATCCCAGTGTTCGAGCTGAAAAGCACGGATCCGTAGTATGGATCTGGTGTTGGCATCTCCCGTGAGTCTCAACGAAATCCTTGCAGGATGGACATTTTCACTGTAAGAAGGGGGATCATTGGAGTACCCTCTGGTAAACTAACGTAAACTATGGAAAATCACAATTTTTAATGGGTCAATCCACTAAACATCACCATTTTCAATAGCTATGTTAGTTTACCAGAGTGTACATCCTGACTATAAAAATCTATAAACATGAAATCAGTCACTGTGGCATTCCTCAAGCACCAACTGCTTGTTTTTGTTCAGTCGATTGCACAGCAAATGATATCTCCAACAGAAGATTTTTGGATCCATGTACTTGACCCATCCTGACCCGTTGAAGCCAACGATTTGGAAGTCTTTCTGTACATATCCATTGAATTTCATGCCTGTGACCCTTCAATTTCAACCAAAAATGCGTTGTGGCCATCGAAGTCCCAGGCAGCGGCCCCAACTGGGGACGGGCTGAAGTACGCCTCCATTTGGGCTTCTGAGATATAGTACGGCTGGCAAATCTCCACAGATAGGGACCATGGTCTGATTTGGACATTACAACGGACAATAGGAAAAGAACTACACACTTTTCGCAGAAAACACCCATGGTTTTTCATAATATGCACGGAGTTTTGGAATAGTTTTGGAGTATGGGTCAAATTTGGGTAGACCAATCGTGGGATGCTACCCCAGGGCTTAAGTTTTAGCCCATACCCACATGTAGCTGATACAGTCTGGATAGCTGCAGATAGTTTTTGCGGTGCGACTCCAACTCCGTGAAATTCACAGGCCTTGGTGAAGCCATGCTCATCAACACACAAAGATGTGCCCTGGGAAACACTTGCAGGGTTGCAACGGCCCCGTTGCAAACAATATGGTTTCAGCGCGCCAAAAAAATCGCGGATCCGGGATCCAGGATGACATCCGGAAATGGCTCCTAACAAGTAGTGGGATCTAGTCAGCTCTCATCCAATCTCATGTTGGTTTATAAACCCATGAATACTAGTTCGTTATATCCCCCTAATCAACCCAACAGTTAATCAAGTTGCTGTATGTGCGCCAACTTAGACTAACTTTCTCGCTGCGCCTTGCCTGCTTTGTCATTTGCAGTCTGACAATGTGTCTGTTTGAATCTTTATGATGTGGGTGTGTGAAAATAAGGCCGGACCCCGCAAATGGATCCAAATGCCCAATTGAATAGAACAATTATTTTAAAAATCAATGCGAGGAAACTAGGAACCATGTACCATAATGTACCCAATTTTCAGACAGCTCGCGTTGAGCACTGCAGCACCAAGGATAAGATGCTTTTCTTGGCTGTCGTCACACATGAGGCACAGCTACTGCTGGGTGTTGCAGTTGTGCTCGGTGTTGGTTATGTTGGAGGTTTTATGGATGTGTCGCTGTATTTTTTTTGCTAGTTATGGGGATAGCTATCTGATATTATCTGGTTGTCTGATTCAACTTTCTCGTGGGTTAGTCTGTAGTAACCCCGCAAAAAAGATAGAAACGCTTTATTTTCCACTATGTTTATAGAATGGATGTTATGCACATTTGCTTGCTAGTTTACCAAAAACAATATACCCTTGGGTACAGTAATCAAGCGTGGCAATAGAAAATCACCCACTTTTACTTGATGTTCCCATGAAAACCTCCTCTTGTAGTGGATTTCCAATTGCCATGTTTGATTACCCAATGATTGGTTAGTTAATGTTAGTTATATAATATATACATATTCCATGAATATCCCATTAATAATTCTCCCATTAAACCCCTATGTCTTCATCTTTTTTGGTTATTTTTTGTGGGAGGATACACTGATATTATCTGTAACTTAACTATGATATAATATATACATATATATATATATACCATTCATATCCCATTAAACCACTATTAAACCCCCTATTAAACCCCTATTAAACCCCTATGTGTTCATCTTTTCTGGTGGTATATTTCTGTTGGGATATCCATGGTCACTACGGCACTACGGTCAGGAGCCCCCGCTGGCGGTTTCTGAGCTCTTGGATCGGGTCTACCAGGCGTGGCGCGCTTGTTGGCACTGGATTTTGTGTTGGAAACCAACAACAAAATGGAGATTTAACATGATTTAACCAACTTAAAGTGTGGATTTAACATGATTTAACCAACAAAAAGGGTGGGATTTAACCAACAAAAAATGGGATTTGACCAACAAAAAATGGGATTTGACCAAACCAAATCATCATATAATGGTAACACAATGGGAGAGACCGTGGATACCTCCTGTTTTGCACTTGATCAAATTATCTCGCGTGATGTCACTGGAATGATGGGACTAAGGGGAAGAATCCCCAAATGGCCGTATGATAACATGATATTATAATGATATTCAATAATCCCCAAATGTTTTTAGATTAGTGAATTATGATATTTCAGCCAGAATTTATATCATTGAGGTTGTAATATATTTATATGATTTTATATGAGTACTATGGGGTTATACTATTCACTGATCCACTGTTATAACATGTTATAATCCATGGGGTGATCTGACTAAGAACAACAACTATATCTAGTTTAACTATATTATACATACATATATATATATCTCATATCTGTACATTGGTTCATAAACTCGCTTGAATAATATTCACCCCTTCCCCCTAATATTAACAACAACATAACCTCCAAATGAATAGGTCCAGTACTAAAAAAGGATTTCATATTGGGGTGCAGGATGGTGCAGGAATTTTCATATGTGCCATGATCAAAAGGTGGATTGAATGAACCCGTATTTTTCAGGATGGTCTTTAAGGTTGGTCATAGCATCATCAATAGGGAATAATCATGGCCAAATAATATGAGGATTCCCGATTTTATGGTGGGATGATCATAGCCCATATATCATGTTATCGCGCATATTCTTGCTTCGCCAAAAAAAGTAACTGCGTATGTCATATATGCAGCAGCTTCTGTGCAGGTGTTGTTCAGATACTTGGGAGAGGTCAGCGAAGATTCGCTCCGACAAAACTTTTCAACAGTGCAACTTGGCTGCAGCTGTGCTGTGGTGTGTCAAATTGGATCACATCCTTTGCCAACAAAATGTCCTGGGAATTTTCTAAAAATGGGGTACATTCCTAACATCAAACACATCATCTACGACTGACTATGGGGATGATTCCCGGATGATTCCGAACATGTCCGAAGTCTAACAGGTACTTGCTGCTGGATGAGATGATTGACAGCGGCTTGCCCTTCACAACCGAAATGAACCGATTGGAGGACAGGGCGGGGCACGGAGGTTTATCGGTTTATCGCTGGGAAGTCTCCTAATTTATAGCTGGGGAAATCGGCGAAAATGGAGGCTTGCTTGCCCTCTGGTAAACTAACATAGCTATTGAAAATTGTGATTTATAGTGGATTTATGCATGAAAAATAGTGATTTTCCATAACTTATGGTAGTTTACCAGAGGGTATAGGGAAAATCTATAGGAAACTCATGGGAATTAAGATCCAAATAGAGATTTCTAGCTGGGAAAATCATATCGAACTCCCTGGGCGTTGTTCCGAACGACGGATTTTCGCCCAGGGGCGGAAACAGGAAACTTGGCAGAATGTTGGAGTTACTCAAATTCTGGAGAAATGACCTCCAAATGATTTCCAACATTCTGTCACTGCCAGGTTTTTGGAAAAACCTTTGGAATTTTGTTAGCACACCGCAGAAAATCCTTCGATGAGTTTTCGCAGTTTGATCCATCCCAGGTGAAGTTGAGTTTTTTTGGTGGTAAAAGCTATCCGCTGACATGGATGAAATACGGTAGGCTTATGGCAGTTTTCAACAGTTTTTGTAATTTTCTGGTCGTAAATGCCATGAAATGTCCCAGATTTGCTTGTTAACACCCATTCAAATCCATTAACATCCCATAAAATCCCATAATATATACATATATATATATAGAGTGTATGTATATATCTGGGTGAATTATAACGACCTCACTGTTCTCCCTCACTAGAATCATGGTTAGTAAGGATAATCATCCCAAATGGCCGAACTATTCAGGTTAGTGAATTATTATAATTTACCATATATATATATACTGGTTGGTGGTTTGGAACATTTTTTATTTTTATTTTTAAATATATTGGGAAGAATCATCCCAACTGACTAATATATCTTCAGAGGGGTAGGTATACCACCAACCAGTATATTATATATTATATATAGATATTATTATTATTATTCTTATTATTATTCTTATTATTATTCTTATTATTATTATATATATATAGCTTGTTGAATCCCACTAAAAGCCATGAAATCCATTGAAACTCCCTATCTCCACTCCTCGCCGCTCGCGCTCGCACGGCCGCAGTCCATCATTGCGCCTCCCTCAGCCATTGGCAAGGTGGTGCAGGCCGTCACGGTCACCGATGGTAAAATGGAGGTAGCTACCATATCTGGTTTGGTAATTATGGGGATGTTCATGGTAGATGTAACTAACTAACTTATTCATGGTAGATGTTTATTTAGTTACCATATCTGGTTTGGTAATGTAACTATGGTTTATGGTAGATGTAACGAACTAGTTGATGGGGATTAGTTCATGGTTTATAAACCAACAAACACTGGTTGGTGGTTTGGAACATGAATTTTATTTTCCCCAATAGTTGGGATGATGATCCTATCTGACGAACTCATATTTTTCAGAGGGGTAGGTATACCACCAACCAGATATTAATGAGGCCCATTTTTTAGGGCTATGTAAGAAAATGAATACACACAAGTTTAATATGGCTTAAAATTCATGGTAATGTTGGGCTCTATTTGATCCTTGTTTTTTTCATTGGTCTTGTGGTGATGAAATATGAGTATAATGCCCATAACCTTGGTGAAAAACTATTGGGTCTAAGGTTATGGTTTATAACTCATATGAGGAAATGAGATGAAATGAGGATATTGTATCGGAAATCATGGGGAGATTGCATGGGATGATTTTTCAGAGATTGCATGGTGATATTGGTAGTTTAAGAGTTTGGAAATTGCCATGGCCCATTTCGTGAAGATGATTTACCGTGCTTGAAAAAAAAAGTTCGCAAACTGTAAGAGATAACCAGAGGGTAAGCAAGTTAGAGTCCTGGAGGTAGGCTGCATTCACTGAGTTCGAAAGCAACGAACTTCCAACCAACACATCTCAAAATCCTTTAAATCAAATGCTCAATCATCGCCAAGTCTAGCTAGCTGATTCATTCGATTTAGGCACAACACCCAGGTATTCGCAGTAAGGGTTTCCCTTCTACCCACTGTCAAACATGGAAATTGTATGAAATTGTAAATCCCCGAACTAAATGGAGGCTTCTAGCCGGGAAAATCAACTATAAATGGGTGATTTTTCAGCAAGCCATGATGCCATGGAGCTGAAAAAACCGGAGGGTTTTATTCCCATTCATATCCCATGATACCTCCATTGTCCCATGAAATCATCATTCAAAATCCCATGGAAAATGCCAATAACATCCATAAAAATATCCATCTTCCCAAAAAAATATCAAACAAAATATCCCAGTAAATCCCATGAACCCCGAAAATTCTTGTTAGGAAATCCTGGTGTTAAATGCCACGAGATTCACTTATTTCATGCATCGAAACTGTCAAACACCAGAGTTAAAACGAGCTGCCTCCCTAGGTGGCAGAATTCGCGCACTTGCGCACTTGAAGAACAGACGCGGATGGTTGTATGGTCATATAGATTAATATGTATTTGTATCTATACATATCAATATATCCTGTACATATACATGTATTATGTACATATACTTACATACATTAATTACATTATCACATTATATAACATAAGATAAGATAAGATAATATACCACATAATGTAAATATAACAGAACATAACGTTACTGACATTGCATTGCATTACATTTCATTATATGACATGACATGACATTATATACATTACATTGCATTACATCACAACACATCACATTACACTACATTACAATACATTAACATTACATTAGCATTACATTACATGACATGACATTACATTACATATATTACTTCATATCACATCACATCACATCACATTACGTGACACATACACTACATTGCATTATATTACATTAACATTACAGTAACATTACAATAACATTACATTAACATCACATTAACATTTCATTAACATCACATTAACATTACATTAACATTACATTAACATTACATTAACACTACATTAACACTACATTAACATTACATTAACATTACATTATTATTACATTAACATTACATTAACATTACATTAACATTACATTAACATTACATTAACATTACATTAACATTACATTATCATTTCATTACCATTACATTAACATTACATTATTATTACATTAACATTACATTAACATTACACTAACATTACATTAACATAACATAACATTAACATTACATTACGTTGCATTTTCATTGCATTGCATTCCATTCCTTTCCATTACATTACATTACAATACAAACATACATAGTTGTCACTTGTCAGCAGGCAGAAGTACACTAATTGCGGGCCACTTAAAATTGCAGCAACAATTTCTCCAGGCTGTTTCTGGCAGCAGCACTCAAGTGCTGTCAGATGTTCCCATTGAGGCTGCTGGTCAGGTGCCTGATTCTATGGGTCCAAAATCGCTCGGTTCGAATCATCTCGTTTTGCCCATTGAAATTACGAGAGGGGTGAACCCCCAATCTTAGGCAAAACGATGAGTCCCAGATAGAGTGGGGATCGCAGATTTACGCAGCTGCTGCCAGAGTCCCCCGTCATAGTTGCCAAAGATCATCAAAGATCTCTTTCACCCCTAGGATACTGAACAACCAGAAAGCAATCATATGGGTACCGCTCAAAAAAGGGGGGCCAATAGACTCACAGATTTGGGTCAATTTTGACATTACCCCATGCAATTTGGGGGGAAAAGAATTTTGAGCCAGAGCCAGAGCTGTTGTTTGATGTTTGATGATGCAGATTTAAAAAATGCCACCAGGTGAGAAGGAACAGTCAAAATCTATGAAACATTGCTTGGCTGAACAAGCTTTCTGAGAGTGCACCAGGATTCTCAGCCAGCTACGTTCTAGTGGGAAGCTACGTCTGTAGCCATTGCCTCACGCAACGCAACGTGTGAGGCAGGGCCCTTGGGAGCTTTAACCTCTGCCCTCAGTGGCATGTCGTAACCTGGCTGATTCCCACCAGTTGGATGTGTAGAGACTGGCTGTAGATCAACTAAGGCACAGCAGCATTGGGGGAGCTTCGGCCGAGGTGCTGTAGCTGAAATCCAATGAGATTTCAATAGATTTGTACCGTACCCTGGAGCAAGTGGAGTGGCCTCTGAATTTCCGGCTTGTTCTCAGGCAAAACTGTTTTGTGGAGTAACCGTAGCATCAGTTGTTTCACAAGCTGGGAAACCGGAATTTGCGCCAAAACATAGCGTTGAATCAGGTGAATTTTCTGAACACGTATCCAATTTGAAATTTGGGTTCTCTGCGACCAAACTATCAATAACTATCAGAAATTCATAGAAAACCATACGCTTTTATCAAATGATAAGTACATCCGCAGCAGCTTTTTCCAGCCGCGGCAGGTCTGGTGGCGACGGCAAAATGTCGTTTATGGCTCCAACGAGGCGCTTAAGTGATAAAGTTGATCCAATCAGCTGCCATTGGACCTGGCTTATGGTTTAGGCTACCCTCTGGTAAACTAACATAGCTGTAGAAAATAGCCCATTTATATCCATTTATAGTTGATTTACCTATGAAAGATGGTGATTTTCATTGATTTTCCATAGCTATGTTATTTTACCAGAGGGTATATCTCACCCAAAAAAGTTACACACAAAAAGTTTCATTGACCAGTTAAAAAAAACCTGGGGGATCAGAATTAGAAAAAAAACCCAAATAAAGAATATCCAAAATCGATAAATTTTATGATTCCTTTGGTACCCCAATTTTATCCAATTTTGACACATACTCAATCATGATCATATGCCCAGTTTGGGTAGCTTGCTGACCAGCCATGGGTTATGGCTTCGGCTGGTTGGTGGATTCAATGAATATCAACGAATCATTCACACTGATTCAATTGAACATGAATTATCACCAACATTCATTCATTGAATGATTTCATGAATCTTCTGAAAATCGCTACCTGGCAGGTCACTGGATCATGGAATGATATGGTGACTTTGTTCAGTCGCCAGGTTTACGTTGACATTGTGGAAACCATCAGCTGCATTTGCAACAGCACAGGGAATATGGTGCCTCGTCCCGTTGGGCCCGGGCGCGGCGCGGCCTTGACTCATGGGGCCCACTGGTCGGTGTTTCATCAGATCTTCATCAAACAGCAATAGGGTGTGCATTTGAAGACATTTGAATGCATTTGAATGGAAGGAATCTTCTGTGAAAACCATGAGAATCCATGAGACCTAAGACCTATAAATATCATTAAATTTCTATAAGCCATGATCCTGCGTCGGTCCTTTTTCATTCCAGCAAAAGCCGGTTGTGAGCCTCAGATTTCCGGCGGTGTCAGTGGCGAGATTTTGATCAACAGCAAGCTGAGTGGTGTTCCAGAGGCACGCCATTGGATCTGTATGGATCCGTGGATGGAAATATGAAGAAATCCATCCTGCACGAGTTGGACACATTTGACAACTATCAAACATTCTCTGGTTGGTGGTTGGAACATTTTTATTACATTTTTTATTTTCTATAATATATGGGATGTCATCCTTCCCATTGACTTTCATATTTTTCAGAGGGGTTGAAACACCAACCAGTTCTCAAACACTCTAAATTTTCTGAGATTATAACACGGAATAACCATACATCGTGGCAATCAAAAATCGTTCACCGGGTGACAGGGTTTGGGAGAATTGCATCGCAGATGGAATGATGGACCATTGCCTTTTCATGGACTGCATCAACTACTACATACATCATGATACATCATGATATATCATGATATATCAAAACATATCAAGATATCTCAAGATATCTCATGGTTGTCCTCTATGCTTGGCACTTTTTGCAGGCATACGGCATACTCATGCCTTCATCAATGTCACTGTTTCACCCTGCAGGTTCTGCTGACCTTGCGAAACCCTGCGGTGCTTCAGAACGTCTCGTTCCACCCATGCGTTCCTGCACCCAGTTGCGGGCGTGCAGCCACGTATGTTTGTTTGGTCGCAGCTTCTTTATGTGGCGTTGCAGAGACGTTTTTCAGAATTGAGTTCTATGTCCAAAAAATACAGGAATTGCTTATCTTTGCAAATTGGTGTTTGCTTGGTTCATGGTTGATTTGTAACTGCCACCCGCGATGACGTGCATAAATCTGTTCTCGCAACAAGTGTTTCTTTCTTTTGCTGCCGAGACATGAACGGTCTAGGACCACGATTTTGAGCTTGAAGGGATGCCTCACAGATTCCAATCTGATTTCGTGGCCCCTCAGGTCAGGCTTCCACGATTCCAGAGGGACAAGGTGCTGTGATTTGGATATCGTGCGGGATTTTTGTCCACTAACAATGCCATACATCAAGATACCCTCAACATTGAAGCAGATGGTGTACAGATGTTGGCAAACTTATCAGGTGTTTGACGGTCAATGTTGGTCAGTGACTGCTTCTGGAAAGTCATTTCACGCCATGTTACGTTTGGAGGGCTTGGTGTCATCAGTAACGACTGGCGCTGAATGTTTGATGCTTGTCAAGGAGATGACTGGCACATGCATTGATCAAGTCCGTGAAGAACAACCATCGCCATGTCCTTTCCACATCTTTCCACCTTTCCTATCCTTTCCAATGGAAAAAAACAGGTCAACAACTCCGCTTGCGTCCCAAAAAAAGCATCGCGCAGTCGCAGGCGTTATCCTTCATCCCTCCGGACGGTGAGTTTCCCTTGGCCTCGGTGTCATGGTCAAGTCGTCACTGGATTGGGGGTACCACAAAGGGTACTGAAATGTTAGGAAACCTCCGAAATCAGCACGCAAAACATCTATTTATTTTATACGTTAAGGGTAGCACCACAACTTGCAACTTGAGATGCGAAGTGAAGGAAAAAGCTGAGCAAGCGATGTTGGATCTTAAGCGTCTTATCCCCCAATTCACTCCCATTAACATCCATTAACCCCCAACCCCATGGTAATCCCATGGTATCCCATGGGGCCATGGGGGTCCTATGGTGCCGCCCAGTACTGGATTCCGGACACCACCATGAATCTGCCTTTTCACTTCACTGTCTCGGTGAACTATCACTCAGACCATGGAAAGTTGCAGGTGCTCACAGTGGCTCACCTCGGGGAGGTTTTTAGGGCTGGGAAATGCGCAATCCTTTCATGTCATGATTGTCAAACAGCAGAGGGTAACTCTTGTCAAGTCTGACAGTCTGGAATCAAGATGCCGCGCTGATGCCTAATATGTATATTTATATGTAGCCTTGTTTCATCATTAGTAAATGCATCCTAGGCGGTGAAATTGAATTGGCACAGTTTCTCAGGGTGACAACTCTATTCTGGTCAACGTCTTGTTGTCGTTTTGGACGACCGTTGCGCGTGTGACACGTGTCACGGCTGCGGCACAGATTGCGGCCAGCCCAAAGCTTGCTGTGACCATGCAGAATAAGCAGATGCTGATTGACAAGCCGCTCAGCCAGATGTCATGAGGGGCAGCGAATCAAACTCTACATTTGATAGGGGTTGATACCCGATGTGGTGTGAACTTTGTTTTTCTCTTTTCGGTGCACATCACGATATCACTTAATTATATTCATGATGGGATACTATATGATATTAAATTTGTTTGGTACTCTCATAATATCAACCGTGGATTCATAAAACCCTAGGCTGTTTAATTAGGCTGGGTACATTTGGGTACCATAATTAAGTATAACATATATGATCACTAGTTGGAGGGTACTCTCCGTAATGAATAAACCATAATAGTTTATGAATCCGGGGTTGATATTGATATTACTGGGATACCTAAGAAACCGTGAGAACATCATAGAAAGCCTCCAGGCAGGTGCAGTGGCAATTTGAGACATATTCCCAGTGAGGGCAATGAAAACCGTAGGGTCGTGTGGTTGAAAGGGCTTGATACAAAAGCCATTGTGTTAGTTTCAAGGAAATATACAGGAAACCATAATTAGTTTCAACCAATTGAATCAGATCGAAATAGTGAATGATCACTATTTTAGTATAGTGTTTTTCTTTTATTTCCTTGGGCTCACGATATTTCAGATTATTTCATATTCTTTCAACAACATCCAGTTGCACGACCACTTGGCCCCAGGTTTGTGGTAAGCATTCGCTTGCCTTCCTCCATTGCCTCAGCAAGTTTGGTGCGCTGCACCTGGCGGACGATGGAACATCGCCATTCTTTATACCCTCTGGTTATTTAACATAGCCATGGTATAGATGGCCCATAGAATAGATGGTTTACCTATTAAGAATGGTGATTTTCCATGGCTATGTTAAACAACCAGATGGCAGGTCAATCAACTATGGCAGATGTTTTCAATAGCTATGTGTGAAAAATTGCCAGAGGCTATGTCAGAAAAGTTTGAAAAAAACACCATTTTTTTTTGTGTAGGGAAGGTGATGATAAAGCATCAAATTTTGGGGTTGGCCAATATCTTCAGACAAACCTGGCCCACATGAGCTCCGCAGGCGAGTGAGGGTGGTAGCATCCGATTTCATGAAGATTCCAAGGTGGGGCTGGGCTGTTGCGCTGTCAGTCTATGACTGTTCGAAGCGATCAAAAATAGGTAGTTTATGGTAGTTTGGTATGATCCTCTAATGGTTACTAGGAACTTCCACACCCTCAGTTGCCTTGTGATTTCAATGCTTTTCCATGCTTTTCCATGTTTTTCCACTCTAAGATGAAGCAAGCCGAATTTGCGTTCTGGGATGCTGAAGTCCTAAGTTCGACATGTCAAAATTGGATAATGAAGACTGAAGAGCTGGATTTAGATGGATTTGGATGGATTTGGTATGATTCGGTAGCAATACTATTGATTCACGGAAATGTGTTGATGATTGTTGATGGAATTATGTCCGGAGGGGACAACTCAAACACCATCGGTGCAAAGCACATCGAATCGCTACTGAAGGGTTTTGAGCAGATGCAAATATACCCAAGATCAGACATCAATCTGGCTGGTTTCTTATATAGATGTCTGGTGATGAAGAACTTGTTGTATTTTCTTTTGGTATAATTACTGAGAGTGAGTGCTTTAGATAGCTTCGAATGCCTTTTTTGGATCTCAAAAAGCAGCACCACTTGGAACGAAACTCACACGCCTTTGTGGCTCAGGTGGTTGTTTGGAACCTGGGCAAACTGGCCAGCCAGGCTCGCGCAGAGCAGAGAAAAACGTGTCCAAACATGATGCCCAAAAAACCAGTGGTCAATCCTTGCTTGACTTACTAAAAAGAATATAATGTTGAGAGTTGAAATATCCCCTGTTGCTAGACAATCCAATCGACTCATGAACATTCATGAACGAAAGGGTGTTACAGAAATATCAGAAATGTGACTTCAGAATACTTCAGATATTATGACCCAATCATGACCCCAGAGCCAATTATGACAAATGAAATAAAAGGGCCAACGCCCTGGTGCCGCCGACACCCCCTTTAAAGGGGGGGGCATGGATTACCGAATACCTTTTGGTCATGGTTTGATGACAGTGTGGTGGCTCAGAACATCAAACAACCAGAGCAATCGGTGGAACAAAACATGCAGAGTCAGTGGGCCCGGCTTTGCCTTCAGTGGAACGAAAGGTGCCCAACAACAGTTGCAAGACCCGGAACAGATAGCTGGGCCGAAAGAGTCTATGTGTTACAGGTCCTGAAACTGCCGTTGGCCACTTTTCGTTCTCTGAGGGCACGGCCGGGCCCAAGGAATCTATCTGCGCCGGGTCTTGAAACTGTCGTTGGGCACCTTTCGTTCCACTCAGGGCGAACAGGCCCAAGGAATCTATGCCTTCAGTGGAACGAAAAGCGTAGAGTCCGTGGGCCCGGCCTTGCCCTCAGCGGAACGAAGGGTGCCCAACGGCAGTTTCAAGACCCGCAACAGATCCAGCCGTGCCCTCAGTGGAACCAAAAGCGTAGAGTCCGTGGGCCCGTTGCCCTCAGCGGAACGAAAGGTGCCCAATGAATCCAATGGCAGTTTCAGGACCAGTAGCAGATAGACTTTTTGGGTCCAGCGGTGCCCTCAGTGGAACGAAAGGTGTAGGGTCCGTGGGCCCGGGTTTGCCCTCAGCAGAACGAAAGGTGGCCAACAGTTTCATGACGTGTAACAGATAGACTCTTTGGGCCCAGCCGTGCCCTCAGAGAACGAAAGGTGCTCAACGGCAGTTGCAAGACCCCGAACAGACAGACTCCTTGGGCCAGGCCGTATCCAACGGCAGTTTGAAGACTCGCCATATAGCAGCTTCGAATCTCCATAAAAACAGTGAGCGGCTTGTTTTGGCAGCGTCCTTCTGCCGTGGTTGCAGCCGTGAAGCCATGGCAACAATGCCTATAAAGCTGCAACGGAAAGTTTGCGGGGTTTAAAGCATTGCCGAAACGTGCCACACACAGCAGTTTCGAAACCCTGGTACGGAAAGGGTTTGGAGATGTCGCACACCTGCGGTGATGCCGGGCGCCGCCTCGCCTCAGCCAAGGCTAGGCAGGGGTCGGCGGATATCATAATATATCATAATAAATAAGTGCTACAATCATTCCAATTATGACGTCAGAGCCAGTCGGCAGTTGCACCAGGAGAGCAAGGCCGAGGGAACCTTGAACTATGCCACGGACCCCAAGGCTGTGGATCGACCCAGTGGATCCCAAGAGTTCCCGGAGTTGAGAAAATTTTAACCATGTCTATATTAGTACCAACCAGAATCTTTCAGAATATATCAAGAATTTACATTCTGATAAAATTTAAGAAACCAGAATCTATCAGAATTTTGCATTTATATAATGAATTTGACATGTTGTATAAAAAGTGAGGCGCCCAAAGGATAGCTGAGTTGACGCACATAACTTGCGAAAAACCGTTTGGGCCTCACTTTGTACATCACAGTATCTTTATATATTTTTACGTTTTTTTTTGGGTTGCTAATGTATAGAATCGCCCTGCCGTAGGATGGGTCACCCCAGATTCCTTCCGAAGAGAAAGCCACTGCGCAGCTGGTGGGTGACCTAGTGCACCTGTACGTCGGCACTAAGGTATGGATCAAATATGATGCAAATGGGTCCCGAATTGGGGGAGACCGCAAAAATGGCAAATTTGTAATTACTGTACTTGGCTGGGGAAATGAGGGTTTAACACCATTGGATTTGATGAGATTTGGATGGATTTGGGCGATTTTTTTCCAACATCTAACCGGAAGGTATTAATTACAGTCGATATAGTTTGGAGATTTGCATTGTTGTCGGGTAGGGTATGGTAGGAGTCCCATCAGCGTCAAATTCAGCGACCATATGCCCGATCAGCATCATCCCAAGACGCCCTTACGGATTTGACCAAGTGTTTGGAGGAACGGAGGAACTGGTCTCTGGTAGATTCTGGTAATTACTGACAAAGTCCCGCAGAATTTTGGAACTGTCAGAGCTTTGCCACGTCAACACTCAGTCTATCAGTGCAGCAGTTTTTTGATTTTTGTTAATTTGTAAACCATCATTAAGCCACAATTTTTGATATTTGCTTGATCTGTCTTCATCCATAATTTGATCCATTTGCTTTGACTGGCGCCTTGAGCTATGCCTGCGCATAGCTACAGGCATTCATCATCAAAGGATGGGTTCTTTCAGGTTCCGGGGTGCTGTTGGGGTGACTTCCATGAGTATAACCATGGCAACGACATGTACCTCCATAAGATGAAACATATAACCCCTAAACATCCCTAAACTATGGCTATATATCCACTAAGTTCACTGGGTTTAATTTCCGGCGAAGTTGACCCGTTTTTTCCTCGCAAGTTTTGGCATTCAAAGAGCGTCAGATGTGGTGGGACATGCTGATTTAAAGAAAGGGGTCTAGTGTAAGACACAACGGATTCATAGGAAATTACATCCTGCTACTCGGTGTGATCGATGCTTTCGAGATCTTTCGAGTTCGTTAGTCTACAAATCAACAGAAATCAACAGAAATCAACAGAAATCAACTGTCCCAACAGTGTCTGGATTCTTTTTTTCGACCGTTGACCTCTTGATGGGAAGCTCGGCGATCTCCTCGGCAGGGATACGGCTGGATGCATGTGATGTGAGCAGCATCAACTACACGCCTTACAAAGCATCCAGGCACCCGACGTCAGCGACGTCGAAAATTGGACCAGTTTTGGATCCGTAGTTGATGGAGTTTATGGGACTTGGGTATACATGCGAAAACAACCTTGAGAATTTCACATAGCTATGGAAAATGATGGAAAATGGCCTATTAATCTACATAATAGATGATCTCCCACTTAAAATGGTGATTTTCCAGTTCGAAAACTGTTGAATTTAACGACGAGGGATGCTTCAGTCTAAGCCAACTATCACAATATGGGCTTATTTCAGGTCACCACTACAAAGCAAAACGTGTCCTACGGAGTTGTTTTGGGTTGTGTAGACACCGCAGTTTGCAATCAACTCAAGAATACTTCTTAAATATTCTATTCTATGAGTTTCTTGATATGGGCAACAATATGCAACAATAATCATGCATATATTTGAGTTTCCTAAAATGGGGGTACCCCCAAATCATCCATTTGAACTATGTGTAACTTGTTTTTTCCATTATAAACCAACCATTTTTGGGTACCCCCATGACTTAGGAAACCTCTATTTCGGCAAGTGATTGATTGGGTGAGTGATTTGCATAATCTTGCATCTTTCTTTCCATCTGGAGAAGTCCGACGACATGTTTCGTTCAGGTACACCACAACTGCTGGAAAAGTGGAGTATCGGTCACTTGGCATCAAATCCCATATTCTCCCGGGCCTTAAATGGCCATAATGGGGACATACAAAAACATATGAAATAGTGAACATAGTGAACATAGTGAAGTGGTTGGGAATTAAAGCCCAGCATACGCCAGATGTATCGGGCTAGGCTGTTGATCTTGTTGATGTCCTGGATTTGCAGAGAAAAAGAGACGTGAGAAATGATTTTTTACATGGATGTACATGGTATCCACCGGGCCCCAATACATTTCCCAAAAGGACATCTGTTAGATTCTGTTAGTAAGAATGGATTGCATGAATCTGGTGGACAAGCTCAAAATAGCTGGAGATGGAGGTGCTATTTCATGGGTTTTATGCAACGTATTAGCATTCGTCACCAAGTCCATTGCTAGAGCAAGATAATGACAAGGTCACCTCTTGTGAGATTCTGGAACACCCAACACCTGGCCAGTCGCCTTCGTCAATTGACAAATGGGATTTTAATGGGATTTTCCATGAAATAAACCAACTATTTTTGGGATACCCCCATGACTATGGAAACCCCCATTGGAACTGAATGAACGAGGAATGACTGCAGGAATGTCTCCAAAGGTTGATTCCAATCTATTCTCACAGCATTAATACAACATATTACAACCAATATGGGTTTGTCTGAAATAGGATACCCCCAATCGTTTATCATCATTGTCCCCATTTTGCCATTTGGGGGTACACCATATTACCCAACAATCATCAGTCTCAGTCTATTGTAAATCTCCCCATGAAATATCTCCATTATATTATATATTACCATCATATTCCGGTGGCATATACCCATCATATTACCCAACTGACCATTATATACAACCTGAACAAAGCAGTCACAAACGCAGCTTCCAGCAGCCCATGGGGGCCTTGAGGATTGCATAGCGACGAGGCCCTGGCGCTTGCGGTGTGAAAAGTCGAAAAGTCTGCGACCTGCGGTCGGAACTTCCACGAAATGAAACTCTTCACACCGCTGGAATGATGACGTGGTGAAGTTAGTCGTCTAGTTGCAACAAAATGGCTTTGTCGAAGAATGTTCCTAACATGGCAATTTGAATGTTAAAATGATGAGCCAGTGGATGGAACCGGTTGCCCTGTTTTTAGACTAACCCAAATGCAAACGATTTACAGTACACTTATATAAAAAGATGATTCGTTCAGCACATATATATAGATATTTTTTATTTATATATATATAACATTACATACGATATTGCCGGAAGAGGCCATCAAAATTTTCTCAGCAGCTCAGAAGTACCATCTCAAAATTGCTGGAAACTTGACCACCAGTGAGGAGCGAATCATGTGTCTTAACTGCTGAGGGTCTTGAATAGGTTGCCACTTCTTGGGACACGGACTAGGTCTGCCATGCGTTGATGCCTTCGTTCGACTTTCCCAGCTTGGACTCATAGAGGAAGCCGTGAAGCAAGAAAGAGCATCCCAATCAATTGGGCCAAGTTAACATAGCTATGGACAATCAGCATGTTTAATGGGTAAATCCACTATAAATGGCCATTTTCAATAGCTATGTTAAATCAGGTGTGCATATTTGTCATAGGTAAATCCTCATTTATCCTCTAACTAAACGGGCTAGACCATAGTTCTCTAAGAATTTTACCAAAAGGCTATTCCAATTGTCTATCATGCATCCAGTGTTGGTTATTTTCCCACTAACATGTATTAACCGCCATGAACCGAACATCGAAACACCAGACACCAACGTTGGGTCGCCCAGTGAGCTTCGCCATGACGGCGCAGTCTCCGCTTGCGCGATTTTTTACGAAGAAGGAGCCTGTCAGTTCACCGCCGCAGACGCCGGCGCAACGAGAGGAAAACAAAGGACCAGAAAGTGCCTTGCTACTCCGATCCCGAAAATTGAAGACCCACCGGACAACGCAAAAAAATAACAAACGAGACTCAACAGAGGTGTCTTGGGGGGGTATTGATATTGGGGTGAAGGCATTAGTGGTTTTGCATTTCGTGTCGGAAGCAAACTGTTTGCAAACATCGAATTTGTTGTTTGAAAACAGGTCTTCTTCAGAGGTTTTTTTTAATTTGGACCAAATCATCTCAACCAAAACAGGTACCTTCCTGATCCTTCCTGTAGACGAACATAGATGTGGAAATCCCACCATTTGTAGATCATTTTTCTAGGGGGGAAACCAGGGGTTTTTCTCTGTGATTGAAGTAACATCTATTTATTTCCAGAGCTTGACCATCATCATTTTCTTGCCTCCTAGTGGCGTTTATTGCACCCCTATAAACTCAAATTGCTAGTGCCAAGCGAACAAAGGCAAATCATTCATTCCAAAAGCATTTTTCGTTGATGAAAAGAAACATGATACTTATACAAATCCTAATTGTTGATGATTTGATGGTCAAATCACAATTCTTGTTGGTTAAATCAGTTAAATCGTCCTATTCTTTGTAGCAACAAGCCACATTTTTGTTGATCAAATCAGATCAGATAGCCCCTGATCCTCACCAGCCTTGTCTGCTGATCAAAACACCATTCCGACTGGTGAAACCCCATTTGATTGCTCGAAGCCCAACTTGTGTTGGCAGAAATACTGTTTTGATATGTTTTGATTTTGGTTCTAAAACCATGTGGTGGATTCCTAAAATGGTGGTACCCCCAGTCATCATCCATTTGATTTTCGGGATTTCCCATCAAAAAGAACGTCGACGTCAGGTCACCCGGATGGCGTGCTGTGCACCCCGCCCTCCGTGCCGTCGCGCAAGCGGTGCTTGACCAAACAAGCGGACCAGCTAAGCACGGCGAAGAAACTGAAGGAGGTGCTGCAGATGGCGATCAAACGTGAAGTAAAACAACATCTCAAGGATGATGTGGGGTAGATACCACATGAAACCAGGATACTATATATCGATCACATTATATCACTAACATATAATATATAATATTGTATATATATATATATATTTACCAAAAAGATGCATTGTTGTTGTTGAAACATTGCCTGGATTCGCGATTTGTCGATGATTTACAGCCTATTTTCCCAATGGGAAATCCACTAGAAATGGGGAATCTCTATATAGTTGTAGGATGTTGTAGGAATAGTTTTGTTTTTTGTGGGGTCCTTAAGCAAATCCAAGATTATAATGCGACATCAATAGGAGGGATAATCTGGGGTGTATAATACCAATACGATCCGTATAATTGGGGTGTATTTTGGGGATTTCAATGGGGTTAACCCACAAAATATAGGACTTGATGGGGTACAATGGGAGGTACAGGTATATAACCAATAACATAGGGATCTAGTCAAGATTCCAGTGGGGTTTACTGGGGTTCATTTGGGTAAACCATGGGAATATAATGGGGATATCCCATGTACCAAACATCAACGCGGATAGTTTATTGAGGGTTTAATTAATCAACATCAATCAGGGATAAATTAAATGATGGTATACATTGCTAGGTGTTGATTGGACATTCAAGACTTTAAGCAACAACCATTGAGATTATGGTGCTGGGGGCGTCATACTGGGGTATAAGACCAATCATGCTATGTCATTATTATGGGGGTGCAATAGGAGTAATTAACCAACAGAAAAGGGGAGAAATAGGCTGCAAGATATGGTGATACAATACATGTTATTGGAAATGGATGGTTCACTATAATGGGAATTTCATGATTATTTTGTCATAGATTAATGTTACACCCTTTTAACCAGTATTGTTTAAGTTTTTTCATGTTTTTCATAATTACTTTTGCTTTTTGTGGTGCTCTTTGAAGCGGGGAATCCTCCTAACATGTGGTGATTTAGTCAACAATTAAAAGTGGGATTTCACGACCAAAATCTGGGGTCTGCTGGGAAGTCATGAAAATTGTGATCATGAACCAATGCTGAATATGGACATATGGTGATATCTTGCAGGTGAATATCTCCATATTCCAGAATACTCAATTGTGCCGCCCGTGACTTTCCCTCCTTTTGCCGCAACTGACGTGATGAATCCAACCGTGATTTCAGCGATCAGACATACGAGATTCACAAAGAAATTGTGGGGGGTCACCCATATTGTTTCATCCGCTGGGTTCATCAGCCATGTGGTTTTCCAGAAGCAAAAACAACATGTGGCTGCGGCTTTGGATTGGTGTTTGGTTTGGCCGTTTGGCCCAACTTTGTTCACACAGGAAGTGCCCCAAACCGCTGCAGTGCCTAAGGCCAGGTGCGGGAAATGCAGATTTGGGACTTTAATCATCAAACATATATAACATATGGATTCAACCAGCAAAAAATGTGATATAGTCCACGAAGAGCATTTGAATGCGTGGGATTTGGTGGTTTTGCATGATGGAAAACACATCTCATTTGTTGGTGGTGCTCAATCGCTTCACTCCGTAGCAAAATTGGCTGTCCCTTTGAAGAGGAAAGGAAAGTGATGGATTCGATTTATCAAGACTAACAATGAGATAAACCCTATAGGCCCTATATATCTATATATATATATATGTATACACAAGAAACAAACCCAAAATCACAATTTTTACGGGTGGTATAAAACCATCCCCAGCTGCTAGGTTTATGGCATTGGGTGGCCCACATAAAAGAGATGAGTCGTTATCTTGTAATAATCCAGTTGTTTCCTAGAGTTTATGAACCAGGTTTCCAACTGGGTAACTGGGATGCCAAAGCGCAGATTCTGGGGGGCTCAACAATTGCTGACCCGTAGCCCAATTGATATGACGAAGGAACTCTTATTTTCTTCCCTAAATTGGTTTCAGGGAGAACTTCAAGGAACCTCTATATTTGATGGAACAAAACAATGATTTCCTGAAGATAGTCCCTAAAATCATGTTGAATCTATCAATTTGTTGAGTTTAGATTGAGTTCAGCAGTTTTTTCTGGAAGAAATCTGTGTAGACGGCTGCCAACATTTGGGTACCTGGGTCAAAGTTTTGTTCCTGCCCGGTTTGAAGGACAGATTGATAGGTCGTTTTGAGTCAAAGCATCCAACGCTTTGGGGAGCCAAAGACTTGACCCAAAACTTGAAAAAAGGAAGGGAAAGGGGCGAGGGATGCAGACCCACACAGTCCTGTTTGGCGGTCACTGCCAGGTCCCAGAGCCAGTGGCCCCAGTGGCCCCAGTGGCCCCAGTGGGGCCCGTGGCCCGAGTGGCCCCAGTGGCCCCAGTGGCCCCAATGGCCCCAGTGGCCCCAGTGGCCCCTGAGCCAGCAGACCATCCCAGGGACCTCAAGGCCACACTGCAACGCGCGAGCGTGCCTGGTGCGCCTGGCGCGCTGTCGGCATTCCTGGCGGAGTGCTTTCATCACTTTGAAAGTGGACAGCAGTACAGTTGGCCCGACTGGATGAAGCCTGAGAATCTGCGGGATGTTCAGGCACCATTTTTTTGGGTTTTTGGGGACCATGCAACTGGGGGTACTATGGATGAAGTGGGGGAAGGGAGAAAATCAGTCACCATCCCACTAGCTCTGTCTGCAGGGCTTACGGCCTACGGATCCCGGGTACAATGGCAGTACCTTGTGGGTTCCTGATCCCATCAAGCAGAAGGCGGAGTACCAGAAAGCGCAGGGCCACAACACCCCGATGTTGATGCAGTACTGGAAGCTCAAATCTGCACATTTTGACAAGGCGAGCGAAGCCGAAAACGCTTGGTAATTGAGGGTCAGTAAGACCTGCTAGGTTCAATGGTAAATAATGAGCACTATGCATCAAGCTGGGAATTGGGATTCTCATGTTCAAGAAAGCAGCTTTTGCATGGTTTTGCCAGATTTTCACCCAGGCTTTAACACTTTTGTTGGTTCTATATCCCAAAACCGTTACTTTGTTGTTGACATCCTCTATTTTAACCGGTATCTTCGTCTTTGATCAGTCTTGGGCAGTGGACATGTTCCACTTTGTGACTGAAACGGTTCCTCAAAAGCATCATTTTTCTATGTTTTTCTCACGCAATGTTTCACCTCTTCATTCAGGGAATCCCACGTTTCCTAATCTGTTGGAAAACTACCGGGTTCTGGGCTGATTACATTCATATCTTAGAAGAATCAGATGGCCAAATATGTAGTTCCCATTTTGTACTTGTCCCATGTATCATCGCGTGTCTTTTACATGTTTTATACAGCCCCGCTGTCAACATCAAAACATCATCAAACATCATCAAACTGCCAAAAGCGGCTCAGGTGGCCTTTTTTAAGGTGGGCAAGTTTTATGAGATTTTTTACTACGATGCCTTCATTGCCCAGCGTGTCTGTGGTCTAAAGTGGATGAGTCAAGACAAGTCGCTGGGTTGGATGGCGAAGGGGACATCCATGTGCCACATGGAGATTGATATATATGGAGGTTTCCTAAAATGGGAGGACCTCAATAGCTGGATGGTATTTATAATGGAAAATCCGAAAATCAAATGGATGATGACTGGGGGTACCACCATTTTAGGAAACCACCATATCTAACAAGAGTATGCAAGAGGGGGATTGAATATTGGAAAGGGGTGTTTAAGCAACAGTCGGGATAGAACCTATTTTGAGAATTGACAATGTGAGACTCTGAGTCAAAATTTTTTCCGGCCTTGAACTGCAGAGATAGACAGGACATGTTTGGGATCCCATTCTTCAACCCCTTCGCCCAACAATAAACCTCCGCGTTTGGACCCCAAAATGAAGAGACGTACGACATACTACCTGGCTGTGACCAGCCAACCTGTCTACAGTATACGGTAGATTTGTTTATTTTGGGGCTGCAGAGGTATAGTATGGTCCCAACATCAACAAGTTGTCAGGGTCTTATTATTGGGATTTATTTGGGGGGGTCACCTGGCCACCTTTGGGTTTTGGAAGCACCATGATATATGGCTGTGTCTTTTTTTAACGGGTGCAGTTTTTAGTAAAGGCAGGAAGTTCGATTTGTGCGAATCATACCCCCGAATCATACCCCGAATCATACCCCCGAATCATACCTCCGAATCATACCCCAAAAAATCATTATTATGAATGTTTCTTTTGGGATCGTTTGGGATTGCATTGGCCTCACCTGTTATAATGAACCTGACAAGCTAATTGACCAGTGTTGGCCAGACCCGATGATCCCTGGCTACCTTCACATACCTTCACGGAGTGGCGAATCTTCTCCACGCGCACAGAGTCTCATCATTATCCCTAAGCTGGCTGGCTCTGGGTGGCTGGCTCTGGGTGGCTGGCTGGCTGGCTAGGTGGCTGGCTCAGTTGCTGCTGCTGGTATAGGGCTGGCTAGTTGCAGCTGGCTGGCTGCGTGCCTGGCTGCTTGCTGTGTTGCTGATGAGGCTGATGAGCGGGATGACTCTGTGTGCGGCTGGCTGGCTGGCTGGCTGGCTGGCTGGCAACCAAACCAAAAATCCGTCGAAGAGGAACATAAGCCTAAGCGTAGCTGAACTAAAGGTACATGAGAAGAACATCCAGAAGAGACGCCGGCAGGCCGTCGGATATAAATCATAGATGTGCATTTAGATCTTCACATTCTTCATATTCAGGTCCTGTCCAAGGTCGTCTGGCAGGTCGAGCCATTGCAGCCATTGAGTAGCAATCGTAGTAGGTTCACGGTGGGAAAAAGAGATTCAAGCAACAAAGCTTCCTGAATTCAAAAAAAGATGGGTTTCCGAATCATACCCCGAATCATGCCCGAATCATACCCGAATCATACCTCAAACTTCCCAATTCTGAACCTTGGTACATTTGCAAGATCAGAACTTGTGATTTGTGAGCTCTTTTCTTTGTAACCATTCGCCACGGGCTAGACTACGCCTCCTGCTGCTTCAGAGAAAAATCCGACAACAGCACCCTGCAGCTCCTGCAATGGCTCCAACATGCCAACTCCAAAGCGCACACACACCACTTTAACTGCAGCACCTTGAAGCAGCACCCTGCAGCGGCACCACCAGCCAGCTCCAGAGCGGACACGCCACTCTAACAGCTGCACCCTGCAGCGTGCAGCAGCGCCCTTCACATAGCACCCTTGCAGCACGAGTTGGGTACAGTACGTACCCTCCTTGCAGCACCCTGAAGCATCACCCCTTGCAGCAGCACCAGCAAGCTAGCTCGACAGCACCCTCAAGCAGCACCTTCCACCGGCATCCGCTCACCAGCATGCCCGCTCCAAAGCAGGGCACACACCAGGCAGCACCTGCAGCAGCACCCTGAGCGCCACCAGCATCGCTCCAAACTGTACACACCACTCTGACAGCAAGCAACACCCTGCACCAGCACCTTGCAGCGGCACTCCAACGGCACCACGATGCCCGCTCCAAAGCGCGCACACCACTCTGACAGCAGCACGCACAGCGTCAACAGTATGCCAGCTCCAGAGCACTCCACGTATGGTATAATTACCAACAGTTGAAACATTTTCGGGGTAAGTGTGGGTAAATAACTACGCGGAGGATGCAGGGAAACACTAAATCAAGGTCCGCGAATCATACCCACGAATCATACCCACGAATCATACCCCGAATCATACCCACGAATCATACCCCCTAGTCAAACTTCCCGGGCCGCACTCCTCATTTTGAGACATACCCATATATATATATATTATTATATATATATAATATATACACATATTACATCATATTACATATATATATATATTACATATATATATAACACTATATATATAATTATTATCCATATTGAATCATTTTGAGTTGGACCAAGCAGAGTGGCTCTTTGCCAACAACTAAGCCAGTCAGGATCATCAACTGTAAACTTAAAGGTTTAGTCTTTATATCCCAGTTTAACTCGCATCTTCGAAGAATCTTCTTGACTTCATACTTTTTTTATGGCCGTAAATATCCCAGTTCCGTTGACATTTCATAACATGTCGTGATACTTTGGATAGGATAGAAGAAATCCTGCACCAGTTGGTAGATGGTTTATCCCATCTTAATCCCATTATTTACAGTGTTTCACAATTTCCAATAGCTACCAAAGGGTGCAGGATTTCGCAACCATCCACAGTATTTCTTGACTTTATGGCAATCTGATTGGTGGTTTGGAACATTCTCATTTTTCCATATATTGGGAATAATCATCCCAACTGACTAATATTTTTCAGAGGGGTTGAAACCGCCAACCAGCAATAAATTTCCATTCTGTTGACTTTATTATTATGGCATAGCCATTTTGGCTCCATGAAGACATTTCCACATATATATCCCTGCTCCAGTGACTTCATGATCATATCATCCCAGTTTCATTCACATTTCATGACATTTACCCATCCAACAAGGCAATGGAAAAATCCTCATTGAGTTCATGATTTTCCCATAAACAACTCCTTTTACATCCTTTTATTCATACATACATATATATATATATATATGTATGTATATGTATGTATATATACATATGTATATGTATATATGTATATATGGCATTTCCCAGCTTGCCACGTTGACACCGTTTCGGGTCACCACATCCCAGGAAGCCTCACGTGGGCTTCCCCGAAATGGCCAAGCACGAGTACGCCAAGCAGATCCTGGCGGCAGGCTTCAAGGTGGTGGTGGTCGAGCAGGTCGAGCGCGTGGTGGAAACCAACCAGAGGAAGAGCGAGGAAAAAAACACGGGCGACGCGGTAGAGTTCAGTGGGAAGTTCTGGGATGGATAGTAGTAGATCCGCAGCCAAAGTTGGATTGTATACTGATGTTGGGGGATGATCATCTATCCATTAATAGGGATTATATAACTGGTTGGTGGTTTGGAACCATGGAATTTTATGATTTTCCATTCAGTTGGCGATAGTGATCATGATGGCAAGCATCATGGAGATGGCAACAGTAATGCTAATAGCCCATTACTATGGTAAGGGTAATAGTAATGAACATGATAATCATGATGTTGGTATCATGATCATGATTATTATTATTATTGTTCTCATTAGTAGTATCATTATCATTATCATTATTATTATTTGAAAACTATATCAATATTACTAATGATATCTACGGGGTATTATCATGGTGCTAGCCCCCATCAAATTGGGAAAAAGGCCCTGCAGCTCGACGTCGGGATGGATCTAGAAAAAAAACCGCTGGATCCTGTACTTCCGAAGGTGCCCACTTGCAACGAAAACCCTTAATTGAAACACATTGTTTTCGGACCCGCTCGATCTATGGTTTTACTTTTTATGATTCAACTGTTTCAGTCATACCTGGGGTAGCACTTGGAGTACATGGATGTGCATTCCAGCTGATGAAAAACGTCTATCACTGGGAATTATCTCACATACAACCAGGTTGCAGACATTGATATTACAGTAGATGATATTAGCGCCAGTATGGCTGTCTTCCATACATAATATAGGCTACTCATGTCAAGGTGCCCAGAAACGAATTTTATAAATCCTTTATTCCCTTAATTGTACAATAAGTTTGTATATATATATATATAACAGTATATAACATATATATATATATATGCTACCCCCCCCTCCTGTACCTACCTTTAGCCTTTGTTGACAATGTGGATTCCACCAGATGAGTGCATTGTTTTGGTAATTGATATTGAAAATGAATATGCCACTGATGATACCATAGAAGTTAACAAGGAAAATAACCCAATTATGATAAGGGGGGTTTATGCTGGAACTGGCAACAGTTATATATGTCAGAAAATGGTAGGTAGAGGGTATAAGGTAATGTTTGTATGTCCTACTAATAGATTGCTTCAAGAATTTGCAGGAGACGCACTAACATTAAATAATTTTTTTGGTAGAAGTTTTGGTGATGTAATGTTAGAACCATTTGATTATTCAGGGTATGATGTAATAGTTTTTCATGAAATTTACTTCAGTAGTTTAAGCACCTACCGGAGAATAAAACAATTTGTAGAAGAGAATAAGAGCAACAAAATAATAGTAGCAACAGGAGACACAAAGCAACTAAAACCTATTCAACCACTAACTAACATTCAAGAGTATGAAGTATATGCGGACTATATGATAAACAATATGTTCACAAATAGTATATTATTAAAAGAATGTAAGCGACTGAAAACAAAAGAGGATAAAGAAAAACATAAGCCATGAAAAAAAATATAGTCTTGTAAATAAACTACCTTTCAAGAAGAAAGTAATTGAACAATATTTCAGATATACTACTAGTATAAGTGGTTCAAGCATAACATTGCCTACTTAAATGATACCTGTAAGAATGTAGCAAGTGAAATTAGGAAACTAGAATATGAAGTGGGAGAATTTTTGATATGTAGAGAATACACTAAAACCCCTACATCAGTACCTAATGTGAATTTTAAATATGGAATTGTCCATATTGGAAAGGATGGGGTAATGACATTGAAAAATACTAAAACTAATATACCGCAATCCATTCAAATTAAGAAGGTAAGAGGTAATTCTATATTTGCTCATTGCACCACCTGCCATTCTGCCCAAGGTAGTAGTATAGATGGAGATATAACAATATTTGATTATAACCATTTTGACATTAGAAATTATAGGGAGTTGTTATGGACAGCAATTACAAGAGCAAGAGATTTAAGCAAAGTAAAGTTTTATAAATATAGTGATGATGTGAATTTAAATGATGAATTCAATTATAAATGTATGAAAAGTAAATACGAAAGAAACAATGAAAATTACAAGCAACAGGACAGGAAAGCAAAAAGAACAATACCAAAAGAAGGTTATGTGAATGTTAAGTGTTTTTTTGATAATATAACTAACCAATGCAATTACTGTGGATGTGGGTTTCATACAATTATTAAAGGTGGAAATAACAACAAATTTAACTGCCAAAGGGTGAATAATGAATATACCCATACATTAGACAATATAATACCATACTGTGATAGATGTAATAGAAGTTGTGGAAAATATTAGTTAAATAAATATTATGTAAAATAAATACTCTAACACTTTAATACAATAATTTTCAACGAACATGTTCTTATAATGTAGTTTTTCTATCAACCTAACCTTGCCCAACAAAATACCACATAAATTATAATATTTTTTGGGGGTGATAGTTGGGCAAGGTTATGCTGTTAGATTTTTTGAGGGTTGAGGGTTCTGTGGTTGAAGTGTTGTTGTGATTTTATGGGTTATTGGTTGATGATGTTTATGTAGTGGTTTTTGTTGATTTGTGTCTGGAGGGGAGCAATTTTTCAGATAACAAGTTATCTGAAAAACACTCGCTCAACATTAGTATGAATTATACTTAAGACATAGTCTGAAAGGAAGAAGAACTAAGAGGTCCTAGGACTTCCTTGGAACCAAGAACCAAGAACCAAGATTCCCCCAAAACTTTCTGTGCAATCTTGGTTCTTGGTTCTTGGTTCCAGTGAGGTCCTAGGACCTCTTAGGAGGTCCTAGGACCTCCCCAGTACCAAGAACCAAGAACCAAGATTCCCCCAAGACTTTCTGTGCAATCTTGGTTCTTGGTTCTTGGTTCCAGTGAGGTCCTAGGACCTCCTAAAAAACGGTAAAAAAATATATGCCCCAAAATATGCAAAAAACACCGTAAATACCGGTAAAGGTACAGAAAGGGTAGGTACAGGGGGGGGCCACCATATATATATATATTGGAGTAAACTATCCTAAACCAAGCTTTCAGATCTTACAACAACTGCAAATCTTCTATAACTTACCATTTATGTATGTTTTTCAATAGGAATTCCCATATATTTCCATCATTTTCCATGAGCCACCCCTAACCGGCCCTAACCCCAACTCCATTCATGGCTTAATCGGCCCCAGGTTCCGGGCCGATTTGCGTGGAACGGGCACCCTGCGAGGTCTTCACCAGTGGAACGCTGGTGGACCCGGAGCTGCTGCAAGGTGGGTAAAAAGGGTGGGACCCGTAGCACGAAGCCAGTTGACCCCGTTGATGGCGTAACAAAAATGTTAATCATGGTTGATAATAGTTGATCATAGTTGATAATGGTTAATGGTTGATAATGGTTACTAATGGTTAATATTGTGGGGATTTTTATGACTTCACGGGGAATCCCATTCTCAATCCACCAAAAAATGAAGCCAGATGAAAATCGTGGCCATATGCCCCATGGTTCAGTCATGATTCTGGTCGGTGGTTTGAAACATGGCTTTTATTTTTCCATTGGGAATAATCATCCCAACTGACGAACTCATATTTTTTAGGGTTGAAACCACCAACCAGAAAATGTTAATAATGGTTGATAATGGTTGGTAATGGTTAATAATGGTTAATATTAATGGGTAAACCACATTAATAATTCATCATATTTTAATAGTGTCATAAACCACCCAAAAATAGGAATGGTGTATTTATACCACCTATAAAAATGGTGATGACTGGGGGATGGTTTGTGACATTGTTTTACTCATATGGTACCATCAAAGACATAGGGACATAATTGACTTAAATGATGGTTGGTTGATGATATAGTATAGGGGTTACTGCCTGATACTGTATGTTTTCGGGATGACATAATCTATGGAACATGAGTATAACTTTATAACTGAAAAATGATGGTTGATTCGTGATGGTCAATTGGTTGGGCTTTATAGTCATTTGGAAACCCCACCACCACCACAATTAGTTTGTGAATTTGCCCCTGGTGATGCTGATTTTTCTGGTAGCTGACAACATATTGGGACGCCATCCTAAGAGTATCTCTGGAGTGGAGTCCTGATCCGCCAGAGGGGCATGTCCGAGTAGCATGGTGGTGTGTACCAGTAGTTGGATGTAGTTGGATGGTATCCCCTCTCCTAGTAGCTGGGCCTACCTTGGTTAGATACGAACTGGTACAGCTTAATCTTTTGCTATCACTGGTAAAGTATACTACAGTAACCAGCTAAAAAATAGTTTTTTTGCCAGATATCTAAGATTCACCATGGTATAGAACATCTACTTTCACTTCTTGTGTCTAGTCTTTTAGCAAGCCACAACGGTTTCGGCTCTATCCACCAGGTCTTTGTATCGTAGTTCCACTCCCAAGTTATGATCTACAGAGGTCCGGCACTAGGTTGTGCCAGTATGTCCATCCCGTTGGTTACTCAAACATGCGTGACATTTTGGGGGTATCTCACAATGCACTCCAGTGTTTACAACAAAGGTTTTCCACATGGGTCTATCCAAAAGATAGGATACCCCATTCCATCCGCTGGCGCCAGTCCCCTAAGTCACCACAAGATCCCATTATATCCCCCTGCACACCTCCTGCTAAACCATGGTTTCCAGGGGGAAGTTTTAGATTAGGTCTAGGTGAATGGGATTACAACTCACTATACATATATATATATATAATACACCCTCCATGGAAAATCATACTTTTATACCTGATGTCCCCTGAAAATGCGCATTTATAGGGATTTCCCAGCTAGCCATCTTTCATTGCCGTAGAGTGCATATATATATACATAGATAGATAGATAGATAGATAGATGGATAGATAAGATAGATAGATAGATAGATAGATAGATCGATCGATCGATCGATCGATCGAACCGAATCGAATCGAATAGAATAGACTAGAATAGAATAGAATAGATAGATAGATAGATAGATAGAGAGACAGATAGATAGATAGATAGATAGAAAGATAGATAGATAGGTAGATAGATAGATAGGTAGATAGATAGATAGGTAGATAGATAGATAGATAGATATACAATTATATACACATACACCCTTTACCCATTTGAACCAGGTGCGGGCGCGCGATTCCTTGCCTACCTTCACTTCGAGCAGAGCTCTAAAGGTGCGTGGATTTGAGCGATGTGCTTTGATATCAACTACATCCCATGGTTTTAGTAGAATTTTGTAGTAAAATGGTGACCAAGGATGTATATCATATAGATTTATATATATAGGCTATGATTAGTATTTTACATTTCTGCTATGCTATCAAGCTTTAGCACGAATATGCACTAGTACTAACCAAATTTTCTTTTGGGATACCCAACTTTCACCGAAGCGAATATCACCAACTATATGACTTGATATCATAACAACAATAACAAGTTACCCTCTGGTAATTTAACATAGCTATTGAAAATTTCCATTTATAATGGATTTGCCCATTAGAAATTGTGATTTTCCATAGTTATGTTCGTTTACCAGAGGGTATCACATGTGACTATTGTTCCAATATGTTCCAATATGTTCCAATGACCACCGACTATACACCTTGACAATCCTACAGTAGAGAGGCCAATGTTGCACGTGCTTTTTTTGTGCAAAAAAGTCACATTGCATCACGTTGCTAATTTTCTGCAATTAGGTCATATCCCCATTTCTTGCTGGTTCTACACCAATTCATACCACAATTTCATTTCGTTTTTAGGAAAAATGAAGCACAATTAAAACAAGTCCCACCACAGAAGCTCGCCGTTTGGGACCAGCAAGTATCACCTCCAGTGGCTTAGCTGCCTCCACTCCGTGCACAAAGGTGGCCTGGATTTCAGCATCTGCCTGGTGGATTGTGCCACCAGCCAATTCCAGCTGGGCCAATATGTGGATTCGCCGGATCGCAATACGTTGAGGACGCTGGTGGCACAGGTACAACCGAGTGAGGTGCATGGGGATGGGTACGAGGGAATGGTGAAAGATGGAGATTTTACCAGCTAGAAGCCTGCTCTCTCAGGTAGCTCCATCAAGTTGTGCTCACATGAAGTGAAGAATTTTCTAGTTCCACCGAATCGTTGGGCATGAAACAACTGAACTCCCCACATGTGATTGCCTTTCATACCTTAGAAGCCTTTTGAGTTTCTGCCAAAATAGCACTTCATCAAAGATCCCATGGTCTATTGTCATTTATCCTCATAAAAATTGGATATCGTGGAACTATATATATATATATACCCCAGTTTCTGGGAATTTTCCGCACAAAGACTACAAGCTTGCAATCTAAAACCCATGGTTTATGGGTTTATGACCATCTGTCAATATGTTTCCCCATTAAACAAAGTGGAATATGTTGGGCTTATCATGTGATATCCCCATTTGTGGGGTGTGTGCCCCCAAACAATTATGGCTATTTCATAGGGATATAAGATATATAATAGATATATAGGGATTGCATTTAATGATGAAGCAATGGAAACCACAATATGGGGACTATTTTCAGACACGGCATATTATGGGCTATGTCATTCCGGGATTGAATTTCATGTAACTCACCAGTGGATTTTCCCATGGGATTTTCAGAACAATTTTCCAGCCATGTGGGGAAAAAGCCATGCTGCCAGGTGGTTTACGATGTGGAGAATTTGCCCAGCGAGGTCTTGAGCTACTTCCGGCGCTTGCCCTACCGGCCTCAACTCTCGGCCGTCCGGCAGGACGGAGGTCAAAGCGCGCTTGCTTGCCGTAGCGAATGCGTGGTGCATGCTTGGTCACATATACAGACGTATATGTATATAGCGTTGCGCGTATATAATTATATACATATATAAAAATATGTATATATATATCATTATATAGACAAATAAACATCTCTCATTTGGTTTATATTCTGTATATGCTTTATTGCCTTTTTGGAAGGACCCAACTGCTCGGGAACTGTCCAATCAAATCCTGTCCCTATGATTTTTCAGTGAACTTTGAGAGGAAACCAAGGTTTGAATAGACCCTACATCCGATTACATCGATTCGAAATCAGCATATCTTTTGATCCCTTCTCTTACACTGTTTGACATTGTTTTTATTTTCCCATTGAAGGAACCTTCAGGAATTTCAGCCAAGTTCTGAGTTGATACCTGCCAAAAGCCATGGCCTTTTGGCTCAGGACGGCGCTTCAGGTCTGTTGGGAGCTCGAGATCGCTTGAGGAAGTACCGTCAGGAGCATCCACAGATCTTCTCTGAAGCGGTGGAAAAAGTGCTGACTCAGGCGAGGTGGGTGACGACACTTGTGGAAGAGTGGTCAAGAAAGGTTAAAACCACAAGCCGGGATCCAGAAAATCAGAAAAGAAACCAAACATCAGCAGATTCATGCAAATTCAATCTGAATTTCCGAACTCCCAGTCACATCAGTCTCCTCATGTTTTCAGGACAGCGCTACCCTGGCGGCTGCGGGGTTGATGGCCTACCTCACCAGCAGCCTGTTGTCCGAGCGTCTTCTCCCCATGGCCCTCTGGAGCGTCCTGGACAGCGCCTCAAAGGCCGGGCAAACCGGGCCGACGCCGCGGATGGTGCTGGATGCCACGGCACTGGCGGCGATTGAAGTGGTGGAAACCTTGGAAGGACCGGCGAAATGGTGGGAACTGAGGAAATCTGGCGAAAATGAGTGAAAATGAAGGAATATAGATATATACTATATATATATATTATATGTATGGATGAACATGAATGAAAGACAGGAGTACCTAAAACGAACATCTCCGGATTTTAGTGGTTCAACACTGTGTTTGTGTTGCCAAGAGAAATGCTAGCAATGGAGATCAAGCATACTGCAGCTTCAATGTCCCATGAATGAAAGATGAACTTCAGATCCTGACCTGGCGTTAGGATGGCTGAAATTCTTCTGAGAGTGTGTAGTCAACCTTGCCAACTTCTATTAGTGGTTGAACCGGTTTTGTAAATTGTGGAATTGGAAAATTGACCATTCCTCTTTTTTGGGAGATGGACACTTCGCATCATTTTGCCACAGTTTTGTTTGTGGTGATGAACTGCCTATCACCGGATACATCCCTGGAGGAAGATATGAGGGCTGCTTGTTGTCCTTCCTGGATCACACCAGCACTCCCATGGGCTATCGCCTCCTGACGACTGGATGGGTCCCAATTTTGGTTGCTGAACTCAAGCCAACCTGACAGATGACAGACCCGAATCCTCTTGTTTGTAAGATACAGTATCCTCATTTTTACTGGTCAACCATGGTAAATTCTTTGTTGTTTTCCTTACGTAGCTAAATCACATTGCTTCATTTCGTGGTAAGGTCCAATTTTTCTAATTGCTTCAAGTCACCCATGTTGCTGAGGTATGCAAGGCCGAATCAGTGATTGTTTCTTTGTTAAACCCACCATGGTGTGTCACTTTCAGAGGGGTTCCCGGCGTTCCGTTTTCCGACCTGGCGCCCCTACTGAGACCGGCATCTAGAACCACATTTTTTGCTGTCAAAATTTTGATTTTTCTTGGTAAAACATCGAAACAACCTTCCCTGGCTGAGCTCTTCCCAAAACAAGTTGGTAAAACCACTGTCTCTCAGAATCATTTATATAATAATCTCCAAATTTTCATAATTTGATTTACATGTTGTTTGTTATAAATTATATAAACTCCATATTTTTTCGTTGTTTCATTCCTTATCCGAGTATCCATTCCTGAGGTCTCTTGAGGCAATGGGTTTGCGCTCCGTTGTACGACTTGGAGGAGATCGCTCAACGCCAGGAGGCCGTGGAGTTCTTCCTGCAGCGGGGGGAGCTGGCGCAGCAGCTGAGGCAATCCCTGAAGTGACCAGGCGCAGTGAGGTGGACCCTGATGGATGAGTATACGCTGTATGTTTAATAGGTATATATGTGATTATATCCATATATATATATGTATATATATATGTATATCTATATATATAATAGAGTACATATAATGTTATATATTTAGTTTAACTTGTGTATATGTATAATATTAGTAAGTATATAAATATAGTGGTGATAATGATGATTCGCATGCTAGTGGTGATCATCATTGTTGACCCTGATGAATGGGGTATATATTGATGGGTCTGTAATAGGTAGTCAGACCTTGTGTAATGGTATCGGCCTTAAACCAATCGGTACACCTTGTAACGGTGACCCAGGTGACCCAGTCCACATTTTCTTACACCTCAATATGGTATATGATTTGTATGCAATAGGTGTGTATACAAGGTGAGGCCCCCCAGTTGTAAGCTGGTGTGTAAAGCCATGAATACTCTTAGGCAACCAAGTTCTGTGCGTCAACTTGGTCACACCATGATCCATGGGACTAGCCTGACCTTTCCAGACCCGGTCGAAAGTTTGCTCAGGAAGTGTATTGCGGGCACGAAAATCCCGGTCGATTTGGAACGTGCCACCAGTCGAATCTGGAGCTACGCCCTACAAGCAGAGAGAAAGGCAGTTATGTACGAGGTGATGCCGGAAGGGTTGGGCTGCTGGGCCGCGGGAGGGGCTTTACATCCTCTTGATTCCTCTTGTATATATTCACTAGCCATAGTCCCTGAATTAGATGAAGGGCAGGGACACTGTGTTGAACTCCCTGAAATATGTTTGGATATGTTTGGATGGTGAAACCGCACTGGTTTCCTCCCTTTTTTTTGGACTATCAACAATTTTACCATGGTGCACAAATTTACGATGGTGCCTCGTAAAAGCCCGCCATCCCACCAGGAACTTCACTGACAGCAGAAAACAATCGGAGTGTCTAAGAGTTTCCCAACCGGGCTGTAAAGTTTATCCAGTCGTAAGTACCTGGTTGGTGGTTTCAACCCCTCTGAAACATATTCTCGTCAGTTGGGATGATTATTCCCAATATATGGAAAAATGAGAATGTTCCAAACCACCAACCAGATACTTTGGCCATAAATGTTTAAACTAGCCATTGTGCACCCCAAAAAAATGCCAGATGTTTCCTGCTGGGGGTCGAAAAATTACGATACTCAATAATACAAAATAGCGGTAACACCAATGCATGATTTAATCATATATAATCCTCTATAATCATAACAACATTATACCATGATATAGGATATAGACATTAGATATAATATCCGTACAATCATGATATAATTATAGTATAATCTATTTTTCTTTGTTCCAACATTACCTTTTTGGGGGGGGCGCGGACGCAGGACGTGACGGCGCGAAGACTGGGACACTTTGTGGAACTCATGGAGGCGCGGAGAGGAGACCCACCGCGAGACATTTTCTTTGTCATAGTTTCTGACATCTCATCTGGAAGTATATATAGCATATATGTTCGATTATTTTCTGACATTCTATTCTGTTATTTTATCTGGCATTTATTCACTGCCGAACCTCAACCGCGAGCGCCAGATCTCAGTGGGCAGTACCCACTGCCATCTGGCGCTCGCGGTTGAGGTCCGGCAGTGCCCACTGAGCTGGCGCTCGTCTTTGAGGTCCGGCAGTGCCCACTGTTGAGGTCCGGCAGTGCCCATTGAGATCTGGAGCTCGCAGGAGGAGGAAGAGGAGGAGACGGAGGAGGAGGGAGTAACTCTGAGAAAACCTAGAGGCCCTCATCCGGCAGATGAGGAAGGATCAGAATTTAATATCGATATTGTATCCAATTTAGTGCAAACTATTCCAAAAATCAAGATTAATGATGATTCATGATTGACATCCCAATGATATGCGGGTTTCCTAAAAGTGGGAATCCCCGATTTTACGTCATGGTCTAATGACGTGGATTTTGGGGTAGCCCCATTTTAGGAAACCTCCATATCAGTAATCAACCATAGTTTTTAATGGTGCATAGTGTTGACCATCAGTATCAATAGCAATAGTTAGTCATACTTATACATATAGTTTATCAGCATTACATATATATATATATTATAATATATATATATATATATTTAATTATATTTACATATTTAATATATATATAATGTGGGAAAAGCAACAATAAACCTAGCATTTGAGGATGGTTGATACAACCGATAAAAATCCTGTCTGTTTTTTGGGAATGGTTTGTTATTGGATTCCCACGGTAGATAGTATATAGGATATAGTATATATGTATATGTCAGTAAGTAATCATGTTTAAAGATATGTACATGTATCTGGATGACATCGATCATGACCTCACAACGTGGCGTCACTGGAATGATGGCTAGGATTAAGGCAATCATCCCCAAATGTCCTTTTGATAACAGCTATTTTCAGCTTATTAGTGAATGATTTCAGCCATATATATATATACATATACATATACATAATATATGCATAGGATATACGGGTATGTGTGTATAGAAATATCAACAATTATTGGTAATCATATCTCTCCATATATAAAATAATGGATAGGTAATAGGTGAATTTATTGCGGATAGAAAAGGGATATATTAATATATCATCAGTGTGTATGGTAGTTTCTCAAAGATGGGGCGGGGTCCCAAGTGGTCATCGAAGGGGAAAGCAATGGTTGAACGGGGTACAGTACCCCAATTTTTTCGGACACATCCATATCCATGCCCAAAACATGTTTTGAAACATCCAGATTGACTGTATCGATTGACTGTATCCATACCCCAAACATGTTTTTTTGTCGGGTCCATTGGTATCTAAATTTTTGAGCCATAGCGTATGGAATCGCCTTCGAAAAGGTGCCCCAAAAATTTTCATCGATCGACATTCAGCCCATTATTTCGTAAAACATTTGAAGACCCCAAATCAATTGGTCACTAGTATACCTCTTCAAACCCCCACATTAAAGTGGCATTCCTTAACCAGGGGCCCAACCTAAGGGCTCAGCAGGTCTTTGAACAGTGCTACAACTTGCTGACCTCGGCCTTTCCAAACGACTTGCCGGGCCGCCTGGCGCGCGTGGCCAAACCCCAGAAGGAGGGTGGAACTCTGCCGGACGCTCGGCGCGGAGGTTTTGCTTTGGGGAAAATCAAGGGAAACACTGTGGAAGAGAACATTTGAAGTTTCTATAAATGTTTGAAATCAAAGAAAAAGGGGGAGATAGGGGGAGACATTGTTCATTTTGAAAAAAGGGGCAATGTCTTTGGGTGTAAGAGATGAACTGCAAAATTGAACTTGTGGGGCCGGTTCCATATTGTTTTCAGGGTATACGCAGCACACATACGTATGTGAAGTGTTAAAGCAGCAGGAATCAAGGGGAGAGAATGGTGAGTTAGTTTCAGCAACAAAATGGAACGTGTATGCGACAACATATGGGGATTTATGTCGACCATCAATTCATTTGTTATTGAGAAGTAAGCACAGACTCAGACACCTGCTATAATAAGGAATTGTGGGATAAACATAGAATTCAAAACAACACCAAAACATACCAAAACATTGTGTGACTTTCCGCAACCAATTTTTTGCAAAGGTGACTGTCTTGATTGTTTTTTTTTTGCGATCCAAATTATGAGTTTTCCCCTAGACTTGTCCCTAACCTTGAGGAATCTCTTCAACCCCCCATGCCCCTGTGGGAATTATGCTTAAAATGCCAATATATTATCGTTATTCAAAAATTACGTCTCCATCTCAACCTTTTCTGGGTAGGTCAAAATCCAGACTTTTCTGTGTCGGTCGAAATCCCGAATTCCGGCTGTCAAACGGGTTTCCATCTTTGGACATTCAATCCAACACTATTCTCCACCAAACTATAATATCTGGTGGTTTGAAGATGTTTGAGGTATTTTATAGTTTCCATCCTGGGATGATAATCCTCATTGTCCAATTTTCCATTCATTTTGCAGGGGGGTTGAAACCACCAACCAGATATGGGGTTTTCTTAAAATGGGGAAATCCTTAAACATCGGTTTCAATACTAAGTCATGGTCTAATGACTTGAGTGATTTGTGGTAGCTCCCATTTTAGGAAACCTCCATCTGTTATATGTTGTGGTTGATGTCTGGCTGTGTTTTAGTGGCTTTCCCTTGGTGAAACTTCCACGCAAAGCCCTCAGGAGCTGCTGCCGACCATCCGTTGCCTGAAGGGCGCGCTGGTTCAGACGCCCATGGAGAAGGGGAATGGTTCGAAGTTCAGGCCCGGTGAATGCTTGGCATCCAGGTGATGGTGGGAAAATGGGGACTACATGGGATTTATGCAGGATTTATGCAGGATTTATGTGGGATTTAATGGGATTCAAGAGAAACACTGGAATTTTACAAGTAAGGTAAGTCGGTCATTATAGCCCAAGTTACAAGACAAGTAAGGTTTGTGCAGTTGCTAACATCCAAAATATTGATAATATATACGTATATATATATATATTATAATGATAAACCATCCCAGCAACCACATACTTGGGGGTCATCTTGTATTATCTGATCATCATCTCAAATATCGGTATAACTAGTAATAAACATCGTTTGGGGACGCTTTCTTCATGGGTTGGGGGAATTGGGGGATTTCACCAGCCCTGCGGGGAAAAGCATCAAATGTTAGATTCGACAGCCCAACATACAGAGTCTCCAACCAATGGGGTAATGAAACATAAATGGGGGTTATATCTATAGTTAATGGGGATTATAAACCGACTTATAACTATGGGGGCACCACCTTGTAATGAAACCACAACAGTGACTTTGACTGGAATTGATTGACTTCAAAACACTTTCCTGGCTGGATGAGAAATGAGCCGCACCTGATGTTTTACATCAGTGGTAGAAGCTCTGGGTGATATCACCAGCGCGAGTCTTTTGATCAGTATCGGTGCTCATAACCTCAAGTTGTTGATGGGATGCCACCCGAGGAATTGAAGACTTATATAATTAAATGGACTTAATATAGAACCAGGGTTATGCAGATACAAACAAAGTAGGCTAGGTGCAAGGATTGAGTACTTGGTCAATAGCCCAGGAAGCACCACGGGTCAGGAAGCAGAAGATTGAACTCGATTTGGGAACTGTGAATTGTATCCAGTCAAAAATGTTCTTTTTCAGCCATCTCAGTGATTTGAATAAAATGGTCACGGCCCAGTGGCACTTCATTCTTCGGGAGACATAACACCAGGTGAAGGAGCTGCTAACGAGGGAGTATCAAGCACTTTGCGCCCGGGACAAACCTCCAAGTAGGACGCCATTTGCACTATTTTCATACGCCCTTTGGGACCTTTGGGAAGTCATGTCCAAGTGGATTGTACCATCGTTTCCATCCGAAAAGCATCCAGAAAGACTTTCGGTTTTTGTTCCCCACGTGCCAGGTGAGGCTGCCAGGTGAGGGTCTCTAGACTTTATCAGAGCGCCAGAGCTCAGTAGGCATTGCCGGGCCTCAACCGCGAGAGGCAGATCTCAGTCACTGCCTTCAATGCAAGATGTCACATAGAGGGTAAGATAGAATGTCAGATAGAATGCCAGATAGAATGTCAGAAGAGATGCCAGATAGAATATATGTCAGAATATATGCCTTGAAGTGCCATGGTGGGGATCACCCGAAGTAAAATCCGAAGTAAAAAATGTTATTTTTCCAGTTCCAGGTGAGTTACAAAGCCACACCTGCAAGCGTTTACATCATCTTCCCAGGGTTGGTTAATGTTGGTTAGGTTACTCTCTGGTAATTTAACTGAACATAGCCCTGGAAAGTCATCCATGTGTAGATGAGTTAGCTACAAGGTGGAGTCCCCGTTTGATAGCTAAGTTGGTGAATGTAACTCCAACAACTTGGACATATGGTAGATATATCGAACTAGTTATGAGATTAATCATGGATTTCTAGATGAGCTACAAAACAAGGCCATGTTCCATGGCTCTCTTTGACCAAGGCCGCAGGATGGTGCAGATCCGGTCTACGACGAGAAGTGCCGCCAGATTCGCAGCACGCAGCAGGAACTGGAGAAGGAACTGGAAGGCCTGCGGCAAAAATATCCCAAGGTGCGGAACGCGCGGAACGGGGGTGCGGTCGAGGTTAGAAATTGCTATAACCATGGTATTTTTAAACCTCCTAAAGTTGGGATATACCTGATATAACCCCTATAACTACAGTTATACATCCAACTTATAGCTGGAACTTCCAAGCTCCCGGAGGGTTGAACCGTTCACCATTGAAACCATCCAAAACATGGGGGATTTTGAGAAAACAACATGGGGGGGGTTGGAGAATTGTTTTGCATTTTCCAGAGGGGTATCAATTGAGGTTGGGTGATGTCCGTTGGAGGATCATCCCATGGATCGTAAACTGACCACCGTGGGTGATGGATGAGGTTGGCGGGTGATGTAGGTCCGGTCCGGCTGTGTGGTGTCACAAGACGCAGTTTTCACAGTTGGACTACCACAGTTTTCTGCTCTGCATTTGGCTGTGTGCGGCTATCAAACTGAGGTATATGATTGGGTGAACAGAGAAAACATGAAACAACCCCATACAAACAGAATTGATCACAGCTATTGCAGAGAAATCATTGCCCCAACATCGTCAAGGGGAGGTTGTTTTTTTGTTTTTAGATGTTTTTAGGCTTTGTTTGCCAAGTTTTTGTCGCTGGTACTTGGGGGTATCCTGGTGTCTTGGGAAAGCAACGCCATGTTTCAGGTGAGTTTTTGCTTTATGCATCGCATGCCCGGCTACCGCTACGAAGTGGAGTGCGATGAGCAAGCCATTGGGTCGCACGCGAAGAATCTGGACGTGAGCTATCGCAGCAAGGGGAAGCTGCGATTCTACACGCCCAGAATCAAGGAGAAGTGGCAGAAGTGGCAGAAGTGGCAACCAATGGGAGGGTAGCCGATGGTAGCCGCAAATCCCATGGCTCTGCTATCATTCTGTATCATTTCCCCTTCAACATAGCCTGGTGGATGATCCGATGATCCCTGTAGAATGGTGCAATTTTGAGGAGTTTTCGCCATTCAGAACCTCTGGTTTTACAATGTTTTAATGATAAATTTATAGATATACGACTCATATGACATACTGGTAGATCTCATGTCTTAGAGGGCCTAGGAATTACTAGGAATATCTAGGACTGCAGTTTTAATCAGTTTTATGGTTGAAGGGTCCCTAAAAAATGGGCTAGCAGATATGGGGCTTATGTACTTTCTAACGCTTCAGAGATCCCGGTAGAATTTCTTAACCAGGGGACCATATGGGACCATCATTTGGAACTGCGCTAACCACTTGGAGTGGCATCCAGGATGAACTGGCCGGGCACACCGGGGCACACCGCATAGGAGCTGCTGGCACAACTGGAACACCTGGAAGACCAGCGCGAGGATTGTATCTTTCCCTTTCTCTCCAAGCTCTTCCGGGACTTTCACTCACACCAGGCACGAGTTTTCCTGAGAGAAAATGCCTAAAGTGGATGGAGTTGGGCGGTTAGTCCGTTTTATGTACCTTTTTGTTTGATGGTTGGAGAAGACATGTGTTTCTACACTGGGATACAGACATGATTTTTGAGGTTGAGAATTTCATGATAGTATGGTTTCAGCTAGTTAAGAGAGGCTGCAGTACCCTATTTTCATTGGTCAAAATCTGTTTGTATAGGTTCACTTCCCCACCTAGGCAAAACCTTCGCAGTGTTTGTTGGTAGTTCATGCTAAAGTGATGAATGCCTCATGGTATCCCCAACCGAATCATTCCATCTTTGTCGGTAACCAACCATTTTTCTTTTATGGTCAATTGCAGAGGCTGCCTATTTTCAAGATGGTGATTAGATGCCAGCTAGCGAAATCCATAAGTCTCATAGGAAGCTTCACTATTCTCACAGCAAACAGGTCCATGCAGAAACCACACAGTGCCACACCTTTCCCCCATTCCGTACCATTCCCCCATGTTCCAGGCCTCCTTCCGCGCGCTCATCCGCTGCGTCAGCGAAGTGGACGCCCTGCTATCGCTCAGCGCGGCCAGCAACGCCCTGTGCGGTGCATCCTGTCGTGCTGAGCTGGTGGCGCTTGAGGACATGGCGCCGGCCACGGTGACGTGGCGAATGGGTCGGGGCAGTTTGGGGTGATGAGCCAAGAAAAATGGGAGTTTCAGCAAGGAAAAATGGGGATGAATCAATGAAAGTGATCCAAAATGGCCATGGAAATGGAGAAAAATTGGATAAAGATGGAGAAATTCATCAGCGAAATTTGAAGGTTTGAGCAACATATTGCAAGATGGCACAAAAAGGGAAGTCTTTGACGTTGGGATTTGAATGGATTTTACAAAGAACAATAAGAAGGGTGGATAGACTGGCCGCAAATTTGGTGGTTCAACCAACAAAAATGGCAGGCCGCAGAACGCAATGGTTAAATCATGTTAAATCTGTTTGGGTATTTCATCTTGTCAAATATCCCAGTATTGATCAGCCGAGAACAGGGGTTTCTGATCCAGTTGCTCATCAATGGGTAGATTAGATGGGTCAAATACGTATTTCATCAACATGACAAGACAACTGGAAATTAGTGGTAAAAAGTTCTCAGCCCCTAAATGGATGGCGTCAGATCCTAAACATGAGCTTTTTTGGGCTGGTCCATGGGACACCCTTGTGCCAAACCTGCCAACTTGGATCCACTTGGTCATTTTGAGTGTTTATCATCATTTAACCTTGCATTGGTGTTTTTGGTAGTTCATCAGCCAAGAAAAAAGGATTCACCAGCAATCACCAGCAATCATCCTCCCAAAAACATGGTAGCACGGATTTACACAACCGTGTGTTTTTGACATCAGCGTGTCAAAACGCCTCACGTTTTGTCATTTTTCAATTCAGCAATTTCGTCAAGAGACGACGAACAGTTTGCAGAGGCTTTTTTTTTCATCTCGCATCTGCTCGCTATGTCTCACTTGGACATGTTGTGGCGATAGATCCATTGATAGATTCTATCCCAGAATCTAGCGTTGATTGTTGGGCCAGTGCGGTTCTTCATTTGACTGGGGCATTTTTTCTTGAGATGTTGCCAACAACGATCAATTTATTGGGTTCCTGCAACTTTCTTTCTTTCCCGCACTCGCACCTTCCGAGTCCATTCACTCCGCATGTGGACCACGGACTTCACCACCATGCTTTTGGTAGCATTTCATCAACGTAGCATCAACTAGTTCCGCAAGCATACATGGACGCTATTATCCCACCCCACCCCACCCCACCCGTGCCAACAACGTAGCACAGCGTAGAGCTGCCAGTGTGCAAGAACATTCCATCAACGTAGCATCAACTAGTTCCGCAAGCGTACATGGACGCTATTATCCCACCCCACCCCACCCCCCCACCCCCCCAATCATATACTTTCCATGTGCGGTGACCACGAAAATCGCAACGCCTACACGGTTGTAGAAATACGTGTCACCAAAAACATACAGCCGTAGAGCCGTACAGCTGATCCGGCCATGTTCTCTTTCCGATCGCTGATTCTCCGTTTTCAAATCATAAATCACCGGGTTCGTAATCATCAAAGAACTTGTTCTAGGGAAAAGTTGGCCATGTTCAAAATTGTCTCAACAGGCCTTCCATGGGTACCTTCTGGAAGTCTCCAGCCTTCCCAGCCAGGGAACATCATGTCGCTTTATCGAAGTCTGGGACCACCAGAGGGGTATCTCAACAGCCAAACATGACAGGCTCTAACAGCTTGTAACTTATATCTGCGAGAATAAGTACATGCCTATTACATTCCTAGTATATACTATATTAACATCTATTAACAATATTAACAATATTGTACATACATACATATATATATAGGCTATACATATATGCGTATAGTACATCCATACCTATTACAGTATTTATATGTATATACTTATGCATATATATATATATATATGTACTGTATGTATATATGTAAAGCAACCCCGAATCAGATAGACATGTACTTTATTGGTTCACACTAGGTCGAGTTGCGCGGCTGCCGCCACCCAGTGGTGGCAGCCAAGATGGGAAATGCCTTCGTGCCCAACGACACCTTGATGAACAGCTGCGATGTGCCAGGCTGGGACCATGTGACTCCGGGATGATCATTGGAACTATGGAAGACATCCTACCGGTTGATAGGTGGTTTATCATATTTTTTTAATAGGCATTCAACCAGGATTTCTGAAAAATCCACAGTATCTCTTCATCTCATAGAGAAAAACATTGAAGAACTTTAGTTTGGAAGCGGTTAGACAGCCGTATATATATATATATACATGTAACCATTTCTTTTTTCCTGGGGATATTCTAAATAAAGCTGGCTGATAAGATGGAAGTTACCCAGTTCGTACTTTGGATGCACGAGCAAGTAGAGATTCTGACCAGGCCGCCTGGGGTGACCTGTCTTTTTTTCGGTCGAGGTAAACAGGGATGACAGTGATGCTGATGACGACGTAGGACATGAAGAAGACGATGATTAAGGATGATTAAGGATGACTAAGGATGATTAAGGATGATTAAGGTAAGTTATTGAACAGATCCCATGAATATCTCAAATCCGTCTCAAAAAGAGACCTAAGTGAATCGCCTTTTTTTTCCCTGGGCCCTTAGAATTCGCCGGCAGGAATTCTGATCGTCACGGGGCCCAATATGGGCGGCAAGTCGACCGTCCTCCGACAGACTTGTGTGGCTGTGATCATGGCGCAGATGGGTGACATGGCTGGGTGGATTCCAGGTACTGGGGAGAATCCCCATTGAATGGTGATATGTTTGCTTGATAATTGGATCAATGTTATATCATGTATTTTCATGTTATATCATTCTATATCTATATTCATTTTGTTTCTATATCTACATCTACATCATTCTACATCTATGTCTACATCTATATCTATCTCTATTTTTTTTTGGAGGGTTCTATGTATTTGTGCCAACAAAACAAGAAGTGGCGCCTTTTGTGACCTGAGTTGAGCCCAGGCTGTCGTGTGAATGCGGAGAAGTGTCGCTTGAGCCCGGTGCAACGCATCTTCACTCGCATCGGTGCATATGATGCGGTGCTGGAAGGCAAGAGTACGTGGCTCGGCGATGGCGGCCGCCTGAAGGGCAACAGAAACGATGGAAATCATTGAAAACATAGGGAAACAACGAAGAATGGGTCATGATTTGGGGTAGACTTGGTTTGCTGAAGGACTTGAGACATTGGGATGTGGAATTTGAATATAAACATGGGGTTTCAATGGGCGAACCTTGGTGCAGGTGAAATTCAATGGCAATGATGGAGATCTAACCAGGGAAAATGGATAATTAAGCGGCAGCGATGTCTCAGCATTTGGATTAATCTTGGTGAGTGGTAGGTTTTGATTGTCTTATTTTCTTTTTTGATGAGAAAATAATAATTATCATTAATTATCCAAATCGGCAAAGAAACAGTTTTTGCAGGGTACTGTATCCACAATTAGGATAGATGAGGCACGAAGGGAAACCATAAACCGACAATAAACGTGGATGTCGCCATCAAACAAGGGGATTTATAGAACCCTCTGGTAATTCAACATAGCTACAGAAAATCACCATTTTTAATAGGTAAACCGGTAAACCATCTATAAATGGGCCATGTTCCATAGCTATGTTAGTTTACCAGAGGGTAACCCATGAACATGGGAGTTGTAGAGTAAACATGCAGATACTATGGGAATCTTTTGCTCACGGATTTCCAACTTTTTTCGAGTAACCCTTATGCAATCAAAGGTGGCACATGGAAAATCCCCTATAAATGGAGGTGTTCATGCGAGAATCATCTGTCTATAAATAGGATATTGTCCAACAAGCCACGTTTGATTACCGGAGGGTAACCATCACTTGAAATGGTTGTTACAAATCGTGAACCAACTCTTGGCTGGTTGGTGGTTTGGAACATTTTTTATTTTTCCATATATTGGGAATAATCATCCCAACTGACGAGAATATTTTTCAGCGGGGTAGAAACCACCAACCAGATGAAGTTTGCATCTGACATTTGATCCTCGAGCTGAATCCCAAAAATTTGCCTCACGGTGTGAAACTTCGTGAAATATGTATCCTCTAGCAATTGTTTGACATAGCCATGGAAGCTATGGCCATGTAGTGGGATTATTTACCTATTGAGAATGGTGATTGTACATAATTACACTATTACTGTTTTGTATATATGTTAACTTACATTGTATATACATCTTGTTTGTATCTTTTCTTGCAGGATTTAACTCCGACGTGTAAGAACATACTCGACTACGAACTTTGATTTCTCTGAGGGAGTGGCGGGTAGAAATAGAATACGGCTGTGGATAGCAACCTTTGGATAGCCAAACAATTGGCTGGATGAGTACGAACAACGACAAGTCCAGTGGGTTGGGTCTGGAAGTATCGGAGAAGTTCGGAGCGTTCTAGTCGCCAAGCAGAGCTGCGTTTTGATTTGGCTAGATCTGCCGTACCAAAGGACTTGATCCATACTCATCTGAAGCCAGAAAGCATCAGAAAGCCATGTTCCAATTCAATCCCCCATGTTTGGAAAAAAAACAAACAAAAACATATTGAATCATCATTAGTCCATGTTATCCCATCAACATCCATGGTTATCATGGTTAATTTTCATGGCTTTAACCACGAAGAGCCCATCCCATCCACGAAAAATCACGACCTCTCGACATCCCCAGCGAGGTTATTGACTGAGCTGGAGGACCCTATGATGATCCCGGGCTTGGGCCGATGGATCCGATGGGATGTCCATGGGCCGATTGGCTTGGTGGCAAGATCCATGGTATGGATACTATCCATCTGGATCATTAGATCCATGGTCTGGGAAAATCATGAAGCCTCCTACTGTTTGGTATAATTTTATGAAAATCTTGTTGGGATATACAGAAAAAATGAATGAACGTAGAGATGAATTGAATGCTTGGTTTGGGGTTCTCCAGATTTGGGCGTAAGATTTTGGGATATTCCATTCATATAGGTATATGAATGACACGGGTATCAGAAGCGAATCTGTCAATACTAATACTGTTTTGACAGATTCATATTCCATTTTTTGGGGAGCGTTAGAACTCATTGGCACCTGCCAGAGTTTGGGAACAATGTGGACGCTCAGATCCGCAGCCCGTCAAAAGTTGGATCTTTTGAAGGAGCCATGAGATTTGCGGTGCAGAAATTTGTCGAAGACATGGATCGAACCATTTACACTGACATTTCGTCATTTCTGGAACTTGAAGTCACTTTTCTGGATGGTCTTCTGACACTCAAAGGTCCATATGACATGCTCAGAAGTTTCCTTGACATTGTGATCAAATCTGGATTGGAACGATGTTTTGCGTTCTGTGGATGGTTAGTCGTTTGCCATTTCTCATGTGTCTTTGACCCAATTGAGGCACAGGTTCTGTTCATTCGAAAACCATCCACACCTGCAGTGTCCATTGATTTTTTGCGAGCCCTCCTGCATTCTGCTCTTGTTGTTCTTGGGCTCCCCAAGCCTGTGGATGACTCTCATGATGCCATCAAGACGAAATTGAAGTTGTGGGGTGCCACAATTTATCATGCGAAGTTGCCACGCAGCATGCCCATTCAAGACATCCTGGACGTCTGGGATCAGGCAGGGACAATCACTGGGTACGAAAAGATCATGAGGCTGGTCAGTCACACTGGTAGTACAGCCAATCCTGATTTCTCTTTGCGTCATTACTCGAGATGTGGACCAAATGATGAAACCATTGCCACGTTTTCCTTCATGGGAGCAATGCATGGTGGTGGCCCTAGTGGGAGACCTGCTTCCAACTACCATGATCACCTTGTCCAACAGAAGAACGCACTTGCTGCTTTCATGATTGGACAAGGCATTGACATTCAAGAATGCGTACAGTGTGTGGATGTCTTGGTGCGTGAGGCAGGTCCGGACTCTATCTCCATGATTCTCGCACAGAGGCAGCATGGCAAAAAGTGGGAAGGAATCATGAAGCTCGCCAAGACGCTTAATGTTGTCTTGCCAGCAGCATCAAACAAGATCGAGGCTGCCAAAAAGAAGGTACAGCAAAAGTTTCAGGAACAGGCACGTAACCTGGAACGCAACCTTCCTGTTGAAATGTTGAAGCTTCAAGAGGGTTTTCTTCTCAATGCCGATGAGACTGCTTGCTTGCAGATTCAGAAAGTTCAACCAAATTGCTCTGGCGTCGTCCTTTCAAGATTCGAAGATGCTCAGCCATGGTTGGTGACTGGACAGCCCATTTCACAAGACGAATTATCCCTGATTGTAGTTGGACAGTGCCAACATGATGTTTCCGAAGACTGTCATCGCATTAGGGTGCCTGTTGTCTTGCATGACGAACCGCTTGTGGTCTCGGGTTGCCTTCATCACTTAGGTGTCAAACGGGCTGTGGTCTCTGTTGATGATCAGATGCAATTTCCTGTCAATGACACTCAGGTTGTTTCAGTGACAGCTTATCAGGATGAAATCGATGCATCCACTTGGGCGTCGATTGTGAAGTCCCCAGTGCGTCATATCATGCAAGCTCTTTCTCATGAGGCAGGCGAGATTGGTCTTTTGTCTCCGCCGTGGGGCAGGTCATTTCAGCGTCTTGGGAAGAGATGCGATGCAGAGGTTGCAACGTCTGTACAGATTCACATCCGTATTGACCGAGCTGAGCTTCGCAGAATTCTCAAAGCCTCCGGCAGCTCTGGTATCTACTGCACTCCGAAGACAGAAGATCGAAAAATTGTCAGTGACTACATGATTGTCTGGCTCAACCAATCGCCAGTTGACTTTGCAGTGTCACTTTCAAAGGTTGATTCCCATTGTGGTGTGATTCGCAATTCCAAAGGTGACTCCAAGAACAAGGGAATCCGGTTTGAGAAGGCTGACTATGTGCAGGCTTTTGCAATTCTCAAACCGGATGACAAAATTCCGCAGATTGTTGCTGCCAATCATCACTTCAAGATTGCACCCACGCCCTTGGGGTCAACTTCAGAGCAAGTTCAGACTTGGCTTTCGTCACAATCCTGGGAGGCTAAACCTGTGAGGCCTCTAAGTGGTGACTGCTGGTTGTGTGTGGCAGAGAAGAGATTCGAGATTGTCTTTGCTCAGTGGAATGGAAGCCCAATTCTCATCAAGTGGGTTGGAGATCGAAAGGATCATGTCCCTGTCATCTTAGCTGGTGATGTTCAGAAGCGTGTCCTCCCCAAGTCCAAAGAAACTTCCAAGGAAGATGGTGCCTCTAGCCATGCTGCATTGCAAGATGACCCTTGGGGGACCTGGATTGCCAAGAAAGGTGGAACTGGGATTAGTCTTGCAACCGCAGTTCCCAAGACTTCCATGAGCCTCCAGCCGCCGAGAAAGCTTGAAAGCCCTATTGAGGATCGGTTTGCACGTCATGACAATGCTTTGCAGGATCACAAACATCATACAGAGCGTGAACTTGAAACCTTGAAAGAATCCATTGCCCGCATTGAGAGAGGAATTGACTTGCAGAACACCAACATTCAATCCAACATGGAGCTTACGAATGCTGAGTTCAAGGCAATCAGGTCTGAAACTGCAAGCCAGCTTCAGGCACTTACTGGTGCTTTTACGGAATCACTCAGAACAACCATTGCCTCGCAAGAAAGCCAAATGTCCATGCAGTTTGCAGAGTTGAAAGAAATGATTATGCTCAACAATGCCAAGTCAAGCTCATCTCCGCCTCAGAAGAAATCGAAAAAGGTGACGATGATGCCAGCCTTTGACTATGCAATAGTGACTTTGACATGTTTTCCATCAATGATGAATGCTATGCCCAGCAGTCAATTCAAGCGTTTTGCTGCCGATTTGAAGTGAAGACGGCCAGCTCTTTCAGCTGGTATGCTAGTAGCCAGATCGGTGACTTTACCTTGCTGCTCTGCCCATTTGCATGTTCTTTTTCACATGTACGCTTGCGTTTTCCAACAGGTGCCGGTTCATGTGTCTTGCATGAAGGAACCTGGTGTGATTTGAGTGTCAGATGCAATTGTTTTTCGATGTTTTATGCGACACCTGTTGGCCAAGCGTCGAACCCTGGACCTGACTCCGAGGGGATCCGTCTTGCAATCTGCAATCCTACAGCCGTGCACAAAAAAGTAGATTTGCTGC